TACGTCTACCTCGGATCCCACGCTAGATACATCAGAGACCTCGTTCTCACGTCCCGGTCAACAGCACGCGTCATCTGCACCATCTACGGACGAGACTTCCGTCTCACGTCCAGATCGGCAGACCACGCCGCCCTTGACCTCGGATGAGATCGCAGGCTCACGAAGTACGAACGAGACTACCGTCTCACGTTCCGGTCGCCGAGTACGATTACCCGTACGCTTTCGCGACTAAACGCACAGTCAATAAGGGATACGGTGTAGGATTATTCCTATACTACACGCATGCTACACTTTTCTTTTTTTGATTTTTTTTTGTATCCTGAGCCCACGCCTCCGACCATCGTCCGTTTGATAACGTCGACTTCAGTCAACTTTGGCAAAAGCTGGTTTGGCCACCCATGCTCTAGTCAACGCACTCAGTCGATTATCTGGTCTCGAATTCGCCTGGCATACGCTTGGTCGTTATGGTCGCGTCCGGTTTCTTGGCTCAAAGTGGTTTCGCCCTACGTCTGCAGCGTTTTCTGGTCCACATCCCTACGAACGCAATCATCAGATCCTGGATACAAACCACTCTGGTGTGGTATGCTAACTCGACCAACAAATACAGCACACTTCTCCTGGTACCGTTCTGCGCAAAAGACTTTCGTTGGCAACTCGAGGATCAACGATCACTTCCTGTTCCGCCAATTTCCTCCGTCCTACAACAGCGATTCTGCCGACCAGTCCCAGGAATCAAACCGCTAACTATCGAAAGTGTAAACCCTTTCTAGCGGGGGGCTCCTGTAGTGACCTACTTTTATCAACAGAACGCGATTGGTTCGATGAAAACAATTATTATTATAACCAATTGTACCAGTGATTGTTTTATTGTGCTCGTTTGTTTAACTGTGCTAATAACAGCCATTTTGGTCTTCCATTGTATTCCATTGCTTCTACGCGGTTTTCGACTACGCACGTATCTTTTCTTGCCGATCGCACCTGTACTCCTTTGGCACGATCTCGGTATTCTTTCGATACCACGAGATTGCCAACAAATATATTACGACTACTACTATCATCTGCCTTCTGATTTTTGGCCTACCGGAATCTTATTGGTCTATTGGCAAGTAGTCTGGTAGCGGTGTTCAAAGTCCAGCTCAACTCGACACCACGCTACAATGTCAAGACAATCCATAGCTTATCAAAGCCGTTGTCCATTAAATATTTTTGGCCGGAAAATTTCGAATCCTGTCAAATCACAAGTCAGGAGTGAGATATTTGGAGATTATATTCCATTTGTATAGGAATATATGGTATAAGTTGGCTAGTTGTTGCGAAGGATGCCTAGAAGAGTGTATTCAATGGTGGTTTGGGGCAAGAACTTGACAAGGAACTTTCAGATGTGGTGTATCTAGTGTAGTGACCTACTTTTGTCAAAAGAACGCGATTGGTTTAATGAAAACAATCATTATTATAACCAATTGTTTCAGTGATTGTTTTACTGTGCTCGTTTGTTTAACTGTACTAAAGACAGCCGTTATTCTCCTCCCATTGACTTTGACGTTGTACGAATTCGGTTACGCTCAGTAATCCCACTTGTAATCCGGCACGATCTCGGTATTCTTTCGATACCACGAGATCGCCAACAAATACATCTTGACTACAGCCATCATCTGCCTTCTGATATTGGCCTACGGGGATCTTATTGTTTAAGTGGAACGTAGTCTTCTTGTAGTGGTAGTAGTCAACTGCGACTCAACACCACACCACACTAGTAAATCTAACGAGGCTAGTAATATTACTGAAGAATTACAGCACTGTTTATGTTGGTAATTCTTTCCCCGCGGTGGCTTTTACCCTCTTAGTGTGGTGGTGATGACTATAAGACTTCACCATCCGGATATGCAAACCTGACGAGCATGCCATTGGTAAACACTTTCCCGATAGCTTGCTATTTCAATCAATGTCTTGCCTTTTTTCCTACTCTAAGGAGCCATGTGGCAAATATTAATAAAAACTGTGCAGTGGATAGTTCGATAAATCATCTTCAGAAAGACTGGAAAAGATAACATGGAAATGTAAGTGTAGGACGAAATCCAGTTTTACTTGTGCAAGAAAGCAAAACGTAAAAATTAGCCATCATATATGGGTACAAATACCATGCGACAGCGAAAAAGTATACATGGAAAGGTGTTTTGAAAGATTTTGCAAAAATAGTTTATATGCACATATATACAATCACATAAACGATATCTTGATTTGATTTTTTATAATCTATCCAGAAAAGATGTCCAAATGATTCAAATGGTTGTGAACGGAATAGAAGCTTTCGCTTAACGGGCTTCCATGTCTAATAGCAGTGGATCACCAATATTTTTTCGTTTTTATCCAATAAAATTTGAAAACGCTACCAGATACCCGAAGAACTCGAGGGACAGGTTAAACAGACTGCGCTTATAGAATGTAGTAGATACAGTAGTCGTTCAAGTGTTCTGGAAACCTTACAGTTCTTTCTGAGCACGTCGTCTTAGTCTGGCTATTGAACACGAGAGAGGATTCTTCGTAGTTATTGGCTGTCGAGGATCGCACTGTTGTGGAGATTTCTTCGTTCAGTTGTTTGGTGAAAATTCAACATAGAGGAGTTTGCTTTCCTAGATATCCGCTTTTGCTTATTTGATGCTGATGGTATTTTTAGGTCCGTCCTTTCAGTGATATGAGGTGTGACGTACAAAAACAGTGTACTTAGTTATAAGGTGAGTTGGACCACAACATCGATTGATTGCAGTAGAGTGGAAGCAGTTTTAACTGAACGCGTCGCGTTCTCAAGCCGATGCGTGGTAATGTCTGGATCCATATTCATTGAAGAAGGCGAGGAATATACGAAGTCTCTTGTTTGAATCATGTTCGGATGCAGGGAATCCAACGTCAGCTTTCACACCGACTTCCGAGAAACATGAGTTGAAGAGCGTCAGACCATTGTGATAACTTTGCAGCTGAAAGTGAGGCTTTCAACCGTCGGCGAAGTCATTCTGCCAACCTATTTCAACTGTTTTTTAATGACAACATAGATGTGGTTTTGCCTGGTCACCACGTTATAGTAATCGAGCTTAGGGATTTATCAGTTGGTTTGGCTTTGGCTGAAGTCAAGCGGTCACATCATCCTTGTTCAGTCCTAGCTGACTACTTATGCAAACACAGTGTATTTGGCAACACTGGTGTTAAAAATGTTCCTAAAATCGATTGAAGAAGACGATGATGGTTAGTAGAAAAGCAATATGGAGAGGTTAAATACAGAAGTAATATAATGTTTAGCTACTAAGTCGGACAGGTATTGTAGAGGATTCGTTGCGTAACGGAATAGAGCGTGACTGGCTATTGGCCAAGCGTTTTCAGCCAGCCATAGATTTAGTAAAATTAACGTAATTAGCATCAACATCAAATATTCACAAATCCATCTACTTGAGGGATGTACTATCCATTACAGCGCAATTAATGTGCGAATATTGGTAAAATCCTAAAATAAGTTAAGATTACTCATTAAACTCATGATGAAGCAGTTGAACAAGGACTGAATTCTCAGAAACAAAAAGACAACTCTGGTTCCCAGTGAAATGTGAGTAGTCTGATGGTTTTTAGGTAGTAACTCCGATGAAACAAACGCTGAAGATAAGTCATATGCGATAGAACTGAATTGTACAATGATAAGCACGGTATTTAAAAAAACAATGATCAATAAAGATGAGAGGAAAAACACACGAGTAAGGCAATATTTAGATGAAATTTGGACCACTAAGTCAATTATCCACGGGAGAAGATTATCATAAGACTGCTTCTCCTAACTTGAAAACTTGCATAATCAGTGGAAAATAGTTTACTACCAGTTATGTTTTTATTCATATTGCTAAGGTACATATGGATACAATCAATAAATTCATAACGGACATCCTGTACTTTTTATAATACAGTTGTTATGTGAATTTTTAAACCATTTTAGTGACTTTAAATGATTTAATACTAAGAGAATAGTTACAGACAGAATATTATTGATCAATTCTTGAATTAACCATAAATTAAATTCTAATATAATGTTGATATAAATCTGTCAGTGTAGTAAAACGTAAATTTACTTTATAAACGGTCAAACTGTGTTCATTTACGTCACAAATAATCATTATATTTATTTACACAGGAAAAACTTCTGAATATGTTAGGAATTACAATAGCTGAAGCCTGGGGTAAATACCACGAAGCCAGGGTACATGCAGTCCAGCACGAAGCCAGGTACATGCTTCACTACATATTTTTGGGATTATCTTAGGGATTATCCGTCTTTGCTTAAAAAGGCTTGTGAGTTAAGGTTACATCGAGGCAATCTGCACAGGATGCACATATATAAAAAAGAGACTGATCAATTGCAGTCCTGAATAACAATTGGAAGGTACAAATAAAACAACAAGTGAATTTATGTTAGGGATTGGTATTGGAACTCTTTATAGTACATGTTTACTAGGATTTGGATAACTCAGTTGACCGAGCGCTCCCAGGTCGTAGGGTTGATTGCAGATAATAATATAGACACCAACACTGAATGTCCACAGAGCTCTTTATCTTCAGGAGTTATTGGAACTTACAATGTATATATACTTCTGAAGTTCATTCCTTATTACTAACTGTTTACTGTTACCAGGTACAGAGAGAAATAAAAGCCATTCAAATGTGTAATTCGGTATAATCTCTTAAACCTCTTCATGCGGAAGTGTTTTTTAGTGTCAGAAAATTAAAAATCCACTTGTCGAGCGTTTGAAGTTTGATGATCTTATGTACCGAATAATTTGAGCGGGCTTTCAGTGCGTTTATTTTGACTTTTAACGTAACGTTGTACGGTGTTATCTCAGGCTTCCCTACAGTTTAGTAGAAGGCGTTGGTACACTTCTGCCTTCTCAAAACTACTTTTCAAACCCTTTGTGTTTGGACGTTTTCCAGACCACTGTTGCGTAGCTCCCTATCGTACAGGTTTTAAAATGGATGCTGTTGTGCTACCGCAACCTAACGGAGACATTCTAATCAGTCCTGGAAATGGTATTTCAGGGGAGGCTGTCAAGAAGCGGTTGTCAGTTGAACGGATTTATCAGAAGAAAACCCAACTAGAACACATACTTCTTCGGCCTGATTCTTATATTGGTTCCACATTGAAAGACACTCAGCAAATGTGGGTCTTGGATGAGAGTCAGCAGCATATGGTCAATCGCGACATCACATTTTCTCCTGGTCTATATAAGATTTTTGATGAAATTCTGGGTATGGGACTGTTGTTAATCTAATCTTTTTAGTAAATGCTGCCGACAACAAAGTTAGAGATCCAACCATGTCATGTATTAAAATTGACATCAATCCGTAAGTATATTTCGTTATAATTTTTCCAAAAGTGCTGAAAATATGGTCCGCATCTGGAATGACGGCAAAGGGATCCCAGTTGTTCACCACAAAGTTGAAAATACCTACGTCCCTACTCTGATATTTGGCCACTTACTCACTTCAAGCAATTATGATGATACTGAACGGAAAGTGACAGGTGGAAGAAATGGTTATGGCGCCAAGTTATGCAATATCTTTAGCAAGAAGTTCATTGTAGAAACATCCTCTAAAGAATACAAGAAAAGTTTCCGGCAGGTATAAGTATGTATAACCAATTCATTTCTCCAGGTATGGGTCGAAAATATGACAAAGACATCTGATCCGAAAATTTTGGCTGATAAAGGCGATGATTTTACTTGCATTACATTCTATCCCGATCTTGCACGTTTCGGTATGAGTGAGCTAGAACAAGATACCGTATCTCTTTTTACTCGTCGGGCATATGACATGGCTGCAACCTGTAATGGAGTTAAAGTTTTCCTTAATGGCAAAAGATTACCCATAAAAAGTTTTGTTGACTACGTAAACCTTTTTATCAAACCCAACAAAGATGACGGAGACAGTATTAAGGTAATCATAGAAACCCATATTAATATTTCGGAATTTTTTCGACATAACAGTAACCATAAATATCGTCATGTTCTCACCACATCGGTTTCATTTAAACTTCAAAATACCGACCAAGTCAGGTTGTTGCTGCATCAAGATATTCCGCGTTCTCAAACACATTCAGTTAGGAACCAAGCATTAGGATCTCTAATGGTTAAAATGTAAAAATAGGTAAAGGATATAAACCTCATTTTCCACTAATTGCTCAGTCGATTCCTTGTTTTAAAAGTTTCTCACGCAGCTTTCAATCGTGGTCACTGATGTAAAGCTTTTGACTGAGTGCTTTCGTTCATTCATGGCATCCGTAACATCAAATTAGTTAAAGTTGTGTTAGTGCCACCCTTAATTACCTAATGTTCGTATTTGATCGGAACCTAAGCAATATTCACCATTTTTGACTTATTAGTTCGTTAGTATTCTTATACTCGTGGTGGATGTGAGTCTGCGAATGCAACTTATTTCCATTAAGACAAATACCTCACTGTACCGTCAGCTCATCTTTGGTTAGATTCTGTTGGTCCACTTTCCACAGATTACAAATTGTCAAAGTTTTCACTCAGAAGAAACATGACTGACCCAACATATCCATGACTTGTTCTTGTGGGTTCTATGGGTTTCTTACATCTGAGGTCACATATGTAGTGAATCCAAAATTATTTCACCAAGGTTGTAACCAAATAGATGCTAATACCAACAATATGTTTGCTATCTTTCTTTTCTAACTAAACCCAACGAAAATGTTTTAGTAGGAAACACAAATACTATATTAACTGTATTTATATGGTGTTTATCAAAGTATATCAATTTCATCCCATCATAACCTTGAACTATTACTGTAGTGTAGGCCTTGTTATCATAATTCTTGTTTTATAACCTTATATATCCTGTCAAACTTAGCAGTAAGTCACAAGTTTTTCTGGCTATTCTGCAAATAGGTTGTGTATGAAGCAGTCAACCCGCGTTGGCAGGTAGCAGTAGCAGTTAGTAACACAGGCTTTCAGCAAGTCAGTTTTGTTAACAGCATTGCAACTACTAAAGGCGGAACACATATTAATTATGTGAGTGATCAAATTGTAAACAAGTTAATGGATATCGTTAAAAAAAAATCCGGGAAATCTGGTGTCCAAATCAAACCTTTTCAAATAAAGAATCATATGTGGTTGTTTGTCAACTGTCTTATAGAAAACCCCACGTTTGATTCCCAAACAAAGGAGAATATGACTCTGCAAACAAAAAGTTTCGGGTCTACGTGTACTTTAAGTGAGAAGTTTATTGGACAGGTGAGAAAAATTCATTTGTCTTTGCTTTTTGTGTCTTGCCATGCTTTGTGTGCAAGTATTATTGTTTCGAACGTACTTAGACCCACTTTTATTTACTGATTTACATAGTAGTGGTTTTAACTCTAAAATTTATTAAGTTTAATATTTTTAATTTCACGTCACGATGTAGTCAGAAATGATGTGTATGGTTTATTTCTTTCAGGGTTACTAGTTCAATACAGTGTTACGTCTGGAGTACAGGGATTTCTATCGAAACCGATTTCTAATAGCCTTAAGCGATTAAAAAAATGGTAAAACAATCGTGTTTAACAAAGCATTACATTTGTTTTCTAAAAACATATGTTAGCGTGAGTTTACTCAAATTGCTTACGCCTGTTGCCCCTCGTGAAGAATCATAGGTCACGCACCAGCATTCTTCAACGAACTCTGTCCTGAGTAATCCTTCCCAGTTGATATTCATTCTTTTGATGTCTGCTTTCGATTCTCGATGCACCATATTCCTTTGTCTTCAATTGAGGATTCCAAGTTTGCCTTGTCATACAGTTGGATGATTTCCACAGTGTGTGTCCTATCCACCTCCATCATCTCCTAACTTCCTCTACAGCTGAAATCTGGTCAGTTCTCTCCCACAGTAGGTTGTTGCTAATGGTATCCGGCCAACGGACATTCAGTATCTTGCGTGAACAACTGTTTTAACATACTTTTACTTTTTGATGTTAGTCATAGTTCTCCAAATCTCAGCTCCATAGAGTAGAACTGTCTTGACGTTCGTATTGAAGATTCTAATTTTGATATTGGTTGACAGTTGTTTCGAGTTCCACATGTTCTTCAACTGTAGGAATGCTACCCTTACTTTTCCAATCCTTACCGTTGGCGTTCTCCATGTTGTATTTGAGGACGTGGTTTTTTCCCTTGTGTATGTTGAGGCCTACTGATGCAGAGACTGCTGCGACTACACTAGTTGCTTTCATCTTCATTTGTTCGTTGAGATGGAATAGATGGACTAGGTCATCTGTCAAGTCCGAATCGTCTAGTTGCATCCAACCTGTTCATTGTGTTCCGTGCTTCCCCTCAGATATGGAGCTCTTCATAATCCAGTCAAGCACCAGAAGAAAAAAAGGGGGAGATTAAGCAGCATTGTCTGACTTCGATCCTCACTTGGAATGCGTCTGTCTGCTGCACTGCATGTACGACTTTGTAGTGTGGCTCATCGTATGAATTCCGTATGATGACGATTTTCTCAGGTTCACCATAGTGTCGAAGAGGGTTCTGTAAGGTCATCCAATCCTCACTGTCAAATGCTTTCGCATGATCAAGGAAGTTGATGTATAGTGACGAGTTCCATCCAATTGATTGTTGAATGATTATCCGTTGTGTCGCAATTTAGTCTGTGTACGACTGATCATTACGAAATCCAGTCTGTTGATCTGGAAGCTGAACGTCTACTGATTCTTTCATGCAATTCAGCAACACTTTGCTGAAAAATTTTTCTTGTACCGATAGTGTTTTGTTTTCTCCATAGTCCTCACATTTACTCTGATCTTTGGTATCTTGATTAGGTATTCTTACCAATCTGTCAGCACTTTTTCTTACTTCCAAACCTTCCTGAATAAAACGTGGAGCATATTTGCAGTTTTTTCTATGTCTGACTTTAGTGCTTCGGCTGGTATATTGTCAGGTCCTGCTGCTTTCCCGCTCTTGATTTGTCTGATGACCATACAGATTTCTTCGATTGTTGGTGGATTGACATCTGTGGGAAGGTCTGTTGGTGCTGCCTCGATTTCCGGTGGGTTTAGTCATGCTAGTCTATTTAAGAGTTCCTCGAAGTATTCTACCCATCTGTTCCTCTGTTCTTGGATCTCGGTGATTGCCTTTTTTGCACTTAACTTGTCTCTCTGGTTTAATATATTTCCCTGCTAGTTTCTTCGTTGTATCATATAGCTGTCTTATATTTCCTGTTGCAACTTTTTTTATCTCGTTGTTAGGTCTTCCACATATTTCTGCTTGTCGGCTTTAATGCTCTTCTTTACTTACTTGTTTGCTTATGTGCATTCTCTGTTCTTGTTCGGCTGTTGTTAATCCCTATCTTTTTCTTCCTTTCTTGAACCGTGTCTAGAGTTTCCATGGTGATTCATTACTTATGCTTCTTCCGGTCCAGCACCTGACACGTTGAAGTTAGTGCTTCTTTAACTCCTTTCTAATTGTCCTCCATAGCAGTTTCTTCTCTGAGTAGGTCTTGTAATGCTTTTAACCTGTTGTCGAGAGTTGTCTCGAGTTTTTCAGTATCTCGAGGGAAGGCTGTATTGAACCTTTGCAATGCTGTTTTCCAGTTCAATGTTTATTTAGCTCTAGTTTCATCTTGGCAATAACCATGTGTCGATCGGGATCTGTCAGTTACTCTCCTGGTTCTCATGTCTTCCATTTTCCTAAGTTTTTTACTGATGCAAATATGATCTATTCAGTTTTCTGTGGTGTGATTCGGTGAGATTTCTTTTATACTGAGTGTATAAAGAGATCGAGTGGCAATCTTGGTTATTGATAGTTAATTCACCACTAATAAGTAATGCTAAATCTTGACTAATTTTAGGTTGTTGATATCAGCGTTTGGCCTTAGAAGCATTTTTCTTATAACAAAAGTTAAAATAGTTTGAGTACTCGGGGGTCTTGGACTTTTTAAAATGTGTTGGTATGTTTACTGGCGAGCTTTTGTAACATTGGTTAGTTTACTAGTTGTGTATCATTGTGTTAACAAATTTTAATTTCTTTTTTTTTCATACATTCTCATTCATATGTTACAGGCTTCAAAATCGGGTATAGTTGAAAATGTACTATCTTGGATTCGTTTTAAAGCAATGGAGAAAATGGACAAGCAATGTCACAAATCCAAACATTCTAAGCTCAAAGGAATACCTAAATTAGATGATGCAAATAATGCAGGGACTAAAAATTCCTCTCAGTGCACTCTTATTTTAACAGAGGGTGACTCAGCCAAAACTTTAGCTGTGGCTGGTCTTGGCGTTGTCGGTAGAGACAATTATGGTGTCTTTCCATTAAGAGGCAAACTACTGAATGTTCGTGAAGCATCCAACAAACAAATTATGGAAAATGCAGAAATAAACGCACTGATTAAAATTCTTGGACTCCAATACAAACTGAAATATGAGTCGGCGGATACGCTGAAAGATTTACGCTACGGCAAGTAAGTCGGACATTCCTTACTATTTGGAACTTTCAGGCCATATATATATATATATATATATATATATATATATATATATATATATATATATATATAGTCTTGTCATGCTTAAAGACCCCTCATGATATTTCAAGTAGTTAGTTTTCACTTATGTGATTTTATTTGTCTTTTACATTTACAGGATTATGATTATGACTGATCAGGATCAGGATGGTTCTCATATTAAGGGTTTAATAATAAATTTTGTTCATTGTAACTGGCCAAATTTACTAAAGCATAACGTAGTGGAGGAATTCATTACTCCAATTGTAAAAGTGTTTAAAGGGAAACAAGAATATTCATTCTACAGCTTACCAGAATTTGAGGAGTGGCAAAAATCAACTCCAAACTGGCATACTTGGCGTGTAAAATACTACAAAGGTACATCTCGTTTTAATTGTTTTTTATATTTCCTTTTACTCATGAGCATAAAACATTTACTAAGAGTCTTATATTTCATATTTAGTCAACTCTACATTGCATTATTTCTCGTCATATTAGGTTTGGGTACTTCAACAAGCAAGGAAGCTAAGGAGTACTTTTCTGATATGAATCGTCATCGGATTCGATTTCGCTACAGTGGGATTGAAGATGATGGAAGCATTCAATTGGCTTTCGACAAAAGTAAGATAGCTGATCGTAAAAACTGGTTGACCAACTTTACACAAGAACGTAAACGTCGACGTGAATTAGGTCTCCCGGAACCTTACTTGTATGGGAAAGATACTCGAGCTATAACTTATCACGATTTTGTTCACAAAGAGCTAGTGTTGTTTTCGAATTTGGACAACGAACGGAGTATTCCATCTGTTGTAGACGGGTTGAAACCTGGACAGAGAAAGGTTAGTATCAGAAATTTTACAAATTTATGACCATTATTTCTCAGGTGTATCGAGTTACAACTATAGGCTTACTCATTATTCTCACGAATCCAATATTTTCGTTGTTGCTTTTGTTCACTTCACCAGAAAAATACAATATGTCTGCGTTTCGGTATTACTATGTGCTGTGAACATTGATCGACGTTACAGTTAGGTTTATGAAATAAATGCTCGAAGGACAGTTATTAGGTATAAAATCTTGAGTTCTTATTATTTTTATAGTGTTTATTACTATTCCAAATTAATATAAGCTTTAACACATGCTCTTTAAATGAACTTTCTCATTCTCAATATCATTATTTACAGTTATATTCTAATGTTGGTGTTTTTACTAAGCTACGTTATCACCTACAGTACTCTATCTCTTGAAGAAATCTCGTCAGTAATCATTAATAGTTATTTCAGAATTAAGAATAGTATTAGACAACATACAAATGCGAGACACATTTTGTTTGACAATAAACCTCACAAACAAATCTTATCTATACTTTTCTGATTTTAGGACTTTTAACTAACGAACACTTTTACCCTATTAAATTTTGACTTTATTCTTCCTTTTTTCTAGGTACTGTTCACCTGTTTAAAAAGAAATCTTATTAGAGAAATTAAAGTTGCTCAGCTTGCTGGTTCTGTTGCTGAGCTGTCGGCTTATCATCATGGTGAACAATCCTTGATGAGCACGATTATTGGTTTAGCTCAAAACTTTGTCGGTATGTTTTATTTATTTCCGAGTATTTCAAAACAGTATTCTCCCTATATATAGGGCTACTTGATGAAATCTCGCTTCATTTACTTAAGTTTGGGAAAACTAGTAGTTTATTTTGAATCCAGGTACACGGATATATATTTGATCACAGTTAAACGACTTATGTTTCGAAGTTTGTTAGTGTTATAACTTGTGGCCTGTACCCCCTGTTAATGTATAACGTAACGATACCGTCAATCAGAGAGCAGTGATTTGTCGATCGGATCAATGACGCGTAAAACCCGTAAGAGCAGTCTAGAGTCCTTATCGGTCCTGATTCCCGCCTAGCCTCAGCCTCTGAAATATGAATCATGTATTTCAAACAAACTCGGTTTATATACCAATCAAACAGGCCACAACGTACCATAAATAGAAAATAACATTTGTACAAAATGTGGCTGTGATTGTGGGTGGCAGTGACTAATAGACAGGGCATAATTCAAAAATGGTAAAACGTATAATAATGGTTCATACGTCAAAATAAAGCTTATAATAAGAGAAATATGAATATGAATAGTCTAGTTATTTAACAATTATACGATAGAAATATACGTTTAGTTTTGTCCATAAATGGATCCCAAAAGTTACCATTCATTATGCTTATCGGGATTTAACAGTTAGGTATTGATTGCTTATGCTACATAGGTTTTGTCCCTTCATGTTTGATGTCCAATATTGTTTTGAATTTCGTTTGAATATTGCTTTTGAAAAAACCCAAAAAATTGATATGTCTTTAAAACTGGTTGATAGCTTCATCTTGAAGCCATCGTTCACTCACTGCTAAATACTAACTACTAAACCGGAGAGTCACTTAGTTACTTTACTTTCATAGTAATACTTAAGAGTGAAAAAAACTGGATGGAATACCAAAATATTATTTAAGCATCTAATCTTCCCTTAAACTAAGAGGTTAAAGTCGCTTCATATCCTTCTTTACGTACAAAATCTTTCTTTCTGTACTATATCCTTATATGCAATCTTTTATATATTACCGTTGACTTAGCCCCCAAATGCCCTGGTACCGCCGAGAGTGGGGAAAGTCCGCTCTCCCTCTCGAAATGCTCTCACATGGCCACGCGTTTATAGTTTCTGCCAGGGAAGTCCTACTCATTGCCTTCTCGTGGCGGGGATGTTGTTTACGAAAATGAGAGGACGAAAAGCGAATTCCCGGCGCTTTAACCGGATCCCAAATCAATGGTGCACATGGGCTCCAGTATCCTGAAGGAACAAATGGCGTATAAACCAATCGTTGGTCACCGGCTACCATGGGACTGCATCTCCTCACGATGCTCCACTGCCTTGTGGGTCAGACGTCCAAGTCGAAGGCTCGGGGTGTGGCCCACTAAGAAAACCACCTGCTTCGGTTTAGGCACCCGGACAGTATCACAGCCCTCACACAAATCAATTGACATTCGTGTGGCGCATATGTATTTGGTGCCTCCTTGTACCTATACCTATGTGTTAAAATAAATAAATAAATACCAATGACTTAACTACTCCTATGAATCTTGTGTTCATTTTGCTGTGCTAATGCGGTATGGCAACTTGGACCGATGCATATATGTGCCAGGTCCTACGTTGTCAGTCAGTCAGTCAGTCAGTAACAACGTGGAACTTCGTACGTACGTACATCAGTTCGAGTTGCCATACCACATTAGCACAGAGATTCAGTTATCGATTCAAATCCCATAGTGGTAGAGGTACTGAAAGTATAAGTAGAGATAGGGGACATTAAGGTTTGATGATGTTATTAAAGGAGTATAGTCCAGTGGAATAAATTGGGAAAGAAAATAAAGGACATGAAGAATTCAGAAGATTAGAGTTTGAGAGAACACAAAGAGTGGATGCACCTGCGCCATTGCAAACGATTTTTAGACATGTCATTCAAGGTCTCTAACCATCGGTTGCTATCGTCTCGCGGTCCCCAACCAGGTAGTCTACACCTACCAACATGACTCAGTCCACTTGTCAGTGACTTCATGGATTTGTGCCATGTTTTGGTCTGGCCGCGCCTAGCTTTCTTCCAACCTACTCCTACACCATAAAACATAGCACGTCGGGGCAGTCGGTGGTCGGGCATGCGCAACACATGTCCCAGCCATCTCAAATGATTGAGTTTCACTACTTCATCAATTGATTTGCCATCCTTACCTAGTACCCGTTTCCTAACAACTGAGTTACTTACTCGGTGGTCCCAGGATATACGAGCAATGTTTCGAAGACACCTATGATCAAATACTAGTAACCTACGAATATCCTCTACTCTTACCGGCCATGTTTCACTGCCATAAAGTAGGACGGAACGAACTGCTGCGCAGTAAATACGTCCTTTGGTTGATAGACGGATATCTCGCCTACGCCACAAATGACGCAAGTTGGCAAAAGCTAGTCGAGCCTTTTGTATCCGTGCTGAGATTTCGTCACACACCAAACCACAAGGGCTGATGAGACTTCCGAGATAAGTGAAGCGGTCGACACGCTCAACTACTTCACTCCCTATCACTAGTTTGGGTGTCGACGCAACCCAATCCTGAAGTAACATTTTGCATTTCGAGGGAGAGAATCGCATGCCGAACAGGCTTGCATTGTTGCTTAGAGTGGTCAACAGACTCTGCATTTTGTCAGCGTCTTCACCAAATAGAACTATGTCATCGGCATATTCTAAGTCAACAAGTGGATCTCCCGGTAGAAGTTCAACTCCTGGAAATTTAGATGAGGAAAGTGTCATCTCTAAAAGGACGTCAACGACAAAGTTAAACAAGAATGGAGAGAGTGGACAGCCCTGACGAACACCACTTGAGGTAATCAATTCTGATGACAGTTCACCATAAGCTCTCACTCGACCAGTTGTGTTCGAGTAGAGAGCCTTTGTAAGGTTGACGTACTTCTTTGGTACTCCCTTCAGTGACAAACATTGCCATAGAACCTTACGATCAACAGAGTCAAATGCCGCCTTAAGGTCGAGAAATACTACCATTGTGGGACGTCTGAATGTGTGTCTATGTTCTAGGACCTGACGTAATGTGAATATTTGATCAATGCAACCACGTCCAGGTCGGAAACCAGCCTGGTTTTCTCTAGTCTGCTCTTCACGAGCTTTGGTTAGACGTCGAAGTATTATTGAAGCTATTATTTTAGACACTATATTAGTCAAACTAATTCCTCTGTGATTGTCACAGGAGGACTTTTGTCCTTTCTTATAGACTGGTACAATCAGTGATTGAGACCAGTCAGATGGGATTACGTCCAGTTCCCAGATTCTACCTAAGACCTCAGTCAATCTCGCTGCTAATACTGGACCGCCATCCTTAAAAATCTTTGGGGTAAACCTGTCAGGGCCTGCTGCTCTCCCACGCTTCAGATTTTCTATAGCTTTTTCAACTTCGTAAAGAGTCGGAGGACTTACATCAACTTGCCATTCAGGTCGACTGGGGATCGTGGGAAACCGAAGTGTGGCTGAAGGCCAGTTGAACTGATCCCTAAAGTATTCTGCCCATCGATCCAATCTCCTGGATTGAGAATGAATAATATGTCCATCTTTCTTTGCGATTGTTTCGCTAACAGTTGGGTTCCTAATACCGGTTTCCTTAACAAGTCTGAACAGTTGCCTGCTGTTACCTATTGCCGCTGCCTTTTCCATCTCTCTTGCTTTCGCTACCCACCACTGTTCACGATCTTTGCGTAGGCTTCTAGTCAGCTTACGCTTAAGCTGACTCCGCTCTTCGTTATGCTCAGAGCCATATGGAATGAGTTTTCGAGCATCTATCAGTGCGGTAGATGCTGCTGAGATCCAGTGTTTCTCCCTAACCTTATGGTTTACCGTACTTGCAGACATCACTGCTGTTTCTACAGCTTTTCGGATGTCATTCCATGCTGCCTCGGGGTGGGTATCACTTACATGGCTGCCTAACTGTTTTTCTAGTTGTTCCTGAAATATACTCTTAGCTTGACTATCATTAAGTAGGACCCTAAGGGGTTTCCTTGCAGCATGTTTCCTACGTCCAGTAAGACGTAGACAGATACGCGCTCGCACTAGAGCATGATCTGAGTCTAAGCATGTGCTCCAGAATGAGCGACAGTCTTCTATCGAGCCCCTCCATCGGTGGCTGATAGCGATGTGATCTATTTGGGTCCAGCGTTGAGACGAATTAGGGGGTCGCCATGTCAAAAGATGTTTTTCCTTATGCTTAAAGTTAGTGTTTGCAAGAAACAGGCGGTTATCTGAGCATAGCTGCAACAGACGGTCGCCGTTATCTGTTCTTCGAGCCGCGACACCATAAGATCCACCCAGGTGTCTTTCCTTTTCGCTTAGTTTACCTACTTGAGCATTAAAGTCACCAGCCACTATTACTACATCTGAACGCCTAGCTTTTCGGAGAAGGTCGGAAAGCTTTCTGTAAAACTCATCTTTTACATCATCTGAGCTGCAGTCAGTGGGAGAGTAGGCAGAGACGACGAAGAGGCAACGACGAGTGTCCCTATCTTTTCGAATCCTTACTGTTCCGTTTAGTCGGACAGCACACAAACGACTGTCTACTGGGATCCAGTCTAAGAGAGCTAGTTCTGTCCTAGGACTCAATGCTATACCTACGCCAGCGAGGCCACGGGATGCAGCATCAGGGCTTCCAGATACACGAAGCGTAAATCGAGTTGGTTCGTTACTTTGACATGGTGCAGTCAAATGAATGACACTACTAGGATCCTGTGTGCGCGTTTCGGAGACGCAGCACACATCGATGGAGCGAGATTCTAAAGTCTTAGCTAAGGAAGCCTGTTGTCCTATTTGGCACAGTGTTCGGACGTTGAAAGCTCCTACGTGTAGTTTAGAGCGTGGTTTCAGGAGACCAGGAATAACATTCCGCGTACTCGAATCGTTCGCACTAGCGGGGCGAGGTGATAAAGGGACGTGAGAAGGGTTAGTCGTGGAGATAAGAGAGTTATTAGGAGGTGTAGGAAGGATTTGAATGTGACCAACTTGGTCTCGTGTGCTGTTACGGGTATGAGGGCTGATATCACTTCCCGGTTGCCCACACCGTGGAAGGGTATTTCTTGGGGGACCTGAAAAGGAAATCGGATTAGTGTTGGTCTTAGCGACCTGAGTGCGTGACCGCAGAGCCCAAGGGACAACTGCTTGAGGCCGGTCGCGCACGGCCTTTTTGTGGGAGGTTTTTAATGTGTTAGCTCCGTTCTTCAAAGGGCCTTACCGCCGGAGACGGAAATCCGTGGGGTAAGGTGAGGTGTGACATTTTTAGGGTCAACCTTTTCTAACCCCTTCCTTCCTTGTGAGAAGGCAGCATCGCTGCAGATGCTGGTTGTCCGAGGGAAACACCTTACTGCTGTCACACCTCTGTACAGTCAGCAGTACGACTTCGCCCTCAGACCTTGAGTTTCTGCTTTTAGTCTTACCGTTCTCCAATCGACCTGCCTGGCATGGTAGAACCTGAGGGAACATGTGTTCCAGCCAATATAGCTCGGTTGGGTCATCACGATAGGCAAGCCCGACCACCACGTCAAGGTAGCAGCTACGGTCGGTCCTACGTTGTAGCTGACTGAATTACTACGGCGAGGAAAACCCGCTGATTTATTAAAATGAGTGATGTCTCAGCGAAGAAAACTTCCTTTTTCGACGATATCATTTTTGTAAGCTTGTACAATCGTGTTTATATTTAATTTTACATGTCTACAATAGAATAGATGAGTGTTACATCACTAAACCAAAATTATAATAGTTAAACGTTGTTATGTATCAGGTATAAGTCCATAAAAATGGAATGGTTTCGGATCATAAAGTGATCAAAATTTTCGAGAGACTTCAAGTATTGATTATGACAACACAGAAGGGTATTGTTTCATTTAATAAAATAATCAAAGTCCTTAAAAGCTCTCATGTATTCAACGAACAGAAGTACTCCACTTCGTAACAAAGTAATCAAATATTACCAAAGGATTAAATTATCTAGCAGTTCTAGAGATAATAAATAACTTATTGATGAAATATAGACGACAACTGTTTACTTTACTATGGTGAAGAATAAGATAATAAGTAAAAAGTGATAAAAGCATGGAAGAATAAGGGATTGGACATGAGTCTTCTACATAGAGATCAGTTTTGAACGATTATATCTTATCTGCAATGTGTGCTCCTGTAACTAGTTGTCTCGCGTGAATATCTGGCAGTTAAAACTAGTCCTGTTTGATAAATTTATCAACATAATTCTGGTTCATGTCGAAAACTTTCGTCAAATTTAAATGATCTTCACAAACCACTCAGTCAGTAATAATTTTCTCTCTAGCTACTGACCTAGAAATATAGATTCCCGAAGTTCTGACGGCAAGTTATGACTGGTAGAGATCGGTCATATCAGTAATATTAAAGGTCTTTGCTCTTCACGAGTTCGTTTCCAAGGGTATAGTGTATGTACACAGATAGTTGTGTTGAGTTTAAAAATATCACATGAGTTTTATTCTTGGTCGTGTAAAAAGCTGTTCTTAAAATGTCTTATTATGAATAATTATTTATCCTTAGGATCAAATAATTTAAATTTGCTTCAACCAATTGGTCAGTTTGGTACACGACTTAGTGGAGGTAAAGATGCTGCATCTCCTCGTTATATATTCACTGCCTTGAACTCACTTACACGACTTATTTTCCATTTGGAGGATGATCCTCTGTTAAATTATCTATACGATGATAATCAACGTATTGAACCCGAATGGTATGCTCCAATAATTCCCATGGTCCTTGTCAATGGAGCAGATGGTATCGGAACTGGCTATGCAACGCATATTCTCAACTATAATGTTATAGAGATAATAAACAACCTTTATCGTATGTTAGATGGCGAAGAACCGCATCGTATGTTGCCGAACTTCCGTGGCTTTACTGGTACCATTGAGGTAAGAAAAAAGAACACTGGATATTATTATTGTTATTGTCGTTTGTTAGATTATGTGCTCCACTGTCATGTTGTACTTATTACTATTTATATATCAATAAATAAATTTATTTTTAGGATTTGGGTAATAATCGTTATGTTTGCTATGGAGAAGTTGCTGTTCTAGATGATGATACTTTGGAGATTACTGAACTTCCTATCCGGGTCTGGACACAGAACTACAAAGAATCTGTTTTAGAGCCTATGTTGAATGGTTCAGAAAAGGTCCCTGCTTGTATCACGTAAGTAAATATTCCTTTCAACGTTCATATATAAAATTTCCTAACTTTTAAGAAAATGCGTCTAACTTTTATTTTATTCATTGTAGAGATTACAAAGAATACCATACAGATGTCACTGTGCGGTTCGTTGTTAAGATGTCTCCTGAAAAATTGCGGGAAGCCGAATCTAATGGACTTCATAAATTTTTTAAGCTTCAAACAGTCATGAGTACCGGTTCGATGGTTTGCTTCGATCCTTTAGGTTGTTTAAAGTGTTATCCCAATGAGATGGTTATCATCCGCGAATTCTACGAATTACGTCTTACATGGTAAGTCTAATTAGTATTTGTAACTAACGTGATTGTCAACTAATATTTCCCACATTTTTCAGCCATTTATACACATCATAAGTTACAAGCACCGTTAAAAAATTTAGTGTTCAGTCCCATGGTAATCGAGTGTCTGTCATAATAACCCGTTTGAGCTTCACTAGCTTCTCATACTCGTTTCTTCAGATTCTATCATCCCAGCGAGGTCAGTCGAAGAGAATTGAAACGAGGAGCAGCAAATATAAAGCTTGAAAACGAAATCTTATTGCCAACTGTACTGATAATAGTTAGAAGTTCCCTTTGGATAACCAGGTTCTCCAGTTATATTACATTCACGCAACAAAATGGAGTGTGTGGAAAGGTCGACCTTAAGAATAATACACTACCTTGCCGCAAAAACTTCCGGTGCCGGTGATGAGAACCTGTAAAGCTTTATACGTCAAAAGCTTTTCATAAGAAGGAAGTGCTTGACTGACCTCTAACAACTGTCTCTTGTGATCCGCGAGCACGCTCTCAACTTGTCAAGACCATTGTTAACTCCGGAATAATATTCAAGATTTATAAGAAGTGGAGTATGAAGCGAATCTGTGTCATTTTTGTCGATTCTAAATTTTGTCATCAATAATCCTAAATCACTGGTGTTTACTATTTTTCAAATCTCATCCAAACCATTTGGAGCTCAGGTATCATTTTTTATCTGATCGTTCTTGAAATTATTTCACTTGTCCCTGAATTCAATCAGCATTTCATTTCATGAAAGATGGCAAAGAAGCATGTGTAACATTACCCCAGTCATTAGTTGTTAGCTGTTTGTGCTATAACCATTTAGTTAGGACAAGTTACTGACTTTTTAATTAATGATCAGAATGTTCATGCTATTTCTGTTCCCTTTAAAGCTGTCTCTTTCACAATAACTATTTTGTCTCGATAATTTAGTGTAGACATTTTCAAATGCTAACTGTTATAACTTGTGGCCTGTGTGCCCTGTTAATGTATAACGTGATGATACCACCAATTAGAGAGTAGAGAATTATCGATCGAACCAATGACGCGTAAAACCCGTAAGAGCAGTCTAGAGTCCTTATCGGTCCTGATTCCCGCCTAGCCTCAGCCTCTGAAATATGAATCATGTATTTCAAACAAACTCGGTTTATATACCAATCAAACAGGCCACAACGTACCATAAATAGAAAATAACATTTGTACAAAATGTGGCTGTGATTGTGGATGGCAGTGACTAATAGACAGGGCATAATTCAAAAATGGTAAAACGTATAATAATGGTTCATACGTCAAAATAAAGCTTATAATAAGAGGAATCTGAATATGAATAGTCTAGTTATTTAACAATTATACGATATATATATATATATATATATATATATATATATTTATATATATATACCATGAACGAAAAATGCAGGTGATTTCCTCTTTTTTTTTCACCCAATCCCAGCTAACTTGAATTTAGAAGGTAATCATTGATTAGTCTTTTAGATCTAATGGGATAACAAACTATATCACTAAACAGGCAAATCAACTTAAAAACAAACACCATTAAAAGCTTTGAAATTGCGAAACAAATGAGGTTAAGGAATTTGGCCATTAGTGTGGAATTGAAACTTAATCCAAACATATTTTAAAGGTGTAGGCACTCTGAGCTAGTTTTTTGTGGTGAGGGATGGAAGTAAACAAATCTAATACATTAATTTACTTATCAATCCAACAGTTACTAGCCGTTGCTTGAACATCTATATTTTGTCAACTGATTTTTTTCGTTGTCTGTGAACACAATGTATATCTATGTAACTATTTACAAATTCTTCAAAACAAGTTTGATAACATTTTCTATATACAGTACTTATCGAAGTAAAATGATTGATATCGATTATTTAGGTATGAAAAACGGAAGGTCTACTTAGAAGGTGTATTGTCTGCAGAGGCTCGGAAACTAGAAAATCAAGCCAGGTTCGTCCTTGAGAAAATTCAGTCTATTATGGTGATCGAAAATAAACCAAAGAAAGAATTGATTCGTATGCTTAAAGAAGCCAATTATGATTCAGATCCTGTTAAGGCATGGAAAGAAAGCATAGACAAAGCAGCTGCTGTGCAAGAACAGGAAGAAGCTCGTACAGATGAAGGTACCCCTCAAACTGAAGCGGTTGAAGCAGGTCAACCTGACTACAATTATATTTTAAATATGCCTTTATGGAGTTTGACAAAAGAGCGTAAAGATGACTTACTCGCTCAAAGAGATGCTAAGCAAAAAGAATTACTCACTCTAAAAAGTAAATCTCCTTCCGATTTGTGGCGTGAAGATCTTAAGAAATTAGAGGAGGAGTATAAGGTATTTTCTTATTTGATCATTTTGTAGTTTTAGTAAACTATATATATATATATATATATATATATATATATATATATATATATATATATATATATATGCTCTCACATGGCCACGCGTATACATCCACTACCAGGGAAGTCCTACTCACTACCTTCTCACAGCGGGGACGTTGTTTACGAGATTGAAAGGACGAAAAGCGAATATCCGGGTTGGCATATATTGTGCATCTACCTGGGGGAATCGGAAAAGCCTGATTCCAAACTAATGACGTACATGGGCTCCGGTATCTTGAGGGAACAAATGGTGTATGAACCAATTATTGGTCACCGGCTACCATGAGACCGCATCTCGTAACGTTGCTCCACTGTCTTGTAGATTAGGCGTCTAGTTCTAAGGCTCCGGGTCTGGCTTCCTTAAGAAAACCACCTGCTTCGGTCTGAGTACCCGGGCAGTATCATATCTCACACACAAATCAAGTGACTTGTGTGACACGTATGTATTCAGTGCCCCTTTGTACCAATATTTATGAGTTCAAATAATAATAATACTTCATGAACCTGCATCTTTTAATAATGAAATGATATCTCTCTACATATTGTTTTTGTTCAGAAAGTAGAAGCGGAGTTGGCCACTGAGGAACAGGCTGCAATCGAAGCAGCTGAAAAAAAATTAAAAATAGCATCGACTACAGCAGCTGGTCGTGTTGCTGCTACAAAATCACGTAAATTAGCAATGGAAACAAGACCAGATCCAATGGGTAGACGAATTGTTCCGACAGTAGATGCTGATATGATGAAGAAGGTGGAGGGAAATAAGAAGAAACGAAATAAAGCAGAAAATGATCCAAATGAAGGTTTGTTTTATGGCATTATACTTTTGTCGTTAGTGAGAAATCAATTATAAGTTGCAAATAGGTCTTCTACTGTATGTTAATTTTGTTTATTATTTCATACATGTATACGAATTGCACAGTTGATATACTTTGCAGTTTCATTCATTCATTAAAACAATAGGTTTTCACTAAAAATAATTTTCTTTAAAATGGATACTCATTTTGACTACTGAAACATCATCGTTATGTGTCGTTTAGTGTTTGTGAACGAAATTGATTTCGAAATTGTTGCCATATACCAGATGTTTTTAATTTGTTTTTCTCCTACTCTTCTTTAACTGTTGGTTTGAAACATTTTCTCAATTTTGTTTCGAGTTATTAGCGTATATTTGCTCCCATTCGTTTCAGTTTCCTTTTTCTTTCTATAAGGTAACGAGTTGGATAATAGTTTCGAAGTGAATGATGAAGAAAACTATGGAAATGATGAACCTAAACCGCTTGCTCAGCGTCTTGGTGTTTCTGAAAAAACAGATGTACTGAAGACAGCTACTACACGTGGACGTGGTAAAGGAAGAACTGTCCCAACAAGTCGTCCAAAGCTTCCGAAACCATCTAGTCCAAGTGAGTATTCTTCGGGTGAATACTGTTCATTAACATATGAAAGCATGTACTAGTAATTTTTTCCTATTATGGTTGAAGGTTACAGCATGGTGGACAAACAAATTTATATGCGTTTGCTAATTCCCTCTCATTTGTTTTTTAATATTTTTCAGTGGTTGTATTTAATATAAATAATTATACCTATGAACTGCCACTGTTGAAAATAAACAAGTTGGTACATTTCTCTTTTAGATATTAGTCCTGTTAAACGTAAAAATGTGGGTGGAAATGCCAAGCGTAAACGGTCTAGTCGTATGCCATGGGAGTCTGGCTCTGACACAGGAGACTCAGAAAGTCATGTCTCTATTGATAGTGATAATGATTACATTTCCCCAATTTCTGGTTAGTGTTCTTTTATCTTTCCAAGCTGTATATTAATCTGATTTTTGATGGTTTGTTGGTTGTAATTATTTACTGAACTGAATGATTTAATTGCGAAGCTTCATTTGTCATTCTAGATAGCAACATTGTCAATGTTCACTTCCACAAATCTAACCACACCATGTCAACTTTATATAACAAGTTAATAGTGTATCTTTTTCACTGCATTCACATCTGTTCAACTTTAATCACTGTCTACTATTATATTGCATTCATTAATATCCATAAACCTACATTAGCCAGTTTTTTCTTCAAAAATAATATTTTGAAACGTTTTATTTATGGATTTACAAATTTTTAGGCATTAATAATTTATTTCGATGGAATATAAGTTGGGGAGCTAAACGTTTGCATTTACTGTAAAGTTTCGCTATAATATTTATTGTATCAGTTGGTCAAAAGTAGATTACATTCTCTATCATAATATATTTACTAAATTATCTCAAAATTGTAAATATTATGATGTAAAACTTTTGACAAATAATTCATGGTATGAAGTACTAGTAAATATTGTATAGAGCCACATTGCAGTGATAAAAATATTCATTCATTTTTACCCCATGTTCAACTCTGTCATATTTTCTTCTGTTTCCTGGCCGACCACTTTTGGTCGAGTCATAGCTTGTGGCTTACTGCTATCGTAATTGGTTACTCTAAATGGTGTTCGTCAGGGTTATCTACTTTCTTCATTTTTATGTAGATTTGTCCTAGTCATGGTTTTAGAGATAACTTTTTCATCGTCTGACTTTCCAGGAGTTTATCTTCGACCATGAGATTTACTTGTTGACTTAAAATACGGAGATGATATAATCCTGTTTAGTGAAGACCCTGACAAAATACAGTCTTCTGACCAGCTTATGCAAGCATGTTTAGAATGCAGTTCTCTCCCTCTGGATGTAAAATATTACTTCGGGATTGACTTGCGTCACCGCCTGAATTAATGATAGGCAGTGAAGTAGTTGAACGCATCGACTGCTTCACTTATCAGTCCTAATGGTCTGGTGTCTGACGAAATCCCAGCACGCATTTAGAAGGCTCGATTGGCATTTGCCAACTTGCATCACTAGTGACGTATGTGGGATATTCGTATTCCAACTAAAGGGTGAGTTTACTGTGCAGCAGTTCTTTCCGTTCTACTTGATGCATTTCAAACATGAGCATTGTAAGAGTATAGGTTATTTGTTAGTTACCGATCTTCGATTATAGGTGTCTAAGAAGCATTGCTTGCGAATTTTGGAACCACGGAATAAGCAGCGCCTAGATTAGAAATCGGGTTCTAGGTGTTAACAGGAAACAGATTGATGAGGTAGTAAATCTTCGTCAACTGAGGCGGTTTGGACATGTCTTACGTACACGCAACTGCCACCATGAATTCACTGACAATTGGAGTTAGCCATGTTAGTAGGTACAGAATACCTTTTTGGGGTCCTCGTGGTTATCGTAACCACTGGTTAAAGACGTTGAATGACATGGCTCAAAATCGTTTGCAATGACTCATGTGCATCCATTCTTTGTCTTCTCCTAAATCCTGAGATTCTAAATTTTTCACAACTATTTTTTGTTTTTCTTTCTCTAATTTATGTTTTTTTCGAGTCGTATCTTCGATGCCTGATGTTTCTTATTACCACTAATACTGTTTCTACCTCTACTATCCTAGGGTTTGACCTGACAACATCTCTATGTACTAATGGGATGTGGCAACTTGAACCGATGTACATATGTACAGTTTCTACATTGTGACCGATTGATATTTTCTTCTGTTTAAACAACAGGATAGATGTTTCTCAGAACGTAGTGATTATCCGCTAGCTTATTTTATAGATTTTCTTGTAATCTGAATTACACCCGCTGATTCTGAATGTGTTGGCATGTGAGTTTCTGGCATTTCTAGACAATTTAAGAAATAATGATATGCATCAATGACTGCAAATCGACACATAATTAACCATACATTTGTCCATCTGAGTCATTGATACGAGTTTATTTGTATTGCAGTTAATAACGTCTTAAGATACTAAAAGTCGTCATCTGATGAAAGCTGGTTATTTCTTCGAAGTACCTCGATCGTAATAAAAATTAGTTTGTTACGCCAAACATTCGCTTCATTTTTATAACTTAAATTACTATTTGATGTGTGTTGATTTGAATGGTTGCTGAGCTGACCTCAATATTTTGAACACAATGTACTATAGAGCATTTTATAATTTGTATCAAAGTACTAAATTGCTGATTGAAGTTCGAGATCTGTTATTTCCTTTCAATGGTGCATACTTATATGTATGCTCTTAGTTGTTGTTTGCTATTCGATCACAAGACACAAGTTTTAATTTATATTTATGTTCATTTTAATGTCTGTATATTTATGCAAGTTGTGATTTATACTTATTTGTTCAGTGTAAAATGTTATGTACTGTAGTCAACTAACATTATTGATAGTTATTTTTGTCACTACTTAACATCATTCGTGTTTAACTACTTCACTCTCCAATCATGTAGGTGGACCTGCTGTTGATCGTGTACGACGTGAAAAAGCTGCAGCAACAAAATATGTTTTCGATAATGACAGTAGTAGTAATGAAGAAGACAATGAACGAGAGGAGAATTTTCAAGTTGTTGATCACGGACAAGGAAATAAAGAGATTGATATACCGATTGTCCCAGAAATTCCAGACACTAAGTCATCGTCAATCCCATCAAGTAGCAGTGGTGGTTGTACATCTGTAAAGGCTGAGTGAGTATTCACTTTTCTGTCTTCTATCCATTTCGTCTTCATTTTACTTTTTGCTAAAGCTCTAACCCACTATTCCTTTTGCTACTTGTCTTGTGGTTTTTCATGTATATATATATATATATATATATATATATATATATATATATATATATATATATATATATATATATATATATATATATATATGAGGTTGTAGTTTGTGACACTCATTCGTATATCACTAATCTTGTTCGGTGCAGCTTCACAGAGGTTAAAATCCCTGCCGCCAAAAATCACAACTCAGGTTAATCATCTATCCTGTATAATATATATCTCATTATTTATAAGAATTTCATCATCAGTAACTAGAAAAAATGCAAATCAGAAATATTATAGGAAGTGAACAAGGAAATTACATTGTAAATGAAGAACTAGATTTTTTTAAACTATAAAATTTAACTATCTCCTAAATGATTCAGATATTTGCTTTCTGTTTGTATATATGTATACATATGCTCTATAACTTCTGAGGATATTACTTATCTAGTCTTTCCCTTATTTTTTTTTTGAATATTAGTTCTAGGTCAACATCTCGTGGTGCTTCTGCTATTGCATCAGGTCGTGGACGTGGTCGTGGTGGCAAAGGACGGCAGTTTTCAGCTCCACCTAAATCACAACCTAGTATCAAATCAATGTTTCCTCCTACTCAGAAGAAAACCACAATAAATATTTCAACAGACGATGATTCTAATGATGCCGCAAGTAGTTAGTGTATTTCATTAAACATTATTAGCATTGTAGATAACAGTTCTGTGTTTTGTATGTTATATCCACTTATCTGTTATTTTTCATTCACCGATTCACTGCTACATTTAGGTCGTAATACTAGCCAGTCAAACAAGTATCAAAACGTTAACCTAGTGGCTATCATATATAGAGTAACCTCACAGTAGGTGTAAATCGTCAAAATCCCTTGATCTAAATTTTTAACCGTCTGACTCTAAAATTATAGTGTTCATCACAATTTATTGAATTTCATAATAGGATATGTTTTGGTAAGTTTGAGTAGTGGACGCTCTGTTATGAAACTCGCTTTTTTAAATGCTTTCCAAATGTAGGATGAGTGTCACAGCAACTCAGTTAGCCCTGGTATGGCGGAGAGTGGAGAGAGTCCACTGTCCCTCTGTAAATACTCTCACATGGCCACGCGTATACAGCCATTACCAGGGAAGTCCTACTCACTACCTTCTCACAGCGGGGGCGTTGTTTACGAGATTGAAAGGACGAAAAGCGAATATCCGGGTTGGCATATATTGTGCATCTACCTGGGGGAATCGGAAAAGCCTGATTCCAAACTAATGACGTACATGGGCTCCGGTATCTTGAGGGAACAAATGGTGTATGAACCAATTATTGGTCACCGGCTACCATGAGACCGCATCTCGTAACGTTGCTCCACTGTCTTGTAGATTAGGCGTCTAGTTCTAAGGCTCCGGGTCTGGCTTCCTTAAGAAAACCACCTGCTTCGGTTTGGGCGCCTGGGCATTATTCCAGGTCTCACAAATTAAATGACGAAGTGTGGCGCATATATATGGTGCATTCTTGTATCAATGTTTATGTGTTTAAATAAAATAAAATAAAGCAAATATATTACTCTGAGTAATCGTGGAGATAATGACTATATATTGATTAATCAGTGTTTTTACAGTTTTACTTGTAGTCTAGATCATAGTAATACAACATAATAGATACAAGCTTTTGAGAATTAAACTTTTATTAGTGAAAATAATATTAAATTTATGTTCGACTTTTTATTGTTTTGTGTAGTATTATATAAAGAAAATAACTGTGAAAATTGCATTAATTTGATAGACTTTTTATGATTTATTTATTCCCAAATCAGTAACTACTTCTCAAAAAGAGCCTAGAGTAAATTCTCGACGTACTGTAACAAATCGTGCTCGATACGTATTTGATGATGATGATGATGAAGATGACCATCTAGATGTTGATTCAGATGACAGTGGTGCCAAAAAACAATCCAAAGGTGGTTCACATAAACGTCGGAAAAACGATGATGATAGCGATTTTGAACCCGAAAAGGTTAAGAAGGGCAAGTAAGTAAGATTGGTCAGACTAATAGTTTCCGTTAATAATAATAGTAATAGTAATAACAATAATCTGTTCATTCAAAGAAATTTCAAGAATTCAGAGATCGGTTTCCCCCATATATCTGAAATCCATAATTAAGGACGATCAACAGCATTCACTGAAATTCAAAACTTTAAATTGATACAAACATATTTTCATTTTCCATCATATAAACTGTTCCTGTAATTTACTTTTCCATTATGTACAGAAAAATATGTTTAGTTATGAATGCATTTTCATGAGCTTTCCTTCGTTAAGATACATCCAATATACTCATATTAACATTGTTTTTCGAAACTTGTTTATTTGAAATTGATGCGTGTGAATTAGCGATTAATAGTGTTTTACTTCTGCATCTTGAGATAATAAATTTGTCTTTGCAGAAATTAATTGACTTGAAAAAATTACTGACATTTCTTATGGAGGTCAGCATTTTTCAACTTTCTCTTCAGTCTAAGATCTATCAATAAATATTTGATTCTCATCGTTTAAGTCACGGACTAGTCTTACTTAGGCCATCGTTAAAAATCAGGGAAGCACTGAGTAGCTGTTTCATCCTAGTATGGGATTCCTCAACAATGAGCATCCACAACCCCCTTCAGAGAATCGAACGCGGGACCTTCGGTCACGTGCATGGACGTTTGATCTATGAAAGATCAACGATCTCTATAAATCCCTTACAGTAACAATAACTCTATACCTCACTAGTGTCTAGCTTCAAGATAAGATTACTGAATTTCTAGTGAAATGCCTTGGCCGGTGGAGCTAAACCACGTTGGCTGTCAGACTGCTATCTTCCTCAGCGTTTAAGGGTTTTTTCAGTATCGTAAATTGATTTAAGTTAAGCATATACACCGCTGGATGCTAAGTCAGTGGTCTAATTGCTAAAAGTTGGAATACAAGATCAAAGATCCTGATCTCTATTGGTTGTATCTGTATAATGCTTCCAACTTTCCAATTGTGGTCTATCTAAGATTAGTACGTGAATAAAACTATGAAGATCCTACAATTTTTACAAATTCCCTGTACAAATATTTTTTTGTTAATAGTTAAAATCGCCGTCTAGAAATGCGCGTTTCATTCTTCCTTCACTGATCTTAGCTATAGATTATTTTTCTAACGGATTTTGTGTATTACTTATGATATTCAATATTGTTCATTTTTGTTTTCCTTTTGGTCCTCATGTTTTAGGTCAAAGAAGGGAGCTCTAGATGACTCAGATTTTGAATTCTCCGATTAGACACTTGTACAGAAATCCTTTTTGTTTGAACCATTTTTTGTTAAACAACTGTTATTTCTCTTTCACGAGGTTCCATTATAATTGTTACATATTCCTCTCCCTGTTTTTTTATTGGACATTTTCATCCTAGAAATTTAACACATATACTCATATATATATATATATATATATATATATATATATATATATATATATATATTTCTTTTATGTTCCTTACCATATTGTATTAAAGTTCATTTTGGTATATACTTATAACTGTTACAGAAATGGACATATTACTTATGACAAAATGTTGACAGTTTAGTATGTTACTTGTTTTTGTGGTTTATATTCTACGTTATTTCTCTTATTGCACTTTTCATAATTATAATAAACCATTTACTGTTTTTTTACTGCACTAAATAATAAAAAAAATGCTTTTTGTTAAATAGGTCCCAGTTTTTGTTTTTGTCCATGTATTTAAATGTACCTTGTTATGTTCAAAAAAATTTTTATTCTCATTATTTTATGTAAGGCATACATTAATATTGATTCGTTTCGTTGTGCGGTATTGTCTTCATGGTAAACAATTTTCACTAATTAAAATCTAATAGTTTCATGAGTTTGTCATTTTCGGCACCAGATATAGTTTACTATTTTTAGGAAGCTGTTTGCTGTAATAGTCGAAACACACTATTAAATGACACGTAAAATCCATGAAATAAAAAGACAGTACGATTATGATGAAATTATATTAAATACATAACAATACTGAACTTGTGAGGTCTTCACAATAAAAAATGCGAATATGTATAATTTAAGAAGTGTACTTCCTAAATTGGATATGTAATGATACTTAGAAGAATATTCGATAAACTGGTTAGAGCCTATTAAGCAAATTCGAATGTCTGAAGCGAAAAAGCATGGGTATGAGAACGTTACGGAAGTGAACAGATTAAATTGCGACACAACGGATAATCATTCAACAATCAATTGAATAGAACCCGTCACTATACATCAACTTCCTTGGTCATGCGAAAGCATTTGACAGTGAGGATTGGATGACCTTACAGAACCCTCTTCGACACTATGGTGAACCTGAGAAAATCGTCATCATACGGAATTCATACGATGAGCCACACTACAAAGTCGTACATGCAGTGCAGCAGACAGACGCATTCCAAGTGAGGATCGAAGTCAGACAATGCTGCTTAATCTCCCCCTTTTTTCTTCTGGTGCTTGACTGGATTATGAAGAGCTCCATATCTGAGGGGAAGCACGGAACACAATGAACAGGTTGGATGCAACTAGACGATTCGGACTTGACAGATGACCTAGTCCATCTATTCCATCTCAACGAACAAATGAAGATGAAAGCAACTAGTGTAGTCGCAGCAGTCTCTGCATCAGTAGGCCTCAACATACACAAGGGAAAAAACCACGTCCTCAAATACAACATGGAGAACGCCAACCCAATCTCACTTGATAGGGAAGCTCTGGAAGATGTGGAAAGTGTCACGTACTTGGAAAGCATCATCGATGAATGACGAGGATCAGATGCAGACTTAGCGGTAAGGATTGGAAAAGTAAGGGTAGCATTCCTACAGTTGAAGAACATGTGGAACTCGAAACAACTGTCAACCAATATCAAAATTAGAATCTTCAATACGAACGTCAAGACAGTTCTACTCTATGGAGCTGAGATTTGGAGAACTATGACTAACATCAAAAAGTAAAAGTATGTAAAAACAGTTGTTCACGCAAGATACTGAATGTCCGTTGGCCGGATACCATTAGCAACAACCTACTGTGGGTGAGAACTGACTAGATTTCAGCTGTAGAGGAAGTTAGGAGATGATGGAGGTGGATAGGACACACACTATGGAAATCATCCAAATGCATCACAAACCACGCCAAAGAACATTGCGCTGTAATTTGGAATTAGACATCAAAAGCATTCTAATTTGCTGTGCTTACTGATTATTAGTAAGCAGTATAATGTGATTCATAAAAGCGCAGTTGTAGAAAATGCAAGCGGGTTAGACTATTTCAGCCTTCGTTTCAGAAAACTATTTATATTCCGATTGTTGGTTGGAAACTAATGCTTTTTGACCTACAGTAAATATCTGGTCTTGATCTTAAAATTTAGTGATTTTATTGTTAATTATGTTGAGTCACCGTTGTCTTCTGTTAATGGTGTTCGTAATCCCGATCGCTGTTGCTACCTTGACGTGGTGGTCGGCCTTGCCTATCGTGATGAAGCAACTGAGCTACACTGGCTAGAAAACCGTTCCTCGAGGTCCTACTATGCCAGACAGGTCGGTTGAAGAGCGGTAAGACTAAAAGCAACAAAACCAAGTTCCGAAGGCGAAGTCGTACGGCTGACTGTACAGAGGTGTGACAGCAGTAAGGTGTTTCCTTCAGACAACCAGCATAACAGCGATGCTGCCTTCCCACAAGGAGGGGTGGGGTTAGAAAAGGTCGACCCTTAAAATGCACACCTCGCCTTATCCCACGGATATCCGTCTCCGGCGGTAAGGTCTCAACAAGTACGGAGCTAACACAAAAACTACTGATAAAAAGGTCATTTGTAACCGACCTCAAACAGCTGTCCCTTGGGCACTGCGGTCACGCTCTCAAGTCACTATGACCACCTCTAATCCAATTTCCTTTTCAGGCACCTCCAGAAGAACCCTTCCACGGTGTAGGCAACCGGGTAGTAATAACCGCTCTCATACCTCTAACAGCACTCAAGACCACTGTATTCATAATCAAACTCCCTCTTCAATTCCTATTATTCCTCCTACATCGACTTTCAAATCTGAACTTCCTCTTTCGGCTTCCTCCTCAAGTGTCACCACAGCCAACGATTCTAGTGCGCAAAACACTGTCCCAGGTATACTGAAACCTCGCTCCAAACTACACATTGGAGCCTTCAACGTACACACACTATGTCAAATCGACCAGCAGGCTTCCTTGGCTAAAACCCTAGAATCTCGTACGATTGATGTATGCTGTGTCTCCGAAACACGCATACAGGATCCTAGTGTGGTCATTCACTTGACCTCACCTCGGCAAAACGGAGATCCGAAAAGATATACCCTCCGTGTATCTGGCGACCCGATGGCTAGTTCTCGTGTACTGGCAGGTGTAGGCATAGCATTAAGTACAAGGGCAGAACAAGCGCTATTAGAGTGGATCCCCGTTAATAGTCGTCTATGCGCTGTTTGGCTAAACGGCTCCGTAAGAACTCGGAAGGATAGGGACACACGTCGTTGCGTTTTTGTCGTTTCTGCCTACGCTCCCACTGACTGCAGTTCGGATAAAGTGAAAGATGAATTTTACAGAAAGCTGTCTGAACTTCTTCAGAAAGCTAAACGTTCAGACATAGTACTCGTAGGAGGCGACTTTAATTCCCAGGTAGGTAGCTTAAACGAAACAGAAAGACATTTAAGTGGGTATTTTAGTATTCCGGCACAGCGAACAGATAATGGTGATCCTCTGCTGCAACTTTGCTCAGACAATCGTTTATTTTTAGCAAACACAAATTTTAAGCATAAGGAGAGACATCGTCTAACATGGCGACCCCCTGCACCAAACCAACAATGAACCCGAATAGACCGTATTGCCATCAGTCATCGTTAGAGAGGGCCGATAGAAGATTGTCGCTCATTCTGGAGTACCTGTTTGGACTCCGACCATGCCCTAATACGAGCACACATCTGCTTGCGCCTCACTGGACGCAAAAAGCCACACAAAAAAGACTCATTAGAACTGGACTAAGTAACGAGAAAACCAAAAGTAGGTTCCAGGAACAACTGAGGTCACACTTAAGTAGTTCTGGAAACGAGGCTGACCAAGATGTTGCTTGGAAAGATATACGAACAGCTGTGAAAACAGCAGTGACATATATTAGTAATTTAAACCAAAGGGTTACAAAGAATCAATGGATTTCTTCAAGGTCTATTGCAGTGATGGATTCTCGTAAACTCATCCCATCAGGCTCTGAACACGATAGTGAGCGAAAGCACATCAGATCTAGGTTAAGCAAAAGTCTAAGGAATGATCGTGAGCAGTGGTGGGCAACGAGAGCAAAAGAGATGGAAAAGGCGGCGACTATAGGGAACACAAGACAACTCTTCAGACTCATAAAAGAAACTGGAACTAAGAAGTCAGGTGTAAGTGAGACTATCTCGGAAAAAGACAACACTCTCATCTGCTCCCAGTCCAGACGTTTAGAACGATGGGCGGAACACTTTAAGGAGCAGTTCAGTTGGCCTTCAGCTACTCTACAACTACCCTCCATTCCCAGACAATGTGAATGAAACGTTGAAGTAGGTCCTCCAACTCTAGCCGAAGTTCAGGAAGCTATAGCTAATCTGAAACGAGGAAGAGCAGCTGGTCCAGATGGATTGGCCCCAGAGGTCTTTAAGGATGGTGGTCCAATTCTAGCGACTAGGTTGACTAATATTTTAGTTAAAATCTGGGAGTTGGACATAATCCCCTCTGACTGGTCACAATCACTTATAGTCCCAATATATAAGAAAGGGTCAAAATCATCCTGTGACAACCATAGAGGGATTAGTTTGACTAATATAGTATCTAAAATACTAGCCTCGATAATTATCGGACACCTAACTAAGACTCATGAACTGCAAACACGACTAATTCAGGCTGGTTTCAAATCTGGTCGTGGATGCATCGACCACATATTCACCATTGGTCAGGTTCTAGAACACAGGCATACTTATCGGCAGCATTTGACTCTCTAGATCGAGAGGTTCTGTGGCAGTGTCTGTCATTGAAAGGTGTACCTCAGAAGTACATAAACCTTGTGAAGGCTCTTTACTCGAACACTACTAGTCGAGTCAGAGCTTATGGCGAACTGTCATCTGCTTTTGCAACCTCAAGTGGTGTCCGTCAAATCTGTCCACTTTCTCCATTTTTGTTTAACTTCATCATAGATTTACTGATGGAAATAACGCTCTTATAGACTAAATTCTCGGGTATTGATCTCCTACCAGGAGATTCACTTATCGACTTAGAATACGCAGATGACATAGTCCTGTTTGGTGAAGAGGCTGATGAAATGCAGAGTCTTTTGGTAGCACTGAGCAACAATGCCAGGATGTTTGGGATGAGCTTCTCTCCCTCTAAATGCAAGTTGTTGCTTCAGGACTGGCCAGCATCAACACTTGAACTAAGGATAGGGAGTGAAGTAGTCGAACGCGTCGACAACTTCACTTATCTTGGAAGTCTGATCAGCCCTAATGGGTTGGTGTCTGACGAAATCTCAGCACGGATTCGAAAAGCTCGTTTGGCCTTTGCCAACTTACGTCATCTATGGCGAAGGCGAGATATCCGTCTATCAATTAAGGGACGAGTATACTGAGCGGCAGTTCGTTCCGTTCCACTATACGGCTGCGAAACATGGCCTTTAAGAGTTTAAGATACCCGTAAGTTACTAGTATTTGACCACAGATGCCCTAGAAATATTGCGCGTATCTGTTGGGATCACCGGGTAAGTAATAGTAAGGTTAGATGTAGGGTATTAGGGAATGATAGTAAATCAGTTGATGAGGTCATGAACCTTCATCGACTGAGATAGTTGTTGTGTATGCCTGAACACCGATGACCACGACGCGCAATGCTGACTAGTGTTGGGGATGGTTGGAAGAAAGTTAGGGTCGGCCAAACCAAAACATGGCATCAGTGCTTGAAGTCTCTAACTTCTGGTCTGAACCATGTTGGTAGATGCAGACTACTTGGTTGGGATCCGCGTGACTTTCGTAACCAATGGTTGGAGACTCTTGGTGAAATGGCTTAGGATCGATCACAATGGCGTCGGTGTATACACTCTCTGTCTTACTTTAAACTAAGAGATTAAAATCGCTTCATATCTTTCTTTCTACGAACTAATTCTATCTCCCTGTACTTTCTCTTTATATGCAATCTTTCTTTTATAGATTACCACCACTGAATTAACTACTTCTATGAATCCGGTGTTCATCTTGTTGTGCTAATGCGGTATGGCAACTTGGACCGATGCATATATGTGACTGGTCATACGTTGCAGCTGACTGACTGGGGTTTGTAATCAATAGAGGTTTAAATTTAAGACCGGTAATGTAATGTTCTAAATGGAAGCATCAAACACATTACTAATTAATAGGACTTTGGAGGTAACATTAAACAAATCGAGTCGTTTTACGATAAAGAAATTATTTGATTATGATAGCCTACAATATCCAGTTACATACATTAAAGAATGACATTGTTCTAGATGAGTGTCACTTCACTTAACTTTAAAGGTAAATTTTTTACGCTTTGAATGGTATATGGTTGGGAAATTATCTGAAGTATTCATATCTCTACCTACTTTGTGAGAAGAATATTCATAGCCCAAGAATTTATCAAATGTAAGCATTAAGGTAGTACTGATGCATTTATGAAATTACAAAATTCGAACACAAGATACCGAACAAATAGATGTTACACGTTATTTTGAAACAACACAAACTGTCCTCATCAGTATCTTTACGACAACATTATGTAGGTGGATTGCATAAAATAGCTAGTTTATTGATCTGTTTTTGGGACAAATTCAATGATATATATATATATATATATATATATATATATATATATATATTTGGTTTTTGTTTACCAAATACTAAGACAAGGATTTGTCTAAAACGCTACTTCATGCCAAAAAGATTTAAGTGATGTAACATAACCATTTTAACTCCAAATCGTTACTTAATCTTTGAAGATTCTCCAATGTATTCGCTATACTTCCGACTTTTCAATTGATGGAAACTCAGCAGAGTATGATATCAAATTCCACAACGGTAGAATACCGTTTCTATAACAATATGGATAAAGAAGTGAATTATCAATAAATATAACTTATATTAGATTGAAGGAGAATTGGCCTCATGGCTTCCGAAAAATCTCGGCTTTCACCATGTGACGACATAATTCTTCTGAATGAAGTGTGAATAGTTTTTTCATTGTGAAATTCTCTTCATAATAAATAATATTTTCGTAGTACGAAACTCAAAGTGTAAGGTTTTTTTTAACGAATTACAGTTATCACTGTAATTGAATTAAATGAGAATCAATGTACCATTCGACTTTATTCAAAGTTGATGAAATATTCTACTTGTTCAATTAACAAGTTATTACCTAGTGAATCACATGAAATTGTTGTACAATGCTAGAGTCTGATTATCTTTTTTAAGTAATAAACTTCATCTTATATAAAATTGTTTTCACCATAAACTGATATCAACCAAAGTGTTATTAAAGGCCAAAGAATTTCAGAAATTTATTTTATCCTATCCTGGGACTATTCAGAATCGCTTGTTGTGAATCATATAGACAATTGATATGTATGTTTCAATCTTCTGTCAATGAAATATTGCATATAAAGTCAGTCAAATTATAAATAATAGTAAATACTTTTATCTTCGCTATTAAAGCCAACTGGTTGTCGTTGAGAAATCATACCGACGAATTGAGACAAAGCTGCTGAATAATTATGTAACTCCTTCTTGAATATAATTTTGTAGAACCCATCATTTATCGACTGTAGAAGTAATCAGATAGATTTTGAAATGAAAATCTTTGATAGCGAAGTTATAGATATCTTTTGTAGTCAATATAAACAGTAAGGTATTAATAATAATAATAATATCCCATTAATAAAGCAGTTAGATGAAAATTGAAATTTTAAACATTTCACAAGTTAGTATAAGTTACGTCATTCGTGTTTAAATAATACAAATATATTACTTATAATTATAAGAAATATAGTAGTTTAAATTTATTTTAATCGAACTAGAATGTTGTTTGTATATTGTCGTAAAGTAATCTGAATCAAAGTGATAAATTTGTACACTTATGGGTGACTAATGGTTTAGCATACAGATGTAGCTTTACACAAGATTTTCCTATGAACTTTAGAAAAATTACTATTTTAGCTTAGAAATCATCAGCTAAAATAATATGTACAAATTAATTAATCGAAATAAAGGTTTTAAATGAAGGTCTTGTCGAAGAAGCCAACACAGTTGATGAGTTCTAAATAAGACGAAACATGTATCATTGATTCCTATCGGAATAATTCTTAAAAATACAAAATATTTGAGAACAGGAGCATTTATACTTTAACTGTATTAATTTGATATAGTTGAATTCTGAAATATACATTTATGCTTAATATTTGTATTTCAATAATTCAGTCGAAAAATTATAAATTAACTATTACGCAATAAAATACAGGTACCCATAGATTACTTTCACATATCAGTGTATATCATAAACAGACACTTATATTTCACAATTTCATATTGAAAAGTAAAACAGATATGAACCTGTTTTTTTTTTTTTTTTTGCTTTTCAATAAATGAGGGTTTACGTGAATAACTACTTTCACTGAAAATTAAACTATTCTTGAGGATAGGAAAAAATAATATATCTTCTACAAAATATATATAATAATCCGAAAAAGTTAACTGATCCCATTTAAATTCAATTATCAGTTGTAATAGTCAAATATTAGTTTTACTGAGTCAACTGTTCACACTTTTACAATTATATAGCCATGCATTTATCTTCACTACGTAGTAGTGAAGGATATTTGAAATGGCTTATACTTTTTATAATATGTATTGTTATTATTTGTCTACAACAAGGTATCATAGAAAGTAAACGGTAAGTTGAAATTACTAGTTTCGTTGTTATTGTTGATAAATATGATTGTTCTCTTGTCAGATAACATTATTTAAACAACAGTTCTTGAATTATTGTAAGCAAAGATGGATATTGGCTAGCAGTGGAATCCAGGACGTGCGTTTTGTCCTATTTGGCACTCGTCAGTTGGATGTACCTACACTTCAGAGTTTATGTTTATTCTGGAACTTGAAATCAGTACCGTTCGCTTCAAACCCTATAGCGTTATCCACTTAGCTACTGAGTCCTGATAGCCACTTGCTTGTGCAATGGGATGAAGTTTAAATTCACTTACTATTGTTTACTTAAATCTTGAACATCAACTATGAGATGCAGGTACATCCAGTTGATGAGTCCCAAATAGGATGAAACGCTCGTCAAACTGGACTCCACTGCTAACCACCATCTATCTTTACTTATAATGCTTAAGAATTAAGACAATATCGAGGCAATATTCACAGTATGCATATATGCCAATAAGAGACTGGCCCATTGCAGTCCTAATCATCAGTGGGAAGATTCAAGTAAACAATACCAATTGAATTTAGTTCTCTAAGTATTTTTGATCTGATAATATAAATTTTCAAACATAATAAAAGTTTTTGAGGTAACCAAAACAAAACTCATATGAAATCGTTATATCAATAAAATATAGTTTAGATTCCTAAAAAAATTTTCCGTGACATATTGGGAATGAGATCAGTATATTCTAAGAGGAATTTATTATAATACTACTTTTACGATGTGCTAGTGAGACCATTGGCTCCTCGAATAGCTTAGTAGTAGTATCTTTGCTTTGAAACTGTGTGATAAAAATACCCAGTTTTTTCGGAATTATGAATAAGCCTTTTTCACAGGTTTTAAATCTAGTTTAAGGCTTTTCTATCTACTTCCTCAAACCACTGACGTCAGTTAACTAATTACCTTCTTTTAACCCTATAGACTCAATAATTTAATCACCTGAATAAGATTATTTGTCTAGTAATACTGTTATCACTTTGTGAGTTTGATGTTTATTCTGTTATCTCTCCCAATCATTTTATTTTATATGGTTGTTACGAAATGAAGAATCCATCAATGGTGAAGGTTATTTTGAGCATCCAATTACAGATTCTTAAAACTTTTCAATAAGGGAGAAAACTATTTATTAACCAGGTTTCAAGCAGCTACTATGATAGGTGAATTCTGTTCAAGGTTTCAATAGCATTTATCACTTAATAGGCAATAGGATTCAGTTTTCAGTAACATTAAAGAACATTTCAAAAGGAGTATTCATAAATTTCTCATTATTAGGTGTTGTTTTGCTCGTTTTAAAATGGGGAAGCACTGTGAAGCTGGTTCGTCCTAGCATGATACTCTTGATACGATCTGACCACAGGGAACGGGACGTATTACCTTTGAGCTTGCGTGCGAACGCTTAACATTTAGACCATTGAACCATCATTAAACGGTGTATATATCTAACTTTAATCAGATCATCATTCTACGCAGCCTTCATCTACTACCTGATGTAGATAACTATCTCACATGCAAAATAGTTGAACTTTACCGATCAGAATCTCACACTCAAACTGCAAGAGTTGCATCCTGAAGCTAGTCATCGTGGAGTACATGAATACTATAAATATTGAGTTTCCTTAAGAATGAAACGACTGTACATGGATTTCTGGTATTCAATGGTATTTTAAGATCGGTTTGTGATTAAAATTATAGCGAATATCATTTAGAAAAATTTGATTATATCTGTTTAGCACAACATTAAGGTTCATAAGATTTGTCATTTCTTTAGAATTTTCGGAGTAAAGTTAATCTTAGTTCAAATAAAACTGTTATTAATTATTAATTTAGTTCAACTTATTAAGATTTCTTTGACTTAGTTTTAAACCTTAAATAATGTCTGTTTTAATTCAAGATCTTTGATATTAGATAAGCATGACCTGATTGATGAAAGTATAAAAATAATGTGGTCGATTTAATGACTCATTTATTTGTAAAATAATTGACCACTTAGGATGTGGTTATAATAACTATCAGAGTTAACCAATATACCAATCCAATGGAATTGTAACATTAATATATCTATTCCATACAAATAGATCTATATTTAACTGAAGAATGATTAAACTATCATTCGTTTCAAGTATATAAATCAATTCTACATTGAATGGAGAATCTATCATAAATCAGAGGACTCAAGACACAATAATTCCACAATGATATATACAACGAAAATTAACATTTTACTTACTCCATTAATATTCTCAAAATTCGATAATTGATATAAGGCTAATAGTTTTTAGCTAATTGAATATTTGTTAAATGATAACTCTATGTGATTATCATTTATTCCATTAGGATCATAACTTGTTATGAAAGAATAGGATAAGAAATCAGATTTGTACTAAATCTTCATTGTTAACAGGTTTTTCTTTCTGTTAATAATCAGTAACATAACCTGTAATTATTCCTTGCATTGTTTATTCTTCTCTTATAGACATCATCTTAAACAAAATAGACGATATGGAGACAAGTGTAAAATGATAAAACATAGTTAGTTTATGCTTATTTTTACCTTTTTTCATCAAAATTGAATGTTTAACGTAATGTTTGGATATTGTAAATTTTTATATCTTCTATTAATATAAAGGACTGCAATTGATCAACCACTTAGCAATTAGATTTAATCCAGTAGCACAAACCAGTAACTATCTTGGCTCAGTAGCTTAGCAGATAACGTGTTGGGAGTTTGAAACGAATGATACTAGGCTAATGTTCTGGTGTTCACTTCAATACTGGGATGTAGGTAGATTTAACTGACTAGTCCTAAATAGGACAAGATGAGTATCCTTAGTTCATCCTCCAATTATTATTCAACTTCGGTAAATGTTTCTTAATGATTTGTGTTTATTAATAAAGTGTGTTAAATGATTGTTTCAAAAACTCATTTTGAACTGATGACCTTCAATGTATCTGGTTGACTGAAAAAAATTTTAAAACATTATGCCCAGAATAGTTTTTACAAAAAGAGATGGAGAGAATAATTACAGCCCAGTACTTTCATGGAGAATGTAGAAATTTTATATACTTCAAAAAAGAATTACTAAGATAAAAATACGATTAGTATAAGTGCAAAATAATAATCAAAGAAACACTGAGATTGAATGTCCAAAGAATGTAGGGAATAATAAAACGTCCGAGATTTATAAAAGAGATAAATAGTTAGTAGGGTAGTAAAAATAACCTCAGACCATCTATTTTGATTATCGTGAAGTAAATCGGATAGAATCAAACAAATGTTAATAAATTTATGAACTGATGACTGATCTTGATTTAATCACCATTCAGCTGTGGTAACTTACATGGGAGATACCCTGATAGTGTTTATGTAACTCTCGGCTTGCCAATTTATCCATTATCAACAATACAGTAATTGTTGTAATCTACATTCCATGTTAGTTATGTTCTTTCTGTAGGTCGGAGGTTAGATCATAAATCAACTTAATTTATTTTGAATAACTGGATGTACAATATGCCTTAATCAGCTAGCTTGATTAAAAATTCAATTTATTGACATAAGATGCTATATGTAACAAGATTATTAGAAATACTGGAATAATAACTATTAGCACAAAACTCTTGAGTTTTATGTCTTTAAGGCAACCATCATAAAACTGGAGACCGTCAAACTGAAATCCAGAAGATAATGCTTTCGATTTCTCCAACATAATAATATAATGTATTACATCTTTTGAAGTAACTGTTAAATCCAAGTAACTTCCAGTTTTGTTTGACTATTCATATGATTATATTGTTATTTATTTTACTTAATCATTTATTAAACATATAATTTTTAAGAAAGTACATTGTTAATAATATCATTTGTTTGCCTTGAATAACAGAATGCATGCCACCAATATACACATATGGTCCATGTTACAAGGGTATTAGTCAAAAGAAAGTCATCATTTTTCTGAAAAATTCTGATTGTGTTTGCGTACCATTTGTTTATAAGTTAATGAAACAATGTCGTAAGTTAACAGTACTTTGTTGTTGTATATTTGATTATCATCAAAACTATGGTAATATGATTTTTTAAAAATGTTTCTGATCAACATGAAAATATTCTGGTGTATCTTTAAATTATCTGACTATCAGTTACATTGATGTGGCTATGTTCATCAATACTTTAACACCTCTTAATAGTCATCTCTAAAGTATTAGCATTAACTTAAAATTGAATTAATAACGCATTGATTAACTGAACTATAGATTTCAAGTGTTTGCATCCAGTAATAGTTTTTTGGAGAATCTTTTATTTTAAATGCTTTTTTATCATGTCAATTCAATAGTATGCATTAACTATACACGGAAGTAACTTTACCACAACTTTGATTCAACAAACAATATATTTCTATAAAAAGCACTAATTACTTTACTTAATGAAAAGTTGGCGAGACTATAATTTATGAACAAACCAATCAGGTATAAGGTAACAGGTCTCGGATTTTGGCGCGAAAGTCGCTCTTCCATTTGGCTAAATAAAGTTTCGGTATTACAACTGATGTTAGTTTGTGATGAAAACCATAATTCTAATTCCTAAACTTAACCATCAACCATCATAATTCCAATTCCTCATACTGGTTTATAACCCTCATTTGGTCCTAGTTATTAGGTGGACACACTCATGGTCTTCTTAGAGTCGTTCAAAGGTCGTCCATAAATTATAGTCATGCCGAAAAGTTTTTTCCACCAGTTATTATGACAAAACCAATTACTGATCAGCCTTAATGCGATTGACACTTCCATGACTTTTAGAATCTTAAAACAAATTATTGTATTTTCATTTTAATAACTGAATATGCTGACTCTTGTTTATCTTATGAACTATGATTATTATTAGTCAAAGCTTATAGAAAGGTGAATGTGCCAACCAATGAAAAACTAATACAATAGAATGATTGTTCTTTAAAGACTATTAGAATTAAGTCGATTGATTTTATTTTTATTAACATCTTCCTCAAAATCTTTGCAAATCATTATTGTGTTCAAATGAATCATAACTAAATTTGATGTGAAATCTAGTACCATTTACTTAATGAAATCTACATTTTATCAATAATAAGGTCATTAAACTTATTGAGTAATACAAATGGTACTTCCTGAAATTTAATCCATTTTTACCGAAATAATTATTAGTTAATGGTCTTTAATGAAGTGTTAGCAAACTGTTGGTCTACTAAGGTTCATAGTATATATGTGGTTGCTTAGCAGGATTGAACTGTGCTGTTCAGATTGTATAAAAGACTGGATAATGTCTGGTTTTTCTGAAAACCAATGTAAATTATTTCTTTTAGAGGGTAAATTTGTAATTGCGGATAATTAAGCAATTCTAATATATTAATCATTTTATTTCTAAGTGAATCTAAAACGAATGTGAATGTTTATAGTGATATTTAAATGGTTACCTGTCAGTGCATACAACCACTACCAGGGAAGTCCTACTCACTGCCTTCTAGAGACACGGGTGTTGTTTACAAAACTGATAGGACGAAAAGCGAATTTCCAGCACTTTAACCAGGTTGGTGGACGCGTAGAATCCACCTAGGGGAGTTGGAGAACACTGATTCCAAACCAATGGTGTATATGGGCTCCTGGATCCTAAGGGAACAATTGGTGTATGAACCTATTGTTGGTCACCGGCTACCATGAGACTGCATCTCCTGACGTTGCTCTACTGCCTTGTGGATCAACCTTTAAGTCGAAGGCTCTGGGTGTGGCCCCCTAAGAAAACCACTTGCTTTGGTTTAGGCACCAGGGCAGTATCCCAGCCAACACACATTCCGAATGATTTATGTAGCGCATATCTATTTGGTGCCTCCCTGTACCAATGTTTATATGTTTAAATAATAAATATATTGGCGCATGAATCTTAGGGGAAATAATTTTTTTAAATATCAGCGTTTTGAATTCTGAAAATATGATATTATGTAATTTTTTTAAATACTTATGTTTCAGCATGTGGTTCACCTACTAAAATAATTTACACTTGTCCTAATAATAAAACAGTAAAAAGTTATATTTATGAGAAACGAGTTAATGGTAAATGTGAAAAGTTTCCATTAAAGAGAAAACATACTAAAAATTGTATTATACGTTATGTATGGAAAATACCTAAATCAAAAATGATTAGAAAGAAACGATCCATTCAATTACGTACTTCAAGTAAGCAGTTAATAATTATCAAAACTTTATTGAAATTTTAATGAATAGAATAATACAGAACTTTTTCATTTAAATACTTTAACATTTCGCTTACACTATCAGTCTGTCATCATAAATAAATAGGGGGAAAATATAAAATTAGGTGATTATACTTTCAAGAAGGAAATGAATTCGTCAGTGTTTCTTTGATTAAATGTAGCTGTATATTTTACCAAATCAACTATTATATTTTGATAATTCATCTATAAACTTCAATTTAATGAATTAAACAGGGAAATTATTTTAATCGTCAAGTTAAAAATAATCGAAATAGCAACTTTATTTAGGTCATATGTGACACAATTGAAACATAATAAAATCACATCAAAGGGTGTGAATTAATAGTAACCATAGTCTAATTAACTACAATTTGATCCACAGTTTTCCCAGTTGATATAATCACTTTTAAAATACAGTAACGCTAAATTTGTAGATAATTTTTACGAGTCTGAGATTATCTGGAAAATTACTGAAGTTAGAAAGCATTAGATATCTGCTTTAATCTCATTTGGAAGTCATTATCATGACTCACAAAACGAGATTAGGTCATGGGTCGAGTATTGATTCTTTCTAACTGGTGTGTCAAAATCCAATGAATCAAGGTTTCTGACATCAGTGATGTGATGACACTATGTTTTCGATACTCGAAACAGTTAAAAAGCATCTTATTTAAAGAGTTCCATGAACAATATCAATGCTAGTTTTAAAAGCCATGATGCCAGATCATGAAATTGATTCTGTTGTTAATGATATTTTATGAAGTAAACAAACAAACTCAACATTAGTAAATCTTATTACTATCTTGCAAAAATTACTAATTTTCTATGGATAGAGGTATTAGCATAGATGAATCAGTTGTTCGGTCAGTTTGTTTAAGGATATTTTTTATTAAACGCACATATATCACACCTCAGAACGTCATAACACAATCCATTACCTTCATATCTTTACATTAAGGTGGTTCAAAATGTGGTCTCAATCAACATTACGTACCAGAGCGTAATCCATGTCCAGAAACATGTGAAGGGAAATTTTTCGGAGTAGAATCAAGATGTAGCCATCTCACCTCTGGTCCTGGGTGTGAATGCCTTCCCGGTTTCATGAGAGATGGTATGTTATGTGTGCCTCCAAGTCAATGTGGCTGTTTAGAATCTGGTAAGATTTTACTGTTTATTTATTATATCTTGCAAACAATCAGTGCGACTTTTAAAACTAATAATTGCTATGTGATCCAATACTGGTTAAAATTTGTAGTTACAAACTCACTTTTATAAATCAGTTTGATCAACTAGCTTGATAAAGACTGTACAAACGTAAAAGTATGACTATGAACCTTTTAAACATATCTCAAAAATATACATAAAAAGACTGAATAGTAAATGAATAGTTCTTTTTAATTTATTTGAATAAACTTAATATGAACGAATAAATACCCAAACTTTGTGATTTGAATAGTAAGGCTAACAAAGATGAATATATCAGAATACGTTTTAATCATCTAGGCTTCAATTAGGCTAAAAAATTCCTATGTATTTAAGTTTTTCGTAACAGATTCGCTGATCAAGCATTTTGATAATATGTGATTTTAGGCTAATCTTTTAAAACGATTCCACTTGTTAAGAATCATAATGTTTAAGTCTCCAGACTTTTGCTCATTATTTAGTAAGTTACTTTGTCTTGAGAAGAGTTTGATAAAAAAAGGACTACAATGGACATATTGTATAGTGAATGATTTTGGTTCAGGTGTGAATAAAAATGCATCATGAATTTGAAATAGGGGTATTATATTTTATTAAGTTTGTGAAGTTCCGACCATATTTTTGATTAATGTCCATAAAATTTAATGTAACCATCTCATCTTGTAATTAATGAACTAAATGTGTTTGAATCTAGTTGAGTTTGAAAGAAACCAGTAACTTGCTTATATGACGTCAGAATATGAAAACAATCAGTATGATAAAATATAGTGTATTCCGACAGCTTGGGTTTAAACGAAGTTCATAAAGCGCTTCTTGAATTTAGTATCCTGATCTCTTTCATAATGACACAAGTCATAGCAACATTTCTTGTGTTCAAATGACAATAATCACTATATTGCATCCGTTTTAACCGGTTATTCCTTTTATGAAATCAAATTGTCTTTTCAGTGTGTATTGACCGTGTATCTACTGAAAAATGTAAACTATGGAGAGCCGAAGGTCGATGTCATAAAGACAAGGCTATTATGCAACGATTTTGTAGGGCAACATGTCAACGCTGTGAGCGACCATGTGAAGATCAAATAGCGACGTCACAATGTGAATTAATCAAGAGACGTGGTGAATGTAGTTTAGATTTCTACAAATCAATGTGTATGCTAACTTGTTCACAACAAAATTGCAGTAAGTAATCTTATTTAAATATCTAGCTTTATTTGGTATAATATGTTTTCACTGAGACAGTGATAGAACAACAGATTTCATGATAGCTTAAATTCGTTACCAGTAATATTGATGGAGCCATTCTTCTCCATGAACTTCGACATCACAATTCAGCAAGACTGACTAGTTTCTCTAGTATTTAAAATATTACCATTTTCTTACTGTTGATCAAACTTGTATATTATCAATAAAACAGTAGAATATTTTCAAATAAATTAGACTAAGAACCACATTGTAATTTGCTCAACAGAATTCGTCCGACAGTAAAGATTTGACAACCTGACCTATATTACAGCTAAATGATTCATGATAAGAAAATCTTTGTTCAACAGTCTACATTTAATGTTTTAATGCTTTCTCTTTTTTCATCATAATAACAAATTCTGCGTTGAAATATAAATACTATTAACCAGAACAAACCTACCACTAGCTCACGTTTGATTAAATTTTTTAATTTGATAGTTTATTTATCGTGACACCAATGACATTATTTTTCACATGTTTATTTATTATAGGATGCCCTAAATGTCATGTAGAAAGTGGATCTTGTCACCCGATTACCAAAAATATTGAATTACGCCATATATGTTATCAGCTTCAAAGTAACGGTAGTTGTAAACCACTAGTCACAAGGAGATATCGACCTTGTGGAGGTGAGTCTTTTCCTTAGTGAGAAGAAAGTTACTATAAATGAAAAAAATAAGTGAGTGACACCGCGTAAATAGTTTATTCCTTAAACTGCTTAAAGAACTTGTAAATTTATGCTTATTTTTAGTAGTATACATCAAAAACCCTAAAATATTTATAAAATTTTACTGCTAATTGGCTAGAACATTTCTGGTGTGTGCTTAAGTAAGACAGAAACACAATGAACTCACACAATGAGAATGATCTACGAATTAATAGACAGATTAATCAAGGTGATTTGTAAGTACCCATAATACAAATGAAATCTATGAATTACGGTGGAGTAATTAATTGGATAAAATGTAAAGCGATATAGTACTGTGGTGTATCAAGCTACAATAAAATATCTATCCACTACTCCTCAGTGTTTCCAATGGTTCCTTTCTTGTTGTCGAATTATACACCGTTTCCACAAATTGTCATGGTAAATATTGGTAAGTTATCATAATACAATCAAAATAATTATTCTAGAAAACAAAATGCCAATTTAAGAAAAAATGGGAAGAAAGATTTAATCGTTGTTCTCGTGCAGTGGTCATGAATACTGTCCATTAATCGTTTCCAATGATTCTAGAATATAAATGATAAATTTTTGTTCAAGACATAGAAACATTTTATACTTCACTTACATAGTAAATATTTGTTGCCATTATCAAGGATTTCTACCAGCTCTATTCACATTTGAACTAGAACTCTTATTCAAATTCCGAGTGTCTTATTTTAAGCACTGTTAGTAAAATAATCTTTATCAGGTGTTCCATATACGGGTCAGTGTACATTCAGGAAAATACACGCTAGCCTCCAGATCTCAAAAATGAACTCTGAATGACTTATAATATCAATCAGAAATCATTATTCTCTTTATTGGTATTTGAATAATAGAATAAGTTAATCGTAAAACAGATTCATAGATCATATAATCCAATTTACTTCTTTCCTATTTAATAGACTGCCCCACAAGACTTTCAAGGATTCCAGGAAAATGCAACTATTGCAAAGGATTTCGTAAGGTATATTTGCGCACATATTTTCGAGAGGAGATCGGTTTTAAAAGATGTTTGATGGTTGAACGTTCACATGAAGAGAAATGCTGTAAGTACTCAGATTACATTTTCTACAAAAACCTTTCAAGTGTTCTATTGTCCAAAGTTTAATTTGTTTATATTTAAAATAAAATAAACGGGGTTGCAAATTAAATCATAACAAGCAGTAGTTTTTATGACGGTAAACTTGATAAAACGAGCAATATAGTTTCTAGTAAATAAATCTAAATTTTAATAATCAGGTTTTATTTAACCGAGAATTTTCGACTAGAAATAAAAGTTTGATTAGGTGATATTTATAATTTACAGAATAATATCTTTCAATATATTAATCTTGGCTAGATCGGTTAGAATTTGTCTTATGTAAAGATCATCGTGTTTGTATACAGTTCAAAAGATCCATGTCATGGTATAATTGGAGTATAAAGACGGATGTTCACTGATGATATTAACTGATTTATCAACTATACTGAATAATGATGGTAAATATTAAACACCTACTAATGTATTTTTGCTCAGTAACTGATAGTATGTTTATCACGTGATTTAGGCGTTTTGGTCATGATAATGTGTACTACTACTACCAGTACTAGTAGTGATATTAATAGTAGTGATGATTTATAGAGCTCCAGATCCTCAAACCAAATAAATATATTTGTCTGGGATTGTTTTCCTTTCAGGTAGTACTCCTAAATTACCTTGTTAAGAACCGCTACTACTACTCACAAATATGAAACTAATGTTGTCTATATAAACACAACTAACTTTTCTAAATATATACACTTAGTTGATCAAAAGCAGTCAATGAATTGGGTAATTATTTTTTTCTTTTAATTAATAATATACAGCGTGCGATCGGATAAATTTAGCACTTAAAACATGTCAAGCTAATAAAATTCCAGTAGTTAAGACCATGGTTCGAGTACAAACATCATGTGATAAATGTATCTACAAAAAAATCAATATTCTTGGAAAACCTATTGGTAAGTCTTAACAATGTTTACAAAAATAATACCACTTTTACGAATTTCATTATAAAAGTGCGTTGATTATGATATGACTGAAATGAAATTAGTCACGATTTATTTCCAATTAGCAAATAATTATCAGTATGGGGTTGTGGGGATTGCTGAAGTTAGATTGATATCATGAATGGATAAATGTTAGACCACAATTGAAAACCTGGAATCACTGGACGGCTGTTTCGTCTTAGTATGGGATTCCTTAGAAGGCTGCATCCACGATCCCACCCAGTGGTCTAGAGGTTAAGCATTCGCGTGCAAGACCAAAGGTCCTGGACTTGAGTCCTCCTTGTGGGATAGTGGGTGCGCACTTCTGAGGAGTCCCATGCTAGAACGAAACGGTTGTCCAGCTGTTGGGATAATCCAGAAAAGTTCTCGCGAAAGACACGCAAGGATCAGGAAACCTTAAGAAACATTTCATCCAATCAGCGTCCACTTGGAGTTTAGCCAGAAACATCAAGGATGTGAACGTCACATGTAGAGGTTCTGACTGGTTGATTGTTATACCGCTACTATGTTTAGTAGCATTCCAGAATCTTCGAGCAACCCAAGGACATTCAGAATATTATAAAAACCATATGTTTTCTGTATTAAAATGAACCTTGGAGTAAAGTACTTTTCGCATACTTTGCGCCTTTTCTCTCGTGTTCAGGTCGCTGTATAGTTCTAGCTTGGGGGTTTCAGAATAGCTAGGAACCGAGCATAACGTTCAAAATCGCAAGAGTTATCACCAGCGCTCCCAGTTTTCCAGTGGTCCTCTAATATTGATCCATTCATGATATCAATCTAAATTAGTGGATATCCAAAAATTGCTTGTAATTACGGAATATTAATGACAGGATCTTGATCATATGATGCATTCGTAAGAATATATTTTAAACTATGAACAAGTGTTTCAATTGCTGTTATGTATAGTTAAGGGTTAAATCATTTTTGTCAGTCTCTCTCGGTTGTCTATCCGTCCACATGTATCATTGATGATTGGATAGTTTATCAAAATATAAGTACATTTAACGTGAAATAAGCTTATATTTTGCATTTTTATATACGTATGTCTTTGCATTATCAATCAATCTGTTTATTACTGTGTGTCTACATAATTTTACAGATTCGAATAGAATACTTCAAAGATGTATTTTACGTAAATGAAAATGTTTAATATTTGATCATTTTATATCTATTTCACTATGTTATCTTAAGAAACGTAATCACTGAGATACTAATCTATATTGCCTTTAAACATGAAAAGTATTTTTTGACTGATTAGAATTATAATCAGATTCTAGATAGGAATTACTACTATTATTCACATTATTATTATTATTGGTATTAGGTTATGCTAAAAAATGTAGCCTATTCACTGACCTATGGTTGGTAATAGACTCGGAATACTGTAATAACACACATATCAATGATTATTATGACGGCGGAGTGTTCTTGTATGGTTGTATGTTTAAATTGAGATGAACAATGTGGCTGAGTGATAACTAAATAGATAACTGAATAATTGATATAGTGCTCATAATGAAGAGATATCCAGAGATGAAACAGCATGAAATATTTGATCTAAAAGTTACCATGATTCAATATTATTTAAAATATAAAAAATAATAAGATATGGGATTTGTAGATCATTTACTAACCTATAAAATTAATACCTGATTATCAGGTTTATTTACCCAACTCCATATTTGTGAACATGATCTAACAATCAAAAGTCAAATCCCCTCTGTAATTATTCTCTAAACAAGTTTACAATGATACTGTCTTTTATTTTGAAGCTTATAATATGACTAATAATATTTTATAATCATTAGATAAATATAAATTATGATTTCAACTTTATTTTATAATTTTAATAAACAAGAATGCAAAAAACCGTGGATAGGACGTGGTCAGTGTAAACAAACATATCCAGGACAAATTGGTCTTACTAGAAAAGTAATTTATGCCAAAGAGGTTGCTAAGAATTGTAAATGTCAGTTAGTTTCTCATGAAGAGACAGAGATATGTGGTAAGTTGTTTTGACTACTTAAAGTTTTGTGAAAATTAAATTGTGCATTATTAAATAGTTGGGAATCTAGCAGAATATTCGGGAAAACATAAGTATTCGCCAAATTGAAAAAACAAACAAATGCTCGGCGTAACATTGTTGTGAACAAGAACACAGACAGAGGGGCAACCAATCGTATTTAAGTACGAAATTACGAAATGTCTTGGCAAAATAGGACAAATATACATTGAATACTTCATTTGCAAATTTCCATCATTTCTTTTCAACTTGATATTTTTAGCCTTCTGCCGTTAGGGTCTCCACTTCCGAATGGTGTTACATGCTACTTATGTCTGTCGACATAAATAGCACAAACCACAACATCACTCTGTATGTTCTTTTAACTCATGTAACTTTGTGATGAAAATGGTATTTATCATTATTTTCAATAGTTGAGTTTGATTATATCAATCGCAGTTTGAAATAATACATGAATTACTTCGAATTTCAATAAGACACTAATAAATATCAGAAAGTATTAGCATCAATTATTTCTTGTTAATCAATTAGACTACTTTTATCCTGTAAAATTAGAGTATTTCATGTAATCAGGTTAGGTGTGAAGCTGATAGGAGACATTGATGGAGGTAATGATACGAACGATCGGCTATTATTATAAGACTATTGATTAGGATGTTTAGTGGCTAGACACCTACAGGGGTTGACTGCATATTGGTTATCTCTCATATGTGAAGCTAGTGAAAATTTGACATTTTAAATCAAGCACTGAGTTTAGTTAAGGGATTAATGGAAACTGGGAAGTTCCAAACATTCGATTTGTCTATTATATGACATTGGAGCTCACCTACCAGCTCCCAAGAGTCCGAGTCGTAGACTTTCGAACCCGAACAATCTGCAGAAATCTCATATACCAATGTCCAGATGTTGTTTCATTAGGTTCTTGGTCTGTCCTACTTTTTACTAATATAGTCAGGTAGATAGATTATTCAATCTACCTAAGATGTACACGACGGAGTGTTAAGTTTCGTATCTTAACTTCTGGAAAATGGGGTTAATAACTGTGTTGTCTTTGTGATCATTGTTATCTTGTGTGTTAGCTCTATGTTGTTGGTAATTTTAGCATGTATTTTATTGATTTAAGTTTCGTAAGTTTTACAATTCGGTCTGTATAATTTAATGAACTTAGATCCCTGTATTTTATGGTGACCACATTATGTCGTAATGTAAATCAATACACCTTGAACTTTCCTATCAAAATAACGGTTTATAATATTAACTATCCGATTTCAAAGTTTTAGCCAATGAATATAATTCGTTTTCTTCATTTTTAAAGGTTGCCCTAAAACTAAACGTTCTAATCCTTTCTGTATGACCGATCGAAATCAATTGGCCATAAAAATCACTTACTACAAACCAAATAGAACTCATTGCTTAGAATTCTCAAATATTAGTTGGATTCCCAAATTTCCTTGCCCATCAGCTGACCAATCTTTAATAACTAAAAATCAGGGTCGATTTCATTGTAATCCTGAGACATGTGAACGTATCTGGATTGGTCGAACATGGATACGTGAACATTGTAAATGTAGACAAGTAGATGTAAATCATCCAGCTGGGAAATGCTGTGAGTATAAAATGTTTAAATAGATATACCCTTAAATATTGATTAACTGAGTATCTTGTTATTCAACATATGGAGTACTTGTCTTCCTTTTAATCAAATTTGTGAATGAAATCTTGATGTTTATAATCCAGGGTTGAAATTACATATACTTGTTTTATTAAACAGGTATTATGGTTGAATATAGAAAAGTCTAAGAAAATATTATTATAATTATTATTGTTACTTACAAAATGAACTTTGAGAAAAGTAACTGTCCGTTAATCTGTTCAAAGTTCAATGTTATGCTTTCTTTTCCCATGAGAACCGTTTCAAAGGGTAGTCTGTATGAAATTTCGCATTACTTTAGTTTTTGGTGCACTGACGATAATAAACTCAATCTTATTCTACGGTTTTGGAGTCATAGATGGTCGTTCTTTTCATCTAAATAACCATTTACTTCACTGATCATTTCCCGTAATGTTACAACTTTCGCATAGCTCCAAACTTATGGTAAAGCATTTAAATTTAGACGATGAAAGCAGTTAATACTGAATTGTTGGAACTAAGTTACAGAAAACAACAAAATTATACATTTCATCCATTAAATCCACCTGTAGTTTTGAAAAACGTTTGTTAATTCTGAATTTTAAACCAGGATCGTCTATTAGTTATGTTAAAGATAACGTCGCTAAATAAATTTGACCAGAATACTTGAATTCCCGGTAAGATTTGACTGATATCATTTGGTATCTAGTAGTAGGCATTTCAAGTTATAAAGTGTTCAGTCGACGGTATAGAAAACTTACCGGATTTTAAAGTTCTTGATACAACTTTAACGAGTCATCAAAATCATAATCTACCTAGTTATTTAAATTCATCAGTGTTATTAATAAAGCATACTAATAACTTGGTGCGTGTCTGTGTGCTAGGTCTTTAGCCACACGGAAAGTTTAGCTAAAGACTTAGTTCAAACATATACCTCTGGTTAAACGTTGAGCCCATTTATGACAAACCTACTGATATATCACTACTAAAAACATTTATGAAAACATTAATAATTTCACGCTAGATTTGCCCGAGATAAGCTACACGGTGTCATCACGTTATACATTAATAGGGCACAGGGCACAAGTCATAACAATTTTCACCATTGCTCACCAGTAAATTATTTTAAAGGGAAGATTTGATGAGTTATATTTGATTTAAACGTACTTTTAAGTTATCATTTAACTAAATGCAGGTACATCCATCTGACGAGTCCCACATAGGATGAAACCCGCGTCTTGGGTTTCACTGCTAGCCACCATCCATCTTATAATGCTTGCGAATCAAGGCAATATGCACAGTATGCACATATGCTAATAAGAGACTGATCGATTGCAGTCCTAATCATCAATGGGAGGATTCAAGTAAACAATACCAAGTGAATTTATCATTTAAACGTATGAAACTTAAATCATACCCTATTTGTAACGTGATACTGATTGACTGACTGTAACAAAACTATTCATAATCAAATGTTTCTGAACATCAGAAAGTGATTAACTTTTTTTTATAGTGTTCGCTTTTAGCAATATCTAACTAAATTCATTCATGTTTTTCATGACTTAGGTTGTCCCAAATCCGAGAGCAGTCAATCTGACTGCCAAAATGGGTTATCTGAAATAGTTAATGTTACTTACAGTCTTGTAAATGGTGATTGTAAACGTCATGTCTTACGATCAGTAAAACGTTGTTGTAAGTCTCTTTTTTACATTATTTTCATTGCTTTAAACAAATGTTATTCCAAAGTCGTTAATAGTTCAGAATTGCTTTAATCGATTTAGAATTTTTAATTATATTAATTTAATAGTTGAATTCATGGGTCGATCGAAGCTAGACCATCATGAAAAACCTGGAAGTACTGGATAGCCGTTTCGCTCGATTATAGGACCCATAAATTCAACTATTAAATTACTATAATATCCAAAAAACCCCTCTCTGATTCTAATTATATGATTGATTAAATATACAATTGGTGCTGATTACATGAAATTGGTTGAATAACACATCAACATATCAAGTTCATGTAACTTATTTGTTTTACATAAAAAAATAAATAATAGATAGAATACTTCAATATATAGTTGTTCAGGCATCAATTAATTATCATTTATCAGGACATTGATATTTTTAAAATTAGAATTATTAACAATTACTTTAAATATTCAGTGATCTTGAGTACTGTAACAGTTGAGCTCGAAGGTGTATATTATTGTTAAGTTCATGTTAATCATGTTGTGGTTTCTAATAAATATCTAAACTTTATGGATCATTATATGAAGTTCAGATCAAATACAGGTAAATACTTTATGTGCTGTTTAATTAAAAATCTGGTTAAGATGTAGCAGGACGAAGGTATAATCTATCTCCGGGTAATGACTCAAAGTATTAATTTTCATTTGATTTATAATTTATTGACGAATGATATAAAATACTCATTAGTAATGATGAAAGTTCGTCATATTGTACAGCATATGAAATAAGATAGCTGAATTCCTCGAGATAATTTCTGAGTATGTTCAGAACTGCTATGAATACTTTGATGAGAGCTAAATATATTGAAAACAAAAGAAACTGATGTATTATACATAATTATCCTAGGATATTACATAATATTTGATAAATCCCTATAGACATAATTTACTTTTAATTAAACTACGTCCATATTCGACGTGACTAATATTTAAAAAGCACCTATGGGAAAGTTAGTAGAATTGATATACGAAGAAACTACATAAATCCAGACTCATTGAAGTTTACTTATATATATTCATATCTCTTAATTTCAATGCTTTAGATGAGAAATCCATGTTTTAGTCATACTCCAAAGTTATTGGATTTTTTTACTATCTGCTCTTTAGTTACGTAACTGACTTGATTGTCTAGATTGGGAGTTTTTTAATTTAACTGATATGCTCCAAATTACTCACGTTATCCAAGATCATCGGTTACTGAATGCGGTTACTATAAGTCGACCTAGTGGCCGAATGATGTGCTCTTAGGGAGAAGTGAAGACCTTGAGTTCGGCCAGTTGTAAAGTAATGAAGGTGAACTACTGAATGAGATTATCACTAATAGTTACTCATGAGTTTTTAAACGATACTACTTGGAAAGGAAAGTTATTCTCGAAATGTAAGGATTTTTAGAAAACTTCTGATTTCATACAACCAACTTATGCACATGTATTACCAAATTATTATTGATATACATATAATAAAAAATAGTAAAAATGTCTGAGTATTTATAATAAAATGTAAGTGTTTATTTTTTGTCTATGTTTCCCATTTTTTTCTCGTAGCATGTCCAAATTCTAAGAATTTTGTCAAATGTGATTCAGAAAATGGTATAAAGCTATTTGGAGCTGTAAAGTATAAAATACAAAAGGATGGAACATGTCAAAAAGTAGAATTAATAGAATCACATAAAATAAGTAAGCAAACATATATGAGAATCTACTTAATCACTATAAAATGTATTATACATAGTTGATTTAAGTAAACACCAATTAGTAACTTTACAGTTCTTTATCCAATGGGGAGTACACTGTTACTGTTTACCGATTGTGTTTCAAACAAAACAAAACTAAATTCATCAATACTAAGATAAAAAGTGTGTATTTTATCCATTTTGAAGATAGCTTACATGACGGAATAACTTCATGTATAGAAACACTGAAAAAAATAGAACAGCAGATAGCTATTTTATTCTGGTTTAAGATTTCGCGATAATACACAGTCTACCTTTGAGAAGCGAAATTAATTTATTATAAAGCTTATGAGTGGACGAATTAGGAAACCGCTTGCTTGACATGAAGTGTTAATATGTCGGTACGAACACAAATATTTTAAGCTATATTAAGCAGTTTAGCTACAATGATGGAACTTAAGGGTAAGACTGTAAACGGTAAATCATCTCATCCACTTACCTTCATTTATTTAAGAACCGAAAGATAAAGATAAATAGTTATGACATCCTTTTTGGCTTAGTTTTTTCACTAAAATTGAGAAGCTTTTAATTAACTTAACGTTCTGTGGTGAATTTAATTTTAAACATCTCTCCAGCTTTTGAAACAGTTGCATTGGTTATCACATTCAATGATGTTATTTTCTGAATTTAACTAAGTTACCGAATCCATTAAAGAATCAATCTGGTTTAGTAATGTATTCTATTCGACTGTCAATAAAAGAAAGCAGAGCTTAAGATATGTATAGAAAGAAATAAAGCAATGAAGAGAATGATTTCTCTGGAATTAATAATGGTCAGTTAAGCACTTGAGAGTATTTCGAAAACGGAAGTTTAATTTCTTTACTCTCAGAGACACCAGAGTATTTGGTGGCCGCCTAGGGAGGTCCATCAACAAATTTATGGTTTAATTGTATTAATAAAGTATTTTTCTAGCTTTCAGGTGGATGAAAAATGTACAGTTGTTTACTCTTTGTCATTACTAACCAACTAATCAGGTTATTCAACCATAATACAAACTAATAAAACTATAAAAATTAAAATGACTAATGGGGTATCCAACAAATTATCAGAAATAAATGTATGTAGCAACTATTTATCACTCCTAGAATCAGGTTTTTTTGAGATTACGTAAAAAACATTACAATTCATATAATTAAACCACAATTTAATTAACCACAAATCATCCTGTGTGTTTTTCGTAAATTTTCATTTTACTAAATCGTAGATTGTATGGACGAACATATCAGAAGAATTTCCGAATGTAATGTTCAAATTACCGAGGATAATCGTATGTATCGTCAGTTGTTAGTGGCACAGTCAAGTATAAAAGAATGTGCATGTATTACATTTAAGCCTAAAGTTTACTTGGAAGCCTGTAATTGTCCTGAAGCCCAAACTGATGTTGTGAAACAGATACAACAATGTCCATCTTGGTGTTTTAATGCAACACCAGAGACTTGTGACCAAAGATGTCAGAATATCTTTATATGGCAAAAGCTTGTTTACGATTTTGAAAATCGTGGACATTGTAAAGTAGAAATATTGCAAAAGATTATCAAACCATGTTGTAAGTCTGTTTTATTGTGATTCATTACACCGTAAGTATGAAGTCGTTAAGGTGTATGAATGTTTATTAGGTATGTGTGAAAGCAGTGCAATGACTCTACACCGAGGATTAAATTATGCTTACAATCTCCGGCCTAAGAAGCTAGATTCCTTAAAGGAAGTTACATTACTGAAAATAAAATAAAATTCATCGAAACATGAAACGTTGAAGACTGAGATACCTACCCAAAGACGACCAAGATGAATTGAGGTTTAAATACCAAAAAGCAGCACATGACTGTAACATGATTAATGATAACTAGTGAAAATTAAGTGGTATGTTGTGAAGTTAGGTAATGTAAAGGATTAAGTTATGAAATAAACATTAGTAATAACCTTTAGCACAACTTACCTATTATGAATAATTGTTTGTATCAATAATTTATCAATTAAATACTTAAATGTATATTTGACTCCCTAGGTTGTAAACATTCAAAAGAAATCCGACGATTATGTAGTGAAAATGGCAAAACGTTGATAACTGAAACCGAAGAAAGTATTTTGAAAAATGAATTATGTATTAAGAAGGTTAAACGAATTCATCAACCTATTCAGTGTAAAATTGGACTATTGAAACAAGCACTGATAAATTTACAAAAACATGGTAAACGATATATGCAGTCAGTATATGGATATCGAGAACATTGTCAATGTAAAATACGTGTCGAAGAAAAGTTGTGTAATCAATGTAAGTCAATAGTAGATCAAATAGAATTAGTAATTCATACTATCATCTATTTAAGTTACGTTTTTTTCAAAGTGTAATTCATTCCAACGCATATGAATAACAATAAGTATCATGAATAGATGCTTATAAAGTCTCCTGTGATAGAGTTGCTACTCACTATTGTTACTTATCTTTTTCTATCTTCTTCATCATTTGTTTTTAATTTATTATCCTAATCACTGAAATTATCAGTGGAAAACTTGGACTAAACAGCTGTATGGTCTAGATTTTTAATGAACATTGAATAGTTTACTATCATAAAAAGAAATAACAGAGGAAAATGATATTATAATCAATTTTATAAATATCTTAGTGTTTTTATGTACTTGCTTGTGCGAGTATTGTAATAAGGTGAATATTTACGTTCTGAGAAGAAAACCTGTTTGGAAAAATCGTCTGCGTGCAAGGTCCTATGTTTGAGTCTTGAGAGGGGGATTATGGAGGCTCACTACTGAAGGGCCCTATACTAGGACGAAAAAACCGTCTAGTGATTTCAGGTTTTCAGTGATGGTCTTGCTTAAATCGACTCATGAATAAATATTTCTTAAAAGTTTTAGGGAAATCCTAAAAACAAATGTTTACCTTTGCATTAAAGAACGTCGTTGTTTTCGTATAGTTAGAAATTTGAAATATATCTGGAAATTCGTTTTAGAATATCCAAATTAGTTAAACAAATCACTAAATGGTACAATTCTTTAATTTATCTAGTGAAAATGTCTTAAAAGAAGTTTTTAAAATTGTAACAAATGAAATTCTTTAGTGAGAAATGTTTGATATAACAATTAGTAGATTAGGTTCAATACATATTTAGATTAATGTGAGACAATTGTTGTTCAATTAATGAAATGAATACGAAGTTAGTTAGAAAATTAGATAACACCAAGACGTTGTTTAATACAAAACTAATTGACAATGATTCATTTGTTTACATCAATTTGTTATGAACATTATTTTACACTAAAAATTAATACTCTGGGATGCACGTGCATCCTTCTGGAGAGTCCCAAATAGGACGAAACGCGCGTCAAACTGGATTCCAGTGCTAGCCACCATCCATCTTTTCTTATAAAACATGTGACTTAAGGCTATATAGAGGCACTCCGCACAGGATGTACATATGCCAACGTAAAACCGATCAATTGCAGTCCTAAACAACAATGGAGAGATACAAGCAAACAATATCAAGTGAATGTAGAGTACCTTAGATGTTTGATTAAAACCTTTTTGGTTAATCTGGCTGATTGAAAATTGTCTACTTAGTCAGTGATATCATTGACGATTTAGACCAATGTTCAAGTTATACAATGGCTTTTGAAGTTTGGTGATAGCTATGAACCTATATAACCTACAGACGGTATCTGGATCTACTGATTGAACCTCGAACAGTTGAGTCAACTAACAATAAAAAGTTTTATTTTCAACAGTAACAATATTGTCAACTCACTGTTGTGTTTCATGAATTCTTGATTTCGTTTCATTATTTTATTGGTAATATTATTAGCATGTCCAGAACCGGTTTATGAAGTGGAATGTGATTCAGCATCACGTGAACTACTGCATAAAAAAACAGATTATGTCAGCATTGCTTGCAGTTGTCAAGAAAGAATATATAAACGAAGAACAAAAGTTTGTAAGTTAATATTTAAAGTTGAAGTAATTCTGGCCTTCTTCTCTGGGTACCATTAGTTGTCTAAAAATGAATCATTCAAGAAAGTAGAAAAAAAAGAATCATTTGATTTTCAACTAAATTCAAGATAATTTTATGACTTGTCAATACATTCTAAGAATATCAAACATTAAAAATTTTCTAACCACTTCACTAAAATGATCATAATTTGACCTGTTTCTTTTGCAATCAATTAGTATTCACTAGTCTACGGTGAACATTTCCATTAGGTTGGTCATGAATTCTCATTTAAACTAACGGAATCCATAACCTAGTTACTTCACCACAAGAAGATCAATAAATATTTACCACTGGCTTGAATATAATAGGTTTATAGTTATACAATTTAGCAATATCCTAAGCTCAGACCATGGTTAAATCATGGGCATTCAATGTTGCAGAGCCCAGTAAACACTGGTTTTGTCAAGTTGTTCAGATAGTCAGAATTTTTTATAAAGCGACCATAAAAGAGGATACTGTTCATTATATTTCTAATTTTTCTTATTTGAAAAAGTTTGCCCACAGTATACCACTTTGGTTTCATCACATTGTTCACCAATAACAAACATGGAGACAAGCACCTATAAAACTCAATTTCAAGAAGGATGTGAATGTAAAGAGAGTATTACAGTTAAGACAAGACGTTGTGGTAAGTGTGTGTATATAAATGTCATTATTGCTATTGGATCATTCATTTCATTTGATTCTATCCGCATAATTTCCAAGTTTACTCTTTCAGTTGTCACTACTTTATTAAATAACACTCTTAGCGAGTTAAATAAACTGTTTGGTAAATAAATATAATTAGATTTGGATAGTGTAATAAGAAGAGAAAGATTATTAGAGCTATGTAATAGATTAGCGCAATATGCTTCGACCAATCTGATCACACATATACTTGTTAAAAACATTTGAACATGAAAAATTAAAAGGTCAACCAGGCAAACAGAATGAAGGAGGAAGTACCCTAGTTTGCAATTCAAGATTGCTCCTTCCTATGTATATTGTAACATTTACCAAATTGATTGCAAAAACAAATGGGATTAAATGACAGTACGAGTTAATGATAAACATTCATCGTCCTCTATCGCTGAACAAATAGTCAAAACAGGTCATAAGAGTGACCTTAATTTAGCTTTTATGGTTTTGTACAAAAGTGTCCAAGAGCATATACCAAGGAATACAAAAATTGAAAGACTTTTGATGTGTTCAAAAGTAGTTTGTTCTCACCCTAAACCTACCCCAATAATATTTGTTTATTATCCAGTGTGGTGATTTTCATTTTGTTCTTTACACTATTTTTTATTATCTTCGTTTCGTCTTACCTTCAATGTGTCTGGTTGACCTTTTAATTTTTCATGTTCAAATGTTTTTAACAAGTATATGTGTGATCAGATTGCGCTAATATATCACATAGCTCTGATAATCTTCGTCTCTTTATTACACTATCCAAATTTATCAAAGGGATTGATAGTTTTAAATATACTTCGTGTAAACTATTTTATCATTAATCGGATTTCAACTTGAACTTCCGCGTAGTGTTTTCTGTTAGTGGGTAATCTTCTACCACATGAGTTAAAGCAAGCGGTAGGATGAAGATCGCGCTAATCCCTGGCTCTGTCTTAATTATGAATTAACGGGAAATGGGCTCATATTTGTTATATACATGTGAAGTTGCGAGTAAGACAGAATTTCCTTTTGGTTATTGTCCAGATTATTTCAAGGTACAATCATTAGGTTTGGCAAGGGTGTCCAGAGCATGGACCATAAACTGTGCCATAACTGGTATAAAGTGATTGACACCATACTTCTTTGTGACATGAGCGTGTTGGAGCATATTGTCCATGACAACCTATTTACACATTGATTTGAGCACTTGGTATTCATCCAATAATAGAAGCCGCTGGGTTACGCCCTGGGGTCGTCGTATCTATACCTATATGTTTAATATAGAGTGTATCGGTTTTGGCCTGTGGGCTCTATATTTGTCTGTAACGTATACTTGCCTATATGTATTTATGGGATGTGTAGACTCGTCTATGAATTATATGATTGCAAGTAACGCATACTAGCTACCGTACACATCTATGCCTGTGTGTATATCAGTGAAATGTACATATCTCATATACGTGCATTTTGACATATACATATACAGCATTACCTGGAAGAGAGTTCCACGTTATCCAGTGAAGTATTCATTAATTACGCTTTGAATTTGGATTCAACGTTCTGAATATTCTAGAAAAGTACAATTGTACTAGCGGTGGACTGTACCGTTACCATCTGCTCCACCAGCTGTAGACCGTAGTGAATACATTTACCGCACATACACATGAATGGACTGTAGTGAATCCGTCTACTTGTATGTATAAAAGATTATTACTGTGCCTGTCTGTTTTAGTATGGTTAAATCGAAATATCCCATTCCGTTCATTGACTCTTTCTTTACAACTTTACATTTCTTTACAAGGTCGCTTTTCTTTGCACCTTGATAAGCCAATCGTTTTTCCCCGTTGCTGGGACGAGGCAATAACAAAAACCATGTATCATAGTCTGTTTTGAGTCAACACAACCCGAGTCATTTAAGTATTGTGCTCTTGATTTGTCAATCAATCAGTCATATGATGTTTGTTAAATTGAATTCTTTTAATTATTCGATCTATGGAGAATCATTGCCTTTCACTGAAGTGCATTATATGTTTAAATAATGCAGATTGGATAGTGTTTGAAATAAAATAATTTTAGACTGTGTTAAGAAGCGGATAAACAAGAATTTAATGTCATGGACAGTTGGTTGATGAAACTAATCTTTCTCGCTCAACATTTCGTCTCATACCTGATCTGAATAACCTTTTATCAGTGTTAACTCAGGAGTTGGATTAACCAGTAAAAGCCATTTAATTAAATGCTTTATTTATCTTGCACAAATATCTAAGGTTTTTTTGAAGTGAAAATCTGTGAGAATTTGAGATCTTGTAATAAATTTTGGTCCTTAGGATATTGTTTCGATGTATAAGGATGTCTATGACTAAGAAGACTGTATGGAAATTAGCCGGTAAGAATTCAAACAAGAACAAATGGCTAAAAACGTTAAATAAAAAAGATTACCCACAGCCGGTAATGTGAAAAAGCTTAAAAGATATGGACACAAAACTGTTACTTGTCATGCGATTAGCATGGAACTTTTGATTAGTTAATGGTTCAACATACTATCCCCTACTTGGAGATATGCAATCTACCACAGTATATATATATACCTTTTTTATTTTTAATTATCAGCTTGTCCAAAGGATCGTGTGAGTGAGAAAAAATGTGATATATCAAATAACAAATTAATTTCTATTCGAATTCACTATGAATTATTAGATAATGATTGTTTACCTCAAAAAGATATTATTGAAGAGCCAGTTAGTTGTGATGAACATATGAAAATGGAAATAAGACGAAACAATGGAAGGAAAATTCGACAACTAATTTGTCATCGACCTACTGGACGTGCACAAATTATTACTCATGTATGGATACCCAAAAATTGTAAATGCAAACGAGTGAAACAGGTTATTCGGGAAGGATTATGTAGTAAGCTTTTATCTATTTTCATTTTGGTTCAGGTTATCAGATAAATTTATCCTTTTTATATTCTGATAAAATGACTATGTATTATAGATCGATTTAGCTGTGTGTATAGTTGCTTGTTTGAGTAAATTGTGGTCAACGGTCATTATTGTAACTGGTTGAGAAATATACCTATACACTGTTGAAATGGTCTATCATTCTTATTTAAAACTAATCCTTTCGACTCATTCATAAATTTGTCATGTATTTCAAAGATATATCTTAGTGTAATGGGAGATTGTGAATAGTGATTCATTTATTGCTGAAAAAACTGTGCACAAATTAACATATTTACAAGCGTTGGTAAAGAAATATACACATTAATCCGACATAGACGAGAAATGATTGAATTATTTCAAGATCAAATTTTATTTACAAGATCTACATTTAACTGAGTTCAGTACTCAAACATCATTATGATCATAATATATTAGATAAATTTTAATAATCACGAAATCTGTTAACAATCTATGCAAGCTATTCTTTCCAATCTAAAACATTCGTTAAATAATTAGTTAATAGATCACTAAAAAAGTAAAAAAGGGTGTACTTCTAAGGAAACTGAAGTAATTTAATTTTATTCCCAAGTTTATTTGATATTGAACTTTAATATTAACAAAATTAATAAACTTTAACATAATGTTTTATTTTATTCTAGAATGCCCCAAATCACATACTTTAATGCATTGTGATGATAAACTAAATGCATGGGTTCGTAAATTTATCACTTATAGATTGGATAAAGAGAACTTATTATGTCAAAGACATGTAACTTATAAATCTGAAATAACATGTAAGTGATTTCATTTTAAAAATTATTTTTAAAGAGTTTATTATTTTAATAGTTGAGATCATGAATCAATTGAAGCTAAATCACCATGGAAAAACTGGAAACACTGGACGGCCGTCTCGTCCCATCGTGGGACTTCTCAACAGTGCGTATCCACTATCCCGCCTCTAATCGAGGACCTATCAATCTACCGGTCAAACGCTTAACGTCTAGACCACTGAGCCGGCCGGGATCCAACGGTGTTAATGTCTAACTTCACTTAACCCACGAAATTGAGCAACATATTCACCATTGTCTTCAATGAGTTATTGTCTCACAACAGACCTGATTGAACTCCACTGGTCCCTGCTTCTCATTGGAACTCCAGGAATACCTCTTGAAGCTAGTGAAGCAGTGACCAATGGAGTTCAACCAGGTCTGTTGTGAGATAGTAACTCACTGAAGACAATGGTGAATATATAGCTCAATTTCGTGGATTAGTTGAAGTTGGATGCCTGCCCAGTGGTCTAATGATTAAGCGCTCGCGAGCGAGACTGACAGGTCCTGGGTTCGAATCTTGCGGGGCGCGATCGTGGACGCTCACTGATGAGTTGTCCCATAATACGACGAAACGGCCGTACATTGCTTCCACGGTTTTCATTGTGGTCTGGCTTCAATTGACTCATGACCTCAACTATTAAATTTACTATAATATACACAGAACCCCTTCTGAGTTTATTATCGGCTTAACAATAATAACTAGTTAGAATCTAAAAGGGTAGGAGATAAGTGATCATGAAAACATGATGTTTATTGGTTAAGAGAGAACCATCAATAATTAAATTTCATTGAAATCAAGTGGAAAAAACAATTGTAAAATTTAAAATAATCATTTCGGTTATTTACTAAATATGAATGACAAACTTTGAATTCTGTAAATAAACAATTATATCGATAAATATTTTCAAAAAACTTATTTGGCATTAGGTAGAAAGTTGATGATGTAATAATGATATATTTGTGATATTCGAATGAGTAGAAATTTGAGTTTCTGTCGTTTCGTGCTAGACATAAGCCACTTCTTCCGACAACATGAACAAATAACCGAATTCAATTAATACAAGTTTAAATAGTGTCAGATAATAAAGTAAAACATTTAGTTAAATCAAAATAAAAAAGGCCTGATTACATTAATGTCATGTAAATTTGGTCAAGGTGATTCTATGTAAGTCATTTCTGTGTGTATATATGTAAATGATGGTAGAATGAAGAATTGAATTACAGTATGTCAAGAAATATCAGAAATCCAAATTCCGACCTATTGGGATATCACACATAGTATTTATTCATTTTTCAGTGCAATATTGATCTAAAAAAGATTCGTCTGGGAATTAGATATAATTTCACCTTTAAATGTTTTACTTATTACCTAATTAAACTACTTCATTTTTTGGTCAAAACTTTTATTGTATAGTTTGTCCACCGCCTATTGCAAAATGGATGCCATGTAATATGCAACATGGTACTCGACAATTAGTTCTAGAATTTTACAAACGAAGTCACTGTCATTGTATAAAACAAAAACAGATACTAGCTAAACCATGTGGATGTGCGTTAAAACCATCAAAAATAAAACAAAAATGTGATCCTATTCAAGGAATTTTACAAACGATAGTACGTAAATATGAATGGAATGATAAATCAAATGATTGTGTTAAAGTGGATCAAGTTAAAACGAAACCTGTTGGTGAGTTCAGAAATTGATTAGAATAGTTTCCTTTTGAGGTATTTTTTCTCACTGCAAACTAATATTTGCTTTAAAAATATTAAAAACCAAAGGTGATAGAGTAGCCATTTTTTCTTAGTTCTAGAATGGTCAGTAATGTACAAACAAAAACTCACGATATTGAATTTATCAATTTCAAATGTGAAAGTGATTGCGGGGTCATTAATTCCCCGGTTCTTCAGTTAACGTTGGATTATACTGAAATTTATTTTCAAATAGAACAAAATTCGAACAGTAGCTTATCGATATATATTTTTCCATATTCATTTTATGAATAGGTACAACAGTGCTGTACACCAAAATTAGCTTGACATATAAGGAAATTTCAATTAGTTCACATTATGTGATTTGATTAGGAGTTAGTTATTCTTTTAAGTTCATTTTCCCAAGTTTATGCTTGGTATCTATTAACTTCCAATATAACACTAACTCGTAGAATCAATGTTAAGGATGTATAACTTCATATGGTCAATTTCTAATTTTATAAGACACTGTTGTCATAACTCTACCCTCAGTGTATATAGTACGCTAATCTACTGTCAGTTAAGACTTTTGGGATTAGCAAATAAAGGTGAACTAATTAGTATACGAACAACTCCATTGATTATATGATTTATGTTGTAATGATGATCTCTCAACCGGTAACTTATAATCGAGTACGTCCAAGCTAAGATAAGTGGAATATTTTCTGACATGGTTGGAGAGATCATAATAACTACTGTTGCACGAACAATATCATCCCCTAGAAACGTCAAATGTATGTAGTAAGCGTTTATAGACAAAGTGTAGTTATAAATTTTCTATTAAACGTAGTAATACTGCACTCTATTCGCAGATAAGTAGTGAAATGAATTATATTTACTTTCAAAGTTGACAGTATCTTAACCAAACTTACTGAAAAAGCATCAAAATTAATAATAAATTAATGATAGTAAGATAACTGAGAGTTATAGAAAGATATGCACGGAATCATTTTTCTACATTTTGAATTCAGTAATAATAATTGTTCATTACATAAAATATTTATGAATTTTCTGAACAGTATTATGTTTTCTCTGAACCTTAGTTTGTCGACCTCGAGTACGTATTGTACGTGGAAAATGTACAAATGGAAAATTAGTAGAAAGCTTCATTGAAAATATTCCAGATGCAAACAACTGTACATGCATTCAAAAGACAAGAACATACAATCGCGATTGTCGTAAGTTTCCTTACCTGTAATGAGAAATGATTTATTTTCATACGGTATGTATAATATCTCATATCAGGTTTACTATTTATCTACCAACTTGAAATTATCTTAAGAAATACTTGAATTCTACATGATTTTTATAAAAATGTATATAGGTTGTCCAACAGAATTTATTCACATTGGAAATTGCAGTGAGATTCATCCTTATTGGAAGGAACTAGTATTAGAACGAAAATGGGATGATCATGAACAAAAGTGTGTCGTTGTAAAAACTATGAAAAACAAACATTTTTGTCAATGTCCACAGAAAAAAGTAAATACAGAATGTAACAACGGTGTTGTGATTCGAACAGTAAGTTATAGCCTCTTTTTTAAGAAAAATTACGAAGTTATCCAAATATTTAAATTTTGATGCTTAGAAAATCTTCTCTAGTTTACTACTATCACGGAACTTGATGTTAGTACATGTTAGTGTAGAATCATTTCACAATTTTCAACTCAGTCAATTTGTTTATCATAAAGAAAAGAATGAAACTTGTTTGACAGTATGCTGTCTGCTATGTTTTGAGAACAAATTTATACCGATTAACCAATGAATTAGACAAGATTTTTTGAAAATCAGCCTGTTCAATAGGTAACTTGATAGTTCCAATATAGATTCTGGGATGATGTATGATAATGTATACATGAGGATGTTAGGACTGAAACAAATACCCTTCATTGAATTTGTTAATAAAATTATTGAATTCGATATTAATTTTCTTAACTAGTTGATATGAACTGTTGAATCATTCAGGATCAAACAGCACTGCACATCTCGTTTGCTCTTGATTTGAGCTTCATATTAATGTGCATTAAGACATTCGCATAATTCACATTACATTGCCTTTGTTTCTTACGGAGGTTATAATATCTTAGACAAGTGAGGCTAAATTTAGTGGTCAGTATCCATAACTTTCGTTAAGTCGCTTTATTGTGTAACAATTATGTAGCGACACTAATGATATTTGTCTCACTCATGAAACTGAAATTTACTAAAATGTATCATTATTTTTATAAATCATATCTAGTTAGCTTAATTAGTTTTAATGTATCTTAAATAATATATTTTCTGTAGGAAGTTTCTTTTAAATTGAATAAACTGACATCAGTATGTCAGCAGTTTGTCAGACAATTCCGATACAAACCAGTGTGTAAAGAAACTGATGGATTAAGAAAATCGAAACAATATCAAGCACTGTTTTACAGACATCTTCAAACTAGATGTGATCGTTCCACATGTACAAAAAGTTTAGAAACTTATGCAAATGAATATAATCCAAATACTTGTAAATGTGGTTGGAAATTGGTCAATAAAAAAAGGTGTACATGTTGTGGTAAGTTATAATAATTAAAATAAAGAGAAACAAATAATGCTTCTAAACATTTTTAGAATAAAGAAATCCTATCTTAAAATAAAACGTCCCCTAATAGTCTGAAAACATATAGTCTATTATCACGACTAAAAGTATCTTGATACGTCCAATATTTACTGGAAACCTATTATAAACATGTATACATATGCTGAGATAGAGGACTAATCTTAAGATAGGATTTGTGTTGATCAGCCTTTTATAGTAACTGCTTCGTTAATCGATCACCCCTGTAACCGTTATTACATAAATTTCAACGGTGTTTGAAATCAGATGGCAGTGAGAAGCGGCAACTACAGTTTATTAGCGGATAGCGAAGATCGTAAAGCTATAAGCACATCAAGCGGATTTGAAGCAGAAAGGTAAATATAAATGCGAGCAAATACGGAGGCAAATTTATAGTTAAATCGCATAAAGGCACAGCAAGGAAAGACAAAAGCTAATAATAGGATTTGGGTACATATGTACATGGGGAGGGGAATGAATCATCGAATGATATTTAAGCAATCAACATTTTAGCTAGTCTGTCATGTGATCTAGTGATCATAAGGGTACAAAGAAACATGAGAATTGTTACTGTTCGAATAACATCGTCTGTTAAAAAAGGGCTCAACCGAAATCAACCATAATCGAAATTGGTTGTAGGATAGTTGCTATAATCTAGTAGTAATTATCTTATGATAAACATAATGTTTATGACCGTCTGAATCTGAAGAAAGTAAGAACAACAACTGTAGTAATGTTATTACATCATATGGCTTGGATTCTTTTTATATTTTTACAAATATGAGGGTTAATTTAGAGGGGGATGGGACAAGAACTACTAGCAACCGGAAAATTATTAGTATGAGTCACATAGGAATTAAAAAGTTAGTAGAATTAATAAAGAATGTTAGCAGTTGAAGTAAACAAATGAAATATAATTAATCTATATTATTTTACTGATAATTTTATTCCTACTATATTCAATTTCATAAGACAAACTGATTGTTTGAAACGGGAATGATTTCGTTCAGAAAATGATTTAAATAAGTTTTTTTTGGAATCTGTCAACTTATGTTATATGCATGATGACATATTATAGTAAAGTATTCGTGCGAATTGAGAAATGCACACTTGATTACTTTATTCTAATACAATCAATAACATGAACATAAAACTATTTGAACAATTTTGGTGTTTCATAGGAATAGTTGTTAAATGTGTGGTTTGGTTCGAGTTTGTAGATTTTCAATTTAAATTTAAGATCTGTTTTATTGATCCGGAATTATTGCTATGCAGGCTCCCATAGCTTATTCGAGCTTCTCGACAGACCAATTTATTCATTCTACTTGAGTCACATTTTGACCTTGTTAATTATTATTTGCATATGTGTATGCACTTCTTATTCTATTCATCACATATCTGTAACTTGTTTTTATGTGACTATAAATATCGATTAACACTTGATTAAATTGAGTTGACTCACTCACCTCCACTGTACGTCATTTCGCTTCTCTCTGTTTTCCCTGCTTCCTTCACTTTGTTCCTGCGATTGTCTGTCCAGATCAATGAGTGTACAAAATGTACATATTCAAAATTTCATTCTCGTATTTGACTTATTTAATTTCGCTGTTCACCAACGCGATTTAAGTCGATGATAATATACGAGGGTAGCTGGGATGTATATATCGATAACAATTATTTACATGATCAACCTGGAGTCAGATTAAGGTCCACAAAATTATCATCCTCTGTAATGAAGATGTTAAATTAAACTTGCAATTGAACAATTAAACAGATGAAGCTTGAAATCTGTTATTTAAAATTAAATCATGATCTTACTTCATTTATAGTCCTATTACTAATGCAGAACAAATGAATTCATAGTTATATTCCAATTTAAACGAAATAGTCTTTCTATAAGATGAATATTGATGTACAATGAAATTGAATTATGGAGCATTATGTAATAACAAAATCTTATTTAATCATCTTACAGATTTTTCTTATGCACAGATTAAATTAATTTTTTTTATTTCAAATATCCTACAGGTTGTCCAAAACCACACTTATCGTATCTATGTGAAAATGATAATTTATTAATTGTCAGTATCACATATTACACGACGAAACAACATCGATGTGGTCATGAATGTATGAGACGTGTACGAACGGTTAAACATCATATAAGTGAGTTTCTGTTATTTATCAAATTACACAAAAATCATTTAGTTTAAATACAAGTGTTTAAACAATTATCCTAATTAAGAATTATATGAATTGTGCATAGGTTGATATAAAAAAGAAGTACTTCAGAAGGTGTAAGGACTGAGGATAGGCCAATTAATTATTTATCAAAAATCATACGTTTGGAAATAAAAGTATTCATAAACTGATTCAACAATTAAATTTATCCATTAAGTAATCTAATGGTATTCGATTTGTATACGAGTATTAACTTAATGAAGTAAGAGTAATACACTTTTCTAAAATAAAGTAAATCCATTTAATCTTACATGCAGTTTTGTAGGTGAAATTCAGGTATTGTAGTGAATGAGAACACAAGTGAGGACAATCGAATGTATTTGAACATAAAATTACAGAACGTTTTAGTAAAATCTGAGAGCCATACAGTAAATACATGGTCTTCAAAATGTCAATGAATTGACTCAAACTTCAATATTCCTTCATTTCCACAGAAATCATGATTGCCCCTGATGAAAATGTAGAATTTAGTGATGAAACACTGATAAAAAATTTTCATTGTAACAGTAACAACTGAACTACAGGATTTTAAACTGAAATAAATCGACTATGACCTTTCGTAGTCAAGTGTAATTATCTCTGTTATCTTTATTCATAAATCTTGGTATTATTATTATTATTATTATTATTATTATTATTATTATTATTATTATTATTATTATTATTATTATTATTATTATTATTATTATTATTATTATTATTATTATTATTATTATTATTGGTTAAATATCATTATTAATCTCTCATTTACATGATTTATTCACTTCGCATTCATCCCTCCTTATTACTTCTTACTAATTTGATCGAATTGTAATTGCACTATTATTTCTCTCTCACCCTATTTGACCCATATTTATTCTGATCATGGATTTTAAAATTTCATTTAACATACACGCAGATTCAAATTAACATTCTATATGAGTCATATCAACACTAACAATTTTATTGGATTTTGTTTAACAACAAGCCCTTAACCTGGCCATTTTTCGAATTATTAATTTGGATATATTTTTGTAGAACCTGAGGAGAATTTGTCTAAAACAATATTCTTCGTTCAAATATTAGTCTTTTAAATATAAGTATCGTCATTGTTAGCAGATATCGAGCATGAGGTTCTAGGGCCCTGCTCTTGGTGTACATTCTGCGGATGGATGGCAATCTGTATTAAATGTAAAGTGAAGCATTTTGATGTATCGACTGTACACTTCAACATTAGTAACTGCATTTCTGTACACAATTATATGAATCAGGACTATGTATTCTTTTTATTATTCTAAATCGAAGTCAGCTGAAAAGAATTTTACTACAAAGAAGTAATTACCAATGATTTAGTAATAATTTATCAGCGTTCAGTGACAACTAAGTAACTAATAACCGGAACATTTCAATGTGGTCTACTCAGTAGTTTGATATCATATGGGCTTTGTGAATATTATAGTAATTTCAATGGTTAAGATCATGAGTCAGTTGAAGCTAGACCACCATGGAAAACCTGGAAGCACTGGACGGCCGTTTCGTCCTATTGTTTGTGCTCTAAGAGATTAGCACAGAGAGCGGTTGATACACAATACAAAGTTAACTAGAACTTAATCGTTCTAAACGATTTCTCTGATAGAATGAGACATCAAAGATTTCAACACTGATTTAATTAGGCCGAGAAAAGGAGTAAACGATAATTGGGTAGATGTTATTAATACACCTTCCTACATACTTTTACAAATTACGAGTTTAAATTCTTTCGGTCAGTCTTTTTACTACTTACAAGTACTTTAAACTCATTTACACAAATTGTGATATTGCATTTTTTTAAAAATAATATTTAGCCTGTGAGGATTACTCTTCTCCACCACAAGCATATTGGAGTAAATGTGATAATAGAACTTGTCAACAATCTTTTATCGCTTCAGTATACGAAGTTAAAAATTGTCGATGTTTATTAACTCCAAAAGTCATAGATAAACGTCCATGCTGTAAGCTATTATGTTTAATTTGCATTTCCATTTATTTATTTATTATACAAAATGATTACTATCAGAGAGGGTTTTGTGGATATTATAGTAATTTCAATGATTGGGATCATGAGTCACTTGAAACTAGATCACCATGGAAAAACTGGAAACACTGGACGGCCGTCTCGTCCCATCGTGGGACTTCTCAACAGTGCGTATCCACTATCCCGCCTCTAATCCAGGACCTATCAATCTACCGGTCAAACGCTTAACGTCTAGACCACTGAGCCGGCCGGGATCCAACGGTGTTAATGTCTAACTTCACTTAACCCACGAAATTGAGCAACATATTCACCATTGTCTTCAATGAGTTATTGTCTCACAACAGACCTGATTGAACTCCACTGGTCCCTGCTTCTCATTGGAACTCTAGGAAATACCTGTCGAAACCAGACACTAGTGAGGATGAAAAGGTCGTCCATTGCTTCCAGGTCTTCCATGGTGATTTTGCTTCAATTAACTCGTTATCTCAACCATTAGAATAATTACTGTTAAATGTTTCTTCATTGTTCTGAACATAATTTGAAAACTAACATTATAATGACCACAACACAATGGAAGTTTTTTTATATTAACTATAGATACACAACTAACTAGAGTGTAACCTTTTTATTTAGTAACATACTAATTCAGTGGTTAATAAATATTATAGGCATATTGGAAAATGAAGTGTTGCAATTTATGTAATAACTATGTAATCAAGATCCCATTGTAATGTATTAAACTCGAGACAATACTGAAGTTATCAATCGCATTAATTCATCAATATCTAAGTTGTTTTCAATATTTGAACATCAATAATGTTATCAGTAACTGGATAAACAAAACATCATCGATATTAGTCAACTGACAACAGGCTACTTAACATGTCAATCCATACACCTATTCAAAAATGTAATTGTTGCAGTACTTTGCGAAACTATTTACTAGAAAAACGTGTTGTTTATCTTTTTACTATTTTAATTTCATCATTGATTACAAATTATTTCTTCCCATTTTATAGGCTGTTTAAAGGAAGAGGAAAAACAAACATTCTGTAGAAATGGACAATTAGAGATCTATACACATAAAATGATTTTGGAAAACGTGAAGTGTGTAAAATCTACCAAGAAACAAATAATCCCGATTAGTGAGTTATACATTTAGCAATCTGTTTCTGTGTTGCTAAATAATTTGAACTATACATTTACCAGTACAAAGATCATTCAAAAAACTAATGATATCTTCGTTTGTAGAAAACATCTATCCTATAATAGGTCACAATGCTTTAGTATTATATACCATTACTTTCTTGAGTGATTACCAAAATGAGATATTTAGATTTAGTGCCAGAATTACAAATGCTTGGTAACTAGGTTAGATCCCATTTGTCGATGTGTGATTACTTTTATCTGTCGTATGCTATTTTTAGTTTCAAAAGTGTTTTGAAATATACTGATCCATAAAACTTGACTAACTACTCCATGGCTAACTAGTCAGCATATATTAAAGATATATTTATGAAACGCTCAGTCAATCAGACATAGAACAAAAGATAGCAGCACGTTATTGGCCAGAATTTGGAAATCAACCCACAATTGGTTGAATACGTAGCTATTGCTTCTAAAGGCAAAAGATGTATATTTTTGAGTGCGTATACATTCTCAGTTTGAATTTGTTCAATGAATTTTCTTACTCAACCTAGGTTCGCTCATTCGGGCCACTAGGTTGGACTTGTGTTTAAGAACCACATATGTTAGTAGCAGACTCAGACATCGTACAAACGGCTGTTGTATGATATTTGTATCTAGTTCAACTTATTAATTCTCCGTTGATAACTTACATAAGCGGTCAATCGCCTGTAAATGTATTGATTGGTTTGTCTTTAAAATTCAGTTGTACGTTGGGAAGGAAAATTTTAAAGCATATATAATCCATAAATATATATTCGTTACCATGGTTATATTATTAATTCCTGTAGTCACATTTTGTACTTTCGTGCCATCTAGGATGTGTTATATTGAAAAAGCATATTTCCGAATGTTATTGGGGTTAGTGACAAACAGTTTGAACAATATCACGACTCATTCCATTTAAAGTAAGTAATACCTTAGTCGTGTATTCACTGAATTGAGGTAATGTAAAAAGCAAAATATAATCAAAATTGAATGGTTTTCACATCAGAAAACACAGAGGGATAAACTGTTAGAGAAGTAGCTTGAAACAAAAAAGCATTTGACCACTATTATTACAACTATTTGTCCGTCGTTATTATTTTGTCAATATTACTTCCAATAAGCAGTAGTATATTTTCATAAATGTGAAGCATTGGAGAACTCGTAATTTATTTAAAAACTTTTTAATCTCTATAGCTTGCTCAAAGGCAGTTAAAATCAAATACGGTGAATGTAGACCACAAACATGTCGACGACCTCTATTTTTAATCAAATCAGTGGTTGATCCGCATAATTGCAAATGTAAAAAACAGCAAATTATAAAAGAAGAACGTGAATGTTGTAAGCTAACTAATTTTTTGCATATTTTAATACTATTTCATTATCATTCAGTCGAACTAAATATTTATCTGCGTATGAAACTTAAAACACAATAAGTTAACCGAAGCAATGTAGAATAAACTTTAATTATTTTTGTCTCTAGCACTAATGAGTTTAAAGGCTAACTGAATGATTGTTCCTGAAATTTACAACTGCTTAAATTATTTCATTAGTATAAAATCTAGCTAAAGTCAGAGATATTCAGGACTAGATCCATTCAAAGTCTTTCTTCCTAGGTGAAATCAAATAAAGAACTAATCGGATCATCGATACAGGTAACAGTATTGAAACAGTCGCATACTATATATATTTTATAGATAGATAATAAAAAAACCTCGTTGTGTGAAAATTAGCACTACAATTTAGTTGTTAAACTATTATTCGATGAATAATAGTAACTCATAATGCTTTTCAATTATATGGTTAAAACATCGAGCATTTGTGTAATGCCTACGGAACTGTCTAACTATTTTGTTCTTTGTACTTGAACCCATAGCCCGACAATGCATAAGAAGAACACAAGACTAATGCTTTGAATTTATTTGACCCTACAATTCAATCATAATGATATATGGATACATCACATTTTATGTGATTTACTTACAGCTAAATTTATGTTAGTTAAACCGTATAGTATTTAACACAGATTAATCAATAACTTACTGTATGGAGATATATACAATATCATACATTTAATTATCAATAACCAACTGATAAAACTAATTGACCAAATTATATAATTACTCCTTAAAATATGACTAAATGTTACTGACAATTAGGTAGGGTCAATTTCATCCATCATTCATACTTCATTTAAAGTTGGCCATATCTATTTTTCTTGAGGAATACTTTTGATTTATATTGTTTCTTGTATCCATAATATATATATATATATATATATGATATTATGCCATAATAATAGAAGGCTCTGTTTATATTGTTGTTAGAGTTGTTTAATTTATTTACTTTATATTGTTAATTAGATTACTTTTAAAATATTTAACTAATAATTCAAGTTCCACAAGAAAAATGAAGTTTACAAAAAAGGTATTTTACATTGATTTATGTAATAATCATTAAAGTATCGGAAGACATTTCCAACTTTCATAATATGTGATAATATGAAATGGTCGGTGCTGGATATCGTGAACCGACTAAACTTGAATATAATTGATGAATTTCAACTCATTAATGAAATGTTTGTTATGAAGCATGGACAATCTAAGTTATATATGTAATAGAAACGGTAGTTACATAAGGTTCATATTAGGGCGAAATTATTATTAATTGATTATTAGTGATTCATTAGCCTATTTCAGTCTATGATATGTTGATAAAATACAACTTTAATCATAACACTATGCTTTATTTAGTTTTTTTCTCTGTTTTCTTTTAAAAAATAATTAAGGTTGTCTTGGTGAATCACAAGAGAAAAAAGAATTTTGTGTTGGAAACTGTAAAATAGTTGTGAATAAAGTGTCTAAATTTGATAAAGTTAATGAACGTTGTGTTAAAGAGAATTTTATTCGTCGTAAATGTCCCAGTAAGTGGTTTATTTGATTGTTTTGTACGTATTTATATTTTGAGTCATTACTGAACGAGTGGTGTTGATTCTTCCGGATTTTACAATATAAGACATTTATCATCTTTGCTAATTACTCTGGAGTGAAAATAAAACTTTGAAACAATTTCAAATAAGCATCCATTCTACGTTCAGCTTTATGACAAAAGAACTGTCTGGTTAATATTAGTCAATGATGAAAATTATCTTCAAAATGAATTGTCTTAAGTAGCCTTCAGTTCCAATAGATCTCCTCTGTTTTTTCATTAAATTCTTCTTAACATTTGTTTATTTGGTTATCGATTAAGGTACTGTGGAGATTCTTATGTTAAACCATAATTTGTTGGAAACTAGAGTTCATTATCTTTTTCTGTTATATACAACTGAAATATCATCATAAGGATTTAAGTGAATTATAAAACAATGGTCTATTTATTTCTTTTTACTAGAATGTCCAAAACGCCATATACTTGAAGGTACTTGTGATGCTACCGGTACATGTCTCAAAACAAATCGTCATATCAGTTATAATATCAAAAATTGTCAATGTCGACCTGTAGAGCAAATTCGTCATGAACGCTGTTGTTGTCCAGCATCAAAAAAATTAGGCAGCAGATGTGTTGAAGATAAAGGAGTCATTGAAAATAAAAATATTTACTATCAGTTAGTTTAAAATAATTTTTTATAGCACTTTATTTTCCAATCATAGTAAATTCGTATACTTGCAGAAATAGTCAATGTTTACACATCATGATGCGGTTTCTGTAGTTTCGATTTCGTCCTTAGCATCTGTATATTATAAAAAAATATTCAAGTTAACCTTAAAAATAGATCGGTTTTATGATGGTGGAGTAGATTTGTAGCTCAGGTGGATGATTTTGATGGAGTTTTGTGTTTGCTAAAATATATAGAAAAGATTAAAACAAGTAAATCTGAAAGTGTTCGAAATATTTCTAAAGTAAAACATTTAATTGATATTGACATTAATAAACGTTTGAAGCAAGTCGTTTTCATGACTTTAAAAGTAAGAAGAAATCATTGTAAAACGATTTTCATTGAAATATTGAAGTTGAAAATTTGATTAAAAATGCTGCGATGAAAAAGATTAACATAAATATTTAATGGAATGATAAATTCATTTGATATTGTTTACTTTAATCTTCCTATTGATGCTTAGGACTGCAGTTGATCAGTCTCTCATCAACATATGTGCATCCTGTGCGGATTGCCACGATATAGCCTTAAGTCACAAGCTTTATATGCAAAGGTAGATGGTGGCTTGCAGTGGAATCCAGTTTGATGCGCGTTTCATCCTATTTGGAAATTGTCAGCTGGTGTACCTGCATCTCAGAGTTGATGTTCACTCTGGGACTCGAACCCAGTACCGTCCGCCTCAAACGCTATCGCGTTATCCACTTAGCTACTGAGTCCTGATGGCCAGTTGCTTGTGCAATGGGGTGAAGTTTGATTCACTTGATATTGTTTTACTTGAAGCTTCCCAATGATGTTTAGGACTACAATTGATCAGTCGCTTATTGGCATATGTGCATACTGTGCATATTGCCTCGATATAGCCTTAATTTATAAACATTATAAGCAAAGATGGATTGTGGCTAGCAGTAGAATCCAGTTTGATGCACGTTTCATCCTATTTAGAACTCGTCAGCTGGAGTAACTGCGTCTCAGAGTTTGTGTTCACCATGGAACTCGAACTCAGTACCGTTCGCTTCAAACATCATGGGAAGATTCGAGTAAACAATACCAAGTGAATTTAATCTTTACCCCATCGCAAAAGCAGGCGGCTATCAGGACTCAGTAGCTAAGTGGATAACGTGATGGCATTTGAAGAGAACGGTAATGGGTTCCGGTCCCAGAGTGAATATCAAATCTGAGATACAGGTACATCCAGCTGACAAGTCCCAAATAGGGCGAAACGCACGTCCTGGATTCTACTGTTACCCAATATCTATCTTTGCTTATGATTTAATTGAATGAGTTTAGAATATCCGTTTATTAAAGATTTGAAATTTATCCGTTTGCGAAATAGTTTTTCCTACGTAAGATAGAAAAAGTTGAAAGAGAAAATTAAAACTAACAGAAGAAAGTGATGAATAAACGTGTTGTGTATAAAATCAACTATTAAACGACAATACATTACAAACTGGTCTTAAACCCCAACGCTAGTTTCAAAACATCAAAACATCAAACTAATTGAGTAATTTTAATCAGAATATAAAAAGCCCTCTTTTTCATTGTTTCGTCATACATATTCTTTCATGATCAGTAGTATGACCATCATCATTAAAAAATAAGGTCATTTATTTATCATCATATTTATATGACATCTTTCCTATAGTTACCTAAAATAATAATTAATTACATGTATTTTATTACTGACACAATAGATTAGAAAATGGTCAATGTATAAAACGTGAAACTATTGAAGAGAAACAAATTATATGCCCTAAAACAATTCAATTAAATCAATCCGAAGAAAATCAATATTGTGATCCTAATTCATGTCAACAAATCGTAACAACTTATCAATGGAATAGAATAGGATGTAAATGTATTCAACAAATAATCACTATTCCAAAGGTATGCTGTTGTACAAACCGTATACCTAGAATAAAAAAAATTTGTTCACCAGATGGAAGTTATAAATCAGTAAGTAGAACTTTATAGACTTTTATAAGATTAATTTGTATAAGTTTAACATTTGATAAATTTGTCCATTTATTTCAAACATGCCAAAGAGTTGATGTTGGAATATGTTGATAAAATATGATCAGCATTAAGTTGTGGAGATTATTAAGTTTTTGATTAAGATCATGAATCGATTAATGTCAGACCACCACTGAAAACCTAAAAGCACTGGATGGCCGTTTCGTCCTATTGTGGGACTCCTCAGCAGTGATTTACAGGTTACAAAAGTATGAACTATTTTTTCATCGATTTTTGAGTACTGAAGAAAAATTGAGTTATGATTAAGTTGTGCTAAGAATGTATTGATAAATGTTACATTTTACACATTTAGAATACTGTAATTAAGACGGTGATTAACTATATTTACGGAAAATTATGCAAGAATCTTGTTTGTTTGTTTTGTTACTAAAAGAATGAAAGTTTGTAAATTACCAACAGTTTCTTGATCTCCTTATTGTTCTATTCTTAAAGTGTCTAGATTTGACTCATTCAGACAATGTAGTTCTAAAATAATCTAATAACTATTCTACAGTGTTTTGCCGAAACACATATTTCTAATAAAGTTCATCTTATGAAATTTCATTATCTTATAATCATAGCATTAAACAATCTGACTGTTATATAGTGATACATTAAAATAATTTCTTTGATATTTAGTTAGTAATATAAACTATCATCAACGTTTCAAAACTGTTATATCTAGAGCTTAGATTTTTAGTATGCCTACTTATAACGTGAACAGTCGAACGCTAGAACATTCCAAGTCGCAAATGAAATGATAGAAGATAAGTCAAAGGAATGCTTTTTCAAAGTGTCATTTACGGTACAGAAGTATCATGTATTTATAGTTTTTAGTAAAAACGAAATCATTATTATAGTCCTCCAATCTGCATACAGGGGGTTATTAGCATATATCCAATAGGGAAGCTACACGTAGGGATTCTGGGATATTCGTCCAAGAGATGATTGAATGGAATATCTTTGGCTCTTTCTCAGCTTCTTAGAGCTTCCTCGAGTTCAAGCGAGGACCATTCTCACAAAACAAATGTAAATAAGTTTCCTAAATAACCCCATTATTTAAAGAACGGAATGCTATGCTACTCTACAAATGGTACAATGAAGAGAAATAGTACATTTTTAAAAACTATTTAATCGTATTTATATCGAAACAAATAATACATATATAATATATCCATCTGTACTGCAATCAAAACTTGTTGAATATGGTTAATATAAATTTATAATTATCAGTATAGGGGTTGTGGAGATTATTAAGTTTTGATTGAGATCATGAATAGATTGATATTAGACCACCATTGAAAACCTGGAAGCACTGGGCGGCCATTTCGTCGTGTTGTGGGATTCCTTAGCAGTGAGCATCCACGGTCCTGCTCGCAGGATTCGAACCCAATTCAATTAATCAGTAAATTATTGAACCAACTAAAAAGTTCAAAAAATATTCGACACCAAAAAATTGATGGCAGGACGAAATAGTCAATAGTTTCAATGTAATGTTTCAAGTAGGCAAATGAAAATCATTATAAATCAGAATTGGATTTTAATGTCTTTTATTTACTCACTTCTCGATAATCTAACTTTAATCTTTTATTATATAGTTGTATATTTAATATTTAACTTCTAGTATTTTCTCGGTGTTTTTACTCGAATAATTGTCTCGCGTAATCAAAACTATTTGCATACTTCATTATTAACTAATTCCACAGATTGCACAACTGTGGAAATTACATAATGGACAATGTGTCAAGACAAATGTCGTTAAGAATCTATCACCGCCTGTATGTAAACCACAAGATGTAACACCTATAGGTCCGTGTGATAAAACAACTGGGAAACAACCAATTTTAATTACACGATCCATAATTGAAGAATGTGAATGCAAAGTGGTGTACAGAGAGAAACGTGATCGAATATGTGGTATGTAGTATTGTATAAAATATATAATGCATTATTCTGTAAGTGAACTAAATTTATTCAAACATAATGAATTTTACAATATTTTCATAATATAAAGAAGGAAGATAAACCTGAGACAAAAACAAGATTATAGACTGTTCACATATCAACTAGCTATTTTTCGTCATTGTAATTGGACCGAAAACATCGACTTCCAGTTGTCAAAATGATAACAAAACATTGGATATTGTAGTCTTGTGAAGTTCTTTTCAACGAAGATGGTCATTTCTTTAAATTAAACCTCTTTTGAAATATATCCTATGATCCTAACAATTCCCAGAATGAAAAGTGTTCGAGAGAGTAAGCTATCGATTTTTAGTATGTGTACTTCAAGCTTAAGTGGGTTGTGTTGGGAAGATCCTGAAAATTCCTTGAAAAAAGCTAAAAAAGGCTCTGAAAACGCTGAGAAACATCTTATCCAATCAGCATTCAGTAGATGTTTTGCCAGAAATATCCAGTAAGTCAAAAGTCACATGTCGCGTTTCTGATTGAATGATTACCTATACTGCTACTATGTTTAGTAGCGTTCCAGAATTTTCCGGAAACCCAAGGCCATCAAAAATGCTATAAATACCCTAGATTTTCTATACATGAAAGAACCTTGGGGCAAAGCGTTTCTTTCTTATTTCACGCCGTTTCTATCGTGTTCAAGTGGCCGTATATATTTAGCCTAGGTGTTACTCGAGAGCTTAGGAAACCAAATCTAGCGTTCAATTAGAATATTTATTAAATTGACTTCAGAATACCCCGTCGCAACAATAAAACAGTCGAGGTATTTACAAACTGGTATAAGCGAAATCCAAAGTATTTTTATTATTCAAATTTCACGCTTTAAATTACATATCTTCTACATTGAAATTTAAATACCAGTAGTTTTAGCCCTGATACTACTTATATGTACCTATTTCAGAGTTTTTATTATTGATATTGTTTTTCGTTTTTGGCTGATTCTTACAAACACTGTGTACGTTTCTCTTATTAGCCTGTCAATCTCCAACGGTCCATGTAAAGCCATGTGATCCAAATACTTGTCTTCAACAAATCACTGTAACAAAATGGGCAATTGAAGAGAAAGATAAAAAATGTCATCGGTTACATCCTGATATTAGAATGCGTCCATGTTGTTGTCGACGTGAAGTTAATAAAGATAATTTATTTAAAAAATGTATTCCTACTAATGGACAAACAGAAATTACAAATCGTACATATTATTTTAATCCACATAAAGAATTATGTGAATTTAAAGATGTAAAGACACTTATTAATCTTGGTGAGTTAAAATGCTGAATATCAGTAGAGATATTTCTAACTAAATGTAAGTTAACTAGTACATAAGTGTGCTAGTAAATTTATATTGATCATGGCTCTTCCAAATATAATCAACACAGCCACTAATGAAGTAAAACGGTCAATGGACGGATAGTAACATATTCACACAAAATAAACCGTGTGAAATGAAAGTTAAGTGAAGAGTAATCAACGCGATGTCTTAATAGTGAGAATAATCAAATGTTCTTAACATTAAATCATATAGTAAATAGTTAATTTGCTAAATATCAATCCATTGTCTCAAACCTGACTGTTCCTTTTGCAAATATCACTTCATTGTCTCAGATTTCATTATTCATGCATTTTCATACCGATTGCGTTCCGTTTTCGTTCTTTCCTTATTGATCTTCTGCTGAAATATATTATATGCCTGGTCACCGTTATATACTACTTATATGTATATAAGTAACTCACGCCATCGAACTCATCATTAACAAGTAAAGAATTATTCATAAAGTTAATTGTCTGTTAACTAAACAACAAGGCATTATAGTCAAAAAATAAACCAATAAAAGATTATGATAATAGCTAGACCATACATTGAAATAGAGTCGGCATTTTGTGAAATATTACATTAAAGCCCCAACGAATATATTTACCAGTACGTGCATTAACATCTGTACAAGATATACTGTACAGATATACTGTGAAAAATTCAGATTTAAAATCAACTTATTAAAATGATAGCAGTAATAATACTTTTCCCCCATTATACTTGACGGAGAATGAAGCATACCATTTTATAATTAATTAATGATAATATTTCAATAAAATAAATAGCATAGTTATTATCTCAGTGCTCAGAGTCTTAGAGTATTAGTCCATTGCAAAACAAATCACTGCATGAATACAACACCATTTCTATGTGGAAAAAATCGAGTTGAAAACACTCATTAAACAATGATACCGTTTTATAATTAGGCATCATTTGTAGATACAAACTAGTAAAATGTGAGATTCCTTATTTCTGAAAAATGGGTGGTTCACTTGTTTCATAATGTTGTAACGTATTCTTGGTCACATTTTCTGAATCTAAACAACATTGACATTTGAAATTTCTGGGATTATAAACTAATTGTATGACATTGTCCTTTCTTTCAGTTTGCCCAACTGAAATAAATGTTGTTAAAGGTAGTTGTAATTTAGTCACAGGAATTGCTTTGGATAGTATAACATCATGGAAAACATTAACATCACAATGCAAATGTGTTAAAAGAACAAATTACCGAAAACGATTATGCTGTGAGTTTAAAAGATAATAAATTAGTATAGGATTATGACAATTTCTCCTTTAACACTGTTAATTCCAATTCGGCACCTTGATTATATAATTATCTTCATAGTGTTAATAAAAATAATGCGAAATTGATTAACGTCTGTGTAGTGCGAACTACCAGTTATATAGACTAAACATTTTCTGTTTCATTTGTCAGTCGAGAGTGATTGATGATTGAAATGAGAATCCACAAATTAACCGTTACACATTTCAAAGAAAATCTTTCTAGTAATCTAATAATTTAGTGGATAATAGTTCTTATTTTTAAGTGAAAAGTTACAGAAAAAATCGTTATGTAATCAGATTCAGTAGTTATTTATCATTCAGTCTGTATTAAGTATGGTGCACACATTTTAAATGAATTTTAAAAATTATTTCATTTAGAAGTAAATCCATATTCATACATTTCGTAGTTTACTTTTTTTAAGAAAACTATGTTGTTTAGGAACGATTTCTCACCAGTTTCATCTGTTACCTGTGAATGGAAATTCATTCAATTTTTTAACCAACAACAAATTAAGAATAATAAACTATAGTTTAAAAGAATGTACATGTTAGGTTTACTGGCTGAAGTATTAATCAAACTCTCTTAAATAGTATTAATTCATCCACTTGTTGTTTTATTTGTATGTTTCTCATTGTTATTTAGGACTGATTTTGATCAGTCTTATGTTGGCATATGTGAATCTTGTGCGGATTGCCTCGATATAGCCTTAAGTCACAAGCTTTTTAAGCAAAAATGGATGGTGGCTAGCAGTGGAATCCAGTTTGACTCGCGTTTCGTCCTATTTCGGACTCGTCGGTTGGATGTACTTACCTGGGTTCGAGTCCCGGAGTGAATATCAACTCTGTAATGCAGGCACATCCAGTTGACGAGTCCAGAATAGGACTAAACGCCCCGTCAAACTGGATTCCACTGACAGCCACTATCCATCTTAGTATTAATCCATGTTTATGATTTCTTTATTGTAATGAACCATACTTAACTTATTGATTTGGTAGAGGTCTATATTAGCTTTCCTTTTTTAAAAAATATTAAACTCAACTGAAGAAGTAATAAAGTTCATTTAACGGTAGATTTTATAATCATAGCTTTTCACAACAACTTTGAAGAACCGTTTTCTTACCTAGTTACTAGTGGAAATTAGGCCGTTTACTTAATGATGTTAATGGGACTTTTACAATAGTAAATAGGTTTCAATAGTATGTAACATTTACTGATGAACTAATGAGAATAAAGAAATTTTAGGCAAATAGTTCAATCAACATTTTAAGTACATTTTTACGTATATTATAACTAATTTTAGTGTACACAGAAAGAGTACTTCATACTTAGGTCTATTTGTAAACAGTTTTATGTTGTAATCTTTTAACTTTTTTTATAGCTTGTAAACATTTGGACAGAAAAATGAAGAATCCTGTCTGCTCTAAGCAAACTAATATGTTATTACAAAAGAAGATAGTTCATGAACTTCAAAATGAAATATGTCAACCTAAAGTAATTTGGATGAAGAAAGTTGTGGGTAAGTTATGATAATCTAAATAGATGTGAATGATATGAGAAATAATGGTAAACACAACAGACAATCTTCACTATAGTTATCATTCAAATAATATTGATAAATTCAACTTAACAATGAATTTTATTAAAATTTACGAAACAATAAGAGACTCAAAGAAGATATGAACTATGGTGGACACAGAGTCACAATTTCTGTCCGTTTCATTCATTCACTATGTAAAATTTAGGGTAATGTTTTGAATTAGTCATCTGAAATAGTATTGATACTATAATTTATAGACGACCTATGAACAAATCTTAAGTGACCTTAAGGAAATTCGCCTAATCAGAAAACAGTGGATATAGAGTAAGAATATATTATACAAAACCAAAAAAATAGAGTAGATACACTTCTTTGACATGGTTTAAAATTTTCTCAAGGTTAAAAAGAAGCGCTGAAGTTCTGAAATCGTAATGCAAACGATACAGAAACTCATCCATACGCCTCCGTAGTAATCAAACTCTGGAACCATGATAAGGTCGCAAAAATTCTTAAAGCCTCGACCACATTGCTTTTATATTACTGGTGTGTGCTCCCATGGTTAGGTCTATAAAATGTCTCTTGTGAATGATGAAATGATGCACGCAATCAAGTCTGGATAGGCATCGATTTGCTCACCAGTCATCCTTGCTTTTTGTGCTACCCGTTTGCATGTACTTTCGTGTAATTGATACCATCTTTGTATCCTATCGGTTTCTCAGTTGCTAGAAATGTCACTTTTGAGATGATCCATCATATAAACCAGAAACCTGAGAAGGATATTTATAAAAATGCTACTTACCCAGTCTTCTTTAACACTTCGTGTTCTATTGAATTCACGTTTTCTAACTAATGTTTTGTCAGTTTATACGATTCTCCCGATCCCTCCGAACGACTGATTCAAGCTTGTCATTTTTATTGCACATATATCTTGACAATACTCATACCATTGAACTGCTGAAGCTTCAGTAACATCTGCGAAGGTTGCAGTCGGTGTTATTGGGACTTTTATTATCCAGTTTGCAGCAATCATCATAATTTGTCTTAATCTCAATCGGAATCGAACGAAAAAATTTCCCGTTCTAGCAGACGTTTTTCTCCAACATATATTACGTCGAAGTACATCATAACGATAGTTTTCACAAAATTCAGAAGTAATTTGACTACCTCAATCACAAATAAAAAACTTCATACTAATCCCATCCGTTGTAGCCGCTTAACTATAACATCCTCCTTGAAATCAGTCGTAAACCAATCGTGAGTAATTATGGAAATCACTCACTTGTTTCTGATTGGCTTGTCCATAAACTATAGTTTCGCCGTCACAATTTAGTTAATCAGTTATGTTTACTTTAATCAGAGAATAAATGAAATTATGGTTAGACGGGCTTCTGAAAACACTTAAAATACTTTTTAGCTGTACCATTCAGTCCAGTAGCTAAATTAATTTGATAAGTTAATTTTTAATTATTTTCAGAAGGGGTTTTGTGGAGATTGTAGTAATTTCAATGATTAAGATCATGAGTCAGTTGAAGCTAGACCACCATGGAAAAGCTGGAAGCCTTGGACGGCCATTTCGTCGTGTTGTGGGATTCCTTAGAAGTGCGCATCCGCGATCCCGCTAGCGGGATTCGAACCCAGGAACTTTGATCTCTCACGCGAATGCTTAACCTGCAGACGACTAAACCAGCACTCAACGTTGTTAATGTCCAACCTCTTATAAATGTTTCTCAGCCCAAGGCATTACTTCATCATATTTTACACTACCATATCTTTAATTTTTACTTATATAGTGTTCAATATAGTCTATATTTTTTATAGTCTATCTAAAGTTGTTTATTAAAATTATTTCTCCAATATTTTCGCCCAGTTTGTCCAAGTAAAAAAAATGTCGATGTAAAATGTGATCCTGCCACATGTAATAAATTAACTACCATAAGTTGGTTTAATAAAATTGGATGTAAATGTGAGAAACAACAAAAATATATTCAAGGAAAATGTTGTTGTCCCAAACCTGTTGAATATCGTGAATGCCGACGTAAAGGAAGTTTGTTAATTACTAAAAAAATAACATATCAATTGGATGAATATAAAGGAAAATGTGTCCGTCAAATAGATCAGTTACACAAGAATGTCGGTAAGTAGTTTAATTATAAGAAAAATACCATCATTTAGAAATAATTTTGAAATTATTTGTATGAGTATTTAGTTGTACAGTTTGTGAATAGAAGTCAGTTCTGAGGTTAGTTCTTGTTACAATTTAACGCCTCATGAAAACAGAGTCAACCAAGTAAAAACTGGATAGTTGTTACATAATTGTTTTCTTTTGGTCCTCATGATGATTTCAATCCGTCTTTTATCGATCAATGAGGGCTATTGAATTACTGCATACTAGATTGAATGAAATAACCATCTATGAAGATATATTTCAGGTTACATGGTAGACAAAATACAAAATAATTAGCAATAACTAGCTAAATATGTTGATGGTTAACAGTGAAGTGCATTTATTCACGTTGACTTCAAATGATAATGATAACACACTATGTTTACTCAGAAATCTGACAAAATATCCAAAATAAATGATTTTTTATTTCTTTAAAAATATGGCGAATCGAACTAGAACTAGGATACTTCGTAAATGTTTTATTGTCATTTCAACAAGTTTCGAGGAATTTTGTGATTTTCATGCTGGTATAATCTAACTGGAGAAAATGAATCCTCTGTTATTAAAATTGTATTTTGCTCTTTGATTAGGTGCTTGGCCACCTGACAACTAAGGTAGAGAAATCTTCATCTCTATATACCTAATGCATTATATTAAGCATTCATAGAGTTTGTCTTAAAGATTATGGTAATGTATATATGTTACAATGTAGAAGTACGTTGATAATTTTTCATGATATTTGGTGGTTTCTAGTTTATTTATTGATACCGCTTTAGCCTATTGTTCTAGCGATTGCCTATTATCAAATATTTACTAAGTTTAAATCTTAATGTTCTTGTTCTCTTCCTGATCAGTTACCTAGTTGTGTTAAGTTTTACATGAATGATAAGGCTGGTGGAATAACGTAATTGTAATGTGATTGCATCATTTCATTATTACTACCATTACTGTTATTGTTGTTATTATTATAATAATTATTATTATTATTATCAGTATTGGTAGTAATGTTTAATCAACTAATATAGATACTAAGACTTTATTGAAAATGCCTGTGGTAAGGATTGTTCAGAGAATATCGCTTCCTACAAGATATGAAGTATGTCTAATTGGTGAATAACAAATAGTATGACACTGTAATTACTAACATCAGGTTTAATTAATTAAATGGATGGTTACAATAATAGGAATTTCTCACCACTGAATTTTTTCTTTTCTTTGAGAAATCATTATTAACTCTCCGTTTTTTTCAAATATTTTATCAGTATGTGGTGTCCATGGTCCACGTTTTATTAAACGTGTATGTGATAAACAAACCTGTTATCTTGCTACAATTTTGTTGAAAACCGTCCTTCAAAACTGTCAATGTCATAGAATGATGAAAAAAATTATTCATCGAAATATACGATGTTGTTGTCCAAATCCAAGATTCCAAGAAAAATGTCATCAAAATTATGGTATTCTATCACGAATTATGTATCGTTATGAGTTATTCAAAAAACAATGTATCACTAGAAAATTTGTTGATGAGAACAAAGTTGGTAAGTTCCTGAAGATGATGACCAATAAATTAAATAAAAATAGATTTTAATGCTGGAAATCATTTGACAAAGCAATAATCTTGGTAAAATCAAATAGCAATGATTGTAATAGAAATAAATTCAGTTATTTTTCATCTAACTCCCTAATAACAAAATAATTGTGATCATTATTTTTAGTTTAAGTTCCTAAGAGAGAACTAATATATAATTTAGACAAATGTGCTTAGTAAATGGTAAAATGGTTGGGTATGTAGGAGATGTGGATAGTTGATCAATATACAACTGATACAATAGTTATTCCGTTTTTGATTTTACATAAAATTATCGTATTTTAATACACATTTCATATATTGATTGAAAGCTATTCATGTTTTGACTACTATGAGACATTTTATGGACTTTGACATTCCCGGGATTTATTTTGTATTTAAAATGATTCATTCATATTTTCTGCTTTTCGTTTGCATTAGATGAGTTGGAAATTCGTCGAGGCCATTTGAAAGATCTCATAATTTAGGATAAAATACGTATCCTTAAATTTATAGCTCATGTGCCTTACAATGTGCAATATCTAGCTTTAATTCGTTCATTTAGTCAATGAATCCTGAGTCTTAGAGGATAATTTTCACTGAAAATTTAAATTCAAGTCCTAACATTTACTTTATTTGCTTTTCTTAGTCACTAAGTTGGAATGTGATACAGCAGTGTGCTTACAAAAAACACATGTAGATAGTTTCAGATGAATAAATGAACAGTCTGTTGTGAGAATTACAGTCTTATATACAACACTGATGCACCGAAATGAACGGGGAAGTGCTCGAATATGATAGGTATAGCATTTTTACTAATCATTGAAAAATAGATGGTTATCCTCGAAGATCAATTTTATTATTTTACTTAATACTGACTGCCAAATTGATTCCCTCTGTTTACTTAATAAAGATACAGTGCAGGTTCATTCTACTTCTTTTTTAAGGCCATGCACACCAGATTCATTAGATGTATGCTTTTCTGATATTCATCTGTAGTCCATTGATGTAAAAATTAAGACATCTTTATCACATCCATATCTTCAACTTTAGAAAAAACGAGAAAACATTTTTTTAATCTTATTCGAATCACTATCATGTTTGAGGGTAAAAACTGATAACAACTAACTTTCTACTTTTATGGTGTATGGAATTATATTAATCTTGAAGCAACGAAGGAGTGCTGACAGTGTGCAATTTAAGTAGATCATAAAATCATAAGATATTTAGGTTTCAAAGTTGATGGAAGTCATAAATGAACTAGTTTGTTGTGTCTAATATTATGTCAAGCCCAGCTGAGTTATTCTAGCTTCCAACAGAGAAGTTTATTCATTCTTCTTAAATCATATTTTGACCTTGTTAATTATTCGCCTATTAACCTTGGCTGCTTTTAGATGAGCGTATGTACGTATATTACTTACCCTATGCATTACGCGCCTGCAGCTTATTTTTGTCTGACTGTAAATATAAATTCATGTTTTATCAAATTGAGTTTGCTCACTCTCTTTCTCTGTTCCGCTCCACTCTACTTTCCCGCTTCTCATTCTGAACGTCTGTTTGAATAAACCAGTGCTTGAAATAAATTCATCCAACGCAAAATGTATTTGGTTTCCTATTAATGTCGTAACATAAACAGGTTTAAACTAGGTAATATATGAAGTTAAATAGCAGATTTATGGTCATAGAATCTTCATACGATCAAACCGAAGTCAAATACTGAGCCACCAATAGTCAGATTATCCTTTCTTATAAAAGAAATAACAAACATTGGTTACTATTCAGTGATATGTGAGTGTGAATATGTACATAACTTTATTATTAGGTTCGGAAATATCTCAAGATTGTTTTCTCATAATTATGAATTTATTCAAAGAAACTTAAGGGTTAGTACTTTTTACTTTGGTTATTTTTGTTTAACTGTTAGTATGCCCTGAAGAAAAAATTAACCGAGGTCAGTGTGATGTGAATACAAAAATAAGACCGGTTCAAAGACGTTTCTATAATTTAATTGGTTGTAAATGTCAATTGAAAATTGAATCTACAATGGAACCATGTAGTAAGTTGATGCTTTATGATAAAAACGTTTCTCTTTTTGCTATTACAAAACATACAACTTTTCACTTGACAGATGATGTACATACAACATTCATTCAAAATTTCTCAACAATATGAATAAAATGGTGAGCATAGTCATTGGTTTGTGACCTCTTCAACGTAACTACTAGGGAGAATTACAAGCGGAAATCCACTTGAAAAAGTTGGGTAAAGCTGTTTTTCCTAATTTGTATGTGTTTCAACTTGTACTATAATTAGGTAAAACTACATTAAACTGACAGTGGTGCAGAAACCAGATACTTTTGAACCTTATTTTTAAGATACACATTTTTTGGAAAAAAATGATATAACTTGTCCATTAAGTTTGAAACCAGATGTTTCTATTATTATCATTAGAAGATCCCTCTTTAACCAACTTAATTTTTGGAATTTCAGCATGTCCATTACCAGTATTACATAAGGAGAATTGTACTGCAGGAAAGCTTTCCCGTAAAGTATGGCGTATTATTTACATTCTTAGAAGGAATGATGAATCTGGAAAAGTGGCATGTGAACAAGAAAAAGAATATTTATATGAAGAACCTTGTCGTAAGTAAACAGTTGATGTTTAATTAGCGATGAAAAACTAACAATTTATCCAATACTTGACCATACTAAAGGCTGAAGGAAAAACTTAATAGGTCTCATGTGTTCAATAAAGGTATTCACAACAAATTGTTTACGTGCATTGATCCCGGAATCATGATTATTATTGCTCTTTACTGATTATTTATTTTTATTCGTCATGTGTCTCTTTTGTGTTGACGGAAAGTTAACTGAGTTGAGTGTATGTGTTTCTAAAACATAAAACAACGATTGGTTTATGAAAACTCTGGTCAAAGAAGAGGTTTATCAGTACTTGTACCCTTAAATTTTGTCGACAATTTGAATTGTTTAATGTATAGTCAATCACTGAAGCTACAACGTAAATAGTTATTTCTAACGAATAAACAACAGCATTTGTTTAAATAATTGAGATTACGAAATGATCTGATTTAAATAATAAAGTCTATGACAACATAATACTAATATAAGTTGTTCTAGCCCAATTTAACTTATTGTAACCATCCATTTAACATCATTTGTGGATTCATATTTCCATTTATCAGAGGACAGTAGAGTTCATAGTTTAATACTTAGAAATAAAACCACTTGTCTAAAAGTGATCAATAAGAGATACCTAGTTTTACAATTGAATGATCATTAAGTAGTATTTGCCTAGTACTTTTAATGTTGATCCAATTCTATAGATCAAGTTGCAATGTGACCACTAGTCATATCGCGTCCACTATGTTGAGATAATCACTTCTTTATGTTTACTTCATATATACTGATATCAAAATTAGTAGTCTAAATTCTACCATTTTTTATTAATAATGTTAATATTATACCATCAGACTGCCGAAAACCTAAACTTACAAAAAAATGTCAAAACGGAAATAAAATTCTCATGAAACATGTAGAATATCTTGTCGAAAGAAACGATAAACGATTCTGTTCTGTACGTCACTACATAAAGAGGATTCCAGTTAATTGTCGAGTAAATGCTGTACGAATGAAAGAGGAGCCTTGCCAAAATAGTTTGAAACGTACTACTTTCATGCATGAGATTCTGGATAAGCAAACGTGTGAATGCCGACGTCAAGTGAAAGTTGAATTTGAGAAATGTGGTAAGCATATTATTTTTCTCACCCTAGTCTGATTATATGTAAAGTCTGTGAATGAATCCTAGTAAAATATCTTAAATAGATTTTTTGACAGTAGATACTCGAAATTTCCGTGCTGTCTACTGTGAAGAATTTGTTGTGAAAGTCAGTTTAATCTATAAGCAAATCATATGGATGAATTTTTAGTGTTTTATTATTATAGTGGTATAACGGTCTACTTCATAGGAAACGAATTAACCTTAGAATCTTGAAGTCTATAGTCATAAGAAGAATCAGTAATGGAAAAGAACAGTAAATGTTATCATCTTTTGACAATTAAATCTGATTGTAAAAATCCTAATACTCAAGGAAGTTACTTGAACCGTTAGGTAAACGGTTTTCAACTTAAAACGAATAGTAAAACTCATTCTAGCATAGAGTAGTTCGTAGTCATTCTTTGATACTAATCATATACAAGGTTACTTAATTGCAAGGGAGATGGATTTTGTTCATAGTATCCTCTCTGCATTTCGAGAAATATGATGTTTAATGCGATACGATAATTACTAGTTCCAGCTTTGCTTCTCATTAAATCACATTGGTCATGTCTGCACTTTTCTTTTTTGTGAATCGCCGTCATATTACATAAAGAGCATTGAGTAATCTCATTCTATGTTCGTAATTTTGAATCGTAAACTGGTTTGCGAAGCAGCTGAATACTTTCGGACGGGTGTTTAATTTGCATGAAAATAGAAATAGATGAAGAATTATTGCTCATCACTGATTATAATTGAGATAAGTGAATAACAATATAAACATTTAATCAGTGTATGCATAAACTGTGCGATGTATCTTTCGAAAATACTCTTATGATCCAAGAGATAATACAAATTCCGGTCATTATTATTCAAATTAAGTCATCGTCCGTCATGAGCTATAAAACTCAAAATTAATTGATGTCTATTTCCGAATCATTTTTTAAATAGATTGTGACAAAGATAATCGCATCAATGAATTTTGTCAAAATGGTGTTCGAGTTGTGAATAAAGAAATTAACGTCTTCAGTCAATCACAAGGACGTTGCGTGAAATCGATTGTACGTAGCGTACGTCCTGTAGGTAAGTCAATTCACTTCTTTACTTAGTTATAAAATATGCTTTGATAATGACATTGGAGATGAACTGTATCAATCTCGGATAAGCTATTAACTAATTACCCACCCAACCTTTCAACGTTTCTCATATTAAACTGTTATTTCAATGCGAAACATGGTCATGAACATAGACCATAATTTCTATGACCGAACTTTCAAATGAATAATTCTAACAATAAGAAAAAATTAAAACTGAGGTATTTTTACTACATCAGTACTAGAATATTCCTTAGTCTAGTAAAATAAGCGTTCAGTTTTCAAGTCAGTATGTATGCCTAGTCAAATTATCTGGTCGATGTATACGGTTTTCAAAGATTCATTGTGTTCATTGTTGTTTACTAATATCGTTTTTTCCACACCTGTATATCAAGGAATTTGCACATCACTGTAAGCGTTGTTTGATCTGTTTTCTAAATCTCTAACAATTCAAATCTAGAAAAATCCTTTGACATATTCAACTAATAGTAGTTTTTGAAATCCATGACAAAACAAATTAGCTTTTTCAATCGAGGAAATTTAGTAAAAATTAGGTCCCTTAATAAATTTAGATATGGTAAGAAAAACAAGGTTCGGAGAGCAAAAATATTCCTTCTACTTTATAGAAATTTGATTAGACTAATGGTGAGTTTAATTGCAAAAGTGTCAGATATGCTATGAAACTGGATCTGCTTACAACAGTTTCTTAGTAATTGAAAAACGTTTTCAATTTTCATATTCGATCAATAAAATGATTCTTTTTGATTGGAAAATCAGTTTGCAAAGTCACAGGTACATATACATATGTAGTGAACGATAACTCAGGTGGAAACAAATAATTCCATTAACACAAAATATAGAATCTCTTGGTAAAATATGAGAACCATACATTGAATACTTCATTTTCAAAACTCCGTTATTTGTCCTTCACATTCATATGTCTGTCGACATAAGTAGCATACACCACACGCACAAATAAATACCATAGATGACCGATTATTCTGCTCTTAAATACTGAAAATTAGTGATTTAATGAAATGTTTTCACATTAAGTTCTATTCTCTCTTATCTGAACGATTGAACGTTCTACATTATCAATTAGTGGTGAATTACCTTTTTGTATTAATTAAGTTTTAAGTCTTGATAAATTATTAAAGGAAAATTTCTTTTTAGTATGTTCAATCAAGCATCAAGTTATTAAATCCAGTGGATGTGTTATTGAACGTTCAGATGGAATTTATTACTCTGAAGAAATACGTTGGGAACAAGCAGTTAATTGTAAATGTGTTATTAAACGTCGTCAGATATTACGTTTATGTGCATGTCCCAAACCAACAATTAAAAAACAGTGTTTAGATACAGTAAATTTAGCAACTTATAAAAATACATTCATAAATATTGGAGGTCAATGTATACCGGATCAACAAGTTATCACTACTGAAACACGTAAGTTTAGAACATAGAGTCCAAAGTTTTTATTGGTTTGATAAAATTAATTTAATGAGTTTGAAATTAACTAAAGTGTTATGTATTCCTCTTTACAGTTAAAAAAATCCCCATAGAATATTCAAAAACGCAATATTTGAAGGAATACTTGTTTTTAATAACTTCGCCAGGCTTTATGATCATAAGCGCATGATTAATATCATATTTTACAAAGGCCAAAATAAAGCATGCGTTAATGAATTTGAGTGTTATATGTTAAAAATGATGAACGTTTGCATTTGTTAATTTGAAATTGTTTCATTTATAAATTAGAAAGGTTATTTAATGAAGGTCGGAATGATTCTTAGTTAAGTTTCAAGCCATAATCAGTATTATAGTAATATAACAAAAAGAAGGGGTTTGGTGGAGATTTTAGAAATTTCACTAGATGAAATCATGAGATAGTTGAAGCTAGACCACCATGGAAAACCTGGAAGCACTGGACGCCCGTTTCGTCCTAGTGTGGGACTTCTCAGCAGTGCACGTTTAGATATTAACACCGCTGGATGTCGGCTCAGTGGTCTAATGATTGAGCGCTCGCGCGTAAGACTGATAGGTCCCGGGTTCGAATCTCGCGGAGGGCGCAATTGTGGATGTGCACTGCTGAGGAGTCCCATACTAGGACGAAACGGCCGTTTAGTGCTTCCAGATTTTCCATGGTGGTCTAGCTTCAACTGACTCATGATTTCAACTAGTAATATGACATAATAAAAAATCATGTGAATAAAATCCATATTAGGAGAATTTTATCTTGTCAATCGAAGTAATAATAATAATAATACCGATGTATAAATATAATATGTAATAAGAGAGGTGTTACTAAGAGAATTTCGATAAAAAAGAATCCATGTGAATTGGAAAATAGCAATGTGAAAATCAAATACACTTTATTTTTGAATATTCATTTTTGTCTGAAGATTTTATCAAATCATGTTTATTGTTAACTGTGCAATGTTATAAAAACTATCTTGAATTTCTTAAGATCGTAATCCTTTTGCTTAATGACATGTATCTGATATATCGATTTGAAGTTTGTATTAACTATTCTTCGATTCAGTTAAACAAGTAACAAAAACGTTGGGAGATACTACATTTCGCTTCTAAAGAATATTGTAAGGAAATTCATCGGATTCAAGAATAAGTCTAATCCGGGAACTAACATGATAGTGACAGTGATTGTACAGCAGTGCTTTTTATTCATTTTTTATTTTAAAGATCCTATTTCTTACTTAACTAAGTGACTTTAATGTTTTTTTCAAGTTTAGTTTAACTCTGTCCATTTTTGTTTATAACTAGAATTCATTGGTAACAATTAAATACTACACAGTGAACATAGTTTTTAAAGGTTTAAATCGTTTCATCTTACTAATTTTGAGTATAAATCAGACAAGATAATACTGGGTGGGACTTAAATTATACACTTAGTTTGTATTAGCAGAATGAGAATTTCTGAAGATTGTAGTACTTTCAAAGTTGAATTCACGAGTCAATCTAAGATGGACCACCATTGGGAACCTGGAAGCACTGGACGGCTGTTTCGTCCTAGTACGGGACCCCTCAGTTGTTCTCAACCATGATCCCGCACTCTGGACTCAAACACAGGACATTCGATCTCGTGAGTGAACCTTTAACCTCTAGACCAGTGAGCCAGTATCCGACAGTGTTAATGTCTAACTTTGATCGATCTATGATCTTGCACAACCTTTAATCTATTGCATTAGGTTGAACTATTTTTAGCATGAATCTCTTGACTTTATTTCATGTTACAGAGATTAATATATTTACAGAGAATTAACTAGTTTTTGTTGCACAAATTGAATAAATTCATGTATATACATTATTACCACTGTTTAGCTAAAGTTAATCGCTTCATAAATTAAATAGAAACGTGTATTGTTTGAGTGATGCCCAATTAGGTAGTATTTTGGATGATCTGATTTATAAGGAGAGTGTACTTCAATATTATACAAATTAGTTCGTTTTAGCTTGCTAAAACTGTTTAACTCGTTGTAAAACAATGATAAACTTTTAACTATTTGCTTTCTTCATTTGTAAATGAGGTAATTTAATTTTTATAGAACAATCTATTGTTTACAATTATATCAACAGGTTGTCAAGAAAAAGCACAAATAATTGATCGATCAACATGTGAAAAACAACCGTTAAATAAATTTGATTTAAGTAGACCTCCTTGTTTAGAAACATTGAAAATAAGCGTACCAACCATAGTGAATTGTCAGTGTCAGTTAAAAATCATACAAATTCAACGTCGATGTTGTACAAGTCAGCCAAAAGTGAAACAGATATGTGATGCAGTTAAAGGTCGATGGATGAAAGCAGTTGAAAATTATGTACTCGCTTCTGGATCGGTAAGTTAATAAATGTAGGATGTACTAAAAATGTAATAATCTATATAAAATACGTGCCAGACTTCAAACAAAATATAAGTATTGCCTATTAAACTACTTAATTATGCCCGTTCCCCTCGTGGGAGCATAGACCACCGACCAGAATTCTCGAACCAACTCTGTCCTGGACATTCCTTTCCAGTTGTTCTCAATCGCTATTCTTGTTTTGGATGTCTGCTTCGGATTCCCCGCACACTGCATTCTTTGACCTTCCTCGCTTCAGTTTCCCTTCAGGATTCCAATTTGAGGCTTGCCTCGTGATGCAATCTGATGATTCCCGAATTTTATGTCCTATTCACCTCCATCGTCTTTTCCTAATTTCCTCTTCGGCTAAAAATTGTTTTGTTTTCCGCTATGGGAGGTTTTTGCTGAAAGTATCCGGTCAATGGACATTGAGTATCGTGCATGGACAGTTGTTCATAAATACTTGTAGTGTTTTGGTGATGGTTGTAGTGTGGTGTATGCTACAACACTGATCAGAAGTGAAATGCCAGTCAAAAGAAGGTTGCGAAGATTAAGCTGAAGAAAACAGAAAGGAATTGCGAATCGGAAAACTCATGAAAGATGTAAAGGATGATTGATGAAAGATTTGTAAATCAAGTATTCAACATATAGTTTTCTTATTTTATGAAAACTATAACTTTTCATTAAACGATAGATTGTAAAAGTTGACTGTTCAATGCTCCCTGTTTTCCAGTGGTCCTCTTTATGGCATTCACAGTATTTTCTTGTCTACTATTTTCGATATATTTATTTTTATTTAACTTCAAAAGAATTGATTTAACCTGAATTTCAGTTTCTTATTCTACCGACATACTAAGGTTCTGTTCGACAATAAACTGTCATATGTTTGTTTTTACCTATTCAAATTGCAGATATTATTTAAAAGAGATGATTTGATTATTTATGATCAAATTCAAAAGGTGACTAGTGAACAACAAGATCAAACTGTTGTTTGTCCACAATCTGTAAGTTATGAAAACTGTGACAGAAAAACCGGTTTATTCACCAGAGTCAAAACGTACTATAAACGGATTGGATGTAAATGCAAACCAATAAAAGAAATTATAAGAGGAAAATGTGGTAAATTTAACACAATATTACATGAAATTTGTTTGATTTTAATTGTGAATGAATTCGATGGATTTTTTACTTTTGCCTTGTCAGGAATTATTACATTTTCTAGCACATTATACCTTTTTGTGTCAAGATGTAAAGCATCTACTTGTAAATCGTATAATAATAATAATAATTTACAGGTCACAATGAAGCTTATAATAAGGGAAATATAGATATACATAATCTAGTTACTGAACAGTTGTACAATAGGAATATATATATAATATTAGTCAATGAATAGTTCTCAGAAGTTACTTGTAATTTAGTCTTCGCTAGGATATAACACAATCAACTTCTGAGATCCGAATTGAAGGATCACTGATTACTTTCATTTTTCATCTGTATTGTCGACTGATCGTATGTTATCTGATAAATAACTTATTCATACTATCTTGGTAAACCATTTTGTATGATATTAAAAGTTTTCATTCCCTTGTCTAACAAACCATTTAAGTAGTCATAGATTTTAAGATTGTGATTAATTCACCAGTTTCTTTAGAAATTTCATCTAAACTATATTAGAACTATATCAGTACGCCTAATCAGATGCAACACTCAACAATTACATTTTCGAATCTGCATTTATTCAGTTACGTAATTAAGAAACACAAATCAATTTGATTTATTTAAATACTACTGAAATGAGTAAAATCTTATATTGAATAACTGGTAAAAAATCTGATTGAAAATTCTAAACATTCATTCATTATTTATGTCTTTAAAGTACTTCGTGATGGATATTAGTTTGTTAATGTGCTGAATATAGAGTTTGTTATTCATAGTTACTCACAAAGTAATTATTATCATAAGTGTTAATGGCTTTACTCAATATTATATTTTTGGTACAATATAGAATTCTCAGCAAAAAACATTTCAACAAGTTTCTTTTTCGTATTTCTTGATCAATCCTTACGATAGTTATTGAGTAGTCGCCAGTTAGATGTTAACAGTTCAGGAATCAACATGTGAATAATGTATATTCTTTTCGATGCATATTGCCAACAACCACGATGTCTTTGATTGGGCTCTTTTGTAACTTGTATAGCGAAATGTCGTAAACTTTTCACAGACGCACCTTAATAGGTTATGAGACTAATAAGCATAATGATGCGTTAAAACAAACAAGAAAACAGATGACTTGTTGAAATATTCAGATATCATGAATGGGTAGTCCAGATATTCAAGCAGGCCGTCTGTAAAAATCATTCCATGATCACAGACTAGTATGTTTGTCTGTAGTACACAAGCCTTTTGTTATTCATCAGATTTATCTCAGTTATAATTAATAAAAAATGTTATACATAATATTATAGTACTTTTCTCATAAAGGGAATTAAATTATTCAGTGACTGAAATGTGAAGTTTTTGAATCTAAAAATAAATATTAAGAAAGTATGTTGTTGGTTTACTTTACCGTTTTCATTAAAGGTAAAATAAGTCCAATCCATGGTTGTTTATTGAGATCTTGCAAAATACCCTATGAGACTCATTGCTATATAAGTTGGGAATAATACAGAATTTCATCATTTCCTTAAATTTTTTATGACATTTGAATTTAAATTTGTGAAGCGGGTTATTAATAAGATGAAATTGTGAAAAGTGATAAGAATGATTGCGTCTAACATAAAGTGAGTTTAATCATACTCAATAATCGAATCGCTTAAACAGTTAACACATATCAGTATAGGGGTTGTGGAGATTGTTAAGTTTTGATTGAGATCATGAACCGATTCATGTTAGACCACAATTGAAAACCTGGAAGCACTGGACAGCCGTTTCGTCGTATCGTGAGACTCCACAGCAGTGCTCATCCACGATCCCGCTCGCGGGAGACTGGAGGCCCTGGGTTCGAATCTCGCGAGCGGGATCGTGGATGCGCACTGCTGTGGAGTCTCACGATACGACGAAACGGCTGTCCAGTGCTTCCAGGTTTTCAATTGTGGTCTAACATGAATCGGTTCATGATCTCAAACAAAAGTTAACACATACTCTGATGTTAAGGAGGACAGTATATTTGTGAATATATCAACGATTGAGCCTAATTAAATCTAATGTTTTACTTGATCGTCTGGTTTAAGATTTTCAAGAGAAATTTATTGCTACGTACTAATAGTTTTATTATGGCGTTATGATAGTGACAATGAATTAACCAGTCATTTGATTTGTTGATTATGATAAGAATAACATACACGTACATTTACGGTTTTGGTAGTTTTCTTTTTTTAGCTGGGTGGTCATTTTGTGAAGCTTTTATGGTTTTTTGACGAAATCATCTGTGTTGAAATCATATGGAATTGAGCTATTACAATATCTCTACCAATATCTAATACGTTGTTTTGTTAATATCGATTTTGACTAAGCGTCGTCAACAGTTGTTCTGTCATTGTTCACACGTCGGATATCTTTTTTTCTATATATATATATATATATATATATATATATATATATATATATATATATACATAAGACGACGTATATACTCAGTATAAATAGGATTAACATTTGAATAAGATTGGATATTGCACTTTTGTGAAATTTAACCGCACTATCTTTAATAATTTGAATTTCTTCATGGATTGATAACAACAGGAGAAACCAATGAAGGGTAGGAGGAACTGAACTAAATTTCAGTGATTTTACCGGGAAAGCTCAAACCAGATTGTCTTTCGACTAATAATATGTAAACTGGTTAACTAACTTATTCTTTGTCCCCACATCCCTGTGTTATCGCAAAACCAAGTTTTCTCAGCTTAAATGCTCTACATTACTAAACTGTTTATTTTAAATCACACGTAAATAATCACTCCATATTTGTCAAGTAACCGACAAAATGTGATTATGTATGGCTTAATAAATTATACACTAATAAAAACAACTGTACATGACTTTTAACATTATTGATGAGTTGTTGTATTTACTGAACAGTCATGATCGTTAATATATTTCTCTCTAATAAGTCAAGACATTATTAGCGTTCCATGTTAAGAACATTTATTTTACTTATCAAATGTAACATTATAGACACTTACAGTTTTGAAAATGAGCTATTTGAAAGGAATTACTTTTCTGACTCTGAAAAAATTTACCAGCATAAGTTAGCAAAAAGTGGGATATATCAATTAAATACCATATTTTGTAACCTGTAATGGATTCATAAAATATGACTTTGAGGTATTTATTCAGTATCTCTAACAGATTTTGACTGAATATTTCTAGAGTGCAATAATGTCAAAAAATCATGCCCTATTTATACGTCCTTTTTTACAAGGTTGTCCACCAAGAAGACAATGGATTTCACAATGTAAGGAGAATTTCCGTATTCGTCGAATAATTTCATTTACATTAATAAATGGAACATGTGTACGACAACAACAGTTTGGTAGACAACGTTGTGGTTGCCCTAACCCCATGAACCGTGTATATTGTGATGGTGATGGACGTTGGGTAAAATGTAATACACAATATGTATATAATCCTAAAACACATGCATGTCGATTATTAAAACATTGTGTACGTTGGTATGATGAATGTCCTCGACCGAGAAATCGTATTGCTTCTCAATGTAATTCACAGACACAATTTAAACAATTAATCCAATATGTACATTTTGTAAAGAATAGATCTAGTTGTAAATGTAATGCAATAGTTAAAAATGAATGGACAGAATATTGCGGTAAGTAAAACATTAATTATTCAGCATAAAACATAATTTATTATTAGGGATCACTGTTACATAAATAGTCATCATATGAATTCAAAGGGGAAAAGTCTTTAATTGATGAGTTTATTTAAAAATATATATATTTCCAATAATCGATTACGTAATCTTCAAACACCTTACAATAGGATCAGCAAAAATTTCATTCTCCTATCTAAAAATAAACTGTTTAGTTTAAAATTTAGCAACTCTCCTACAATCATTCCTATCATGATTAAATTTTGTTAAGCTCTTTTATTAACTTATTCCAACAGTAACAATTCGTCCGTTTCTTCGTACTATTATGATCACTATCTTGTCTGTATGAAAGTGTACTCTTGATCACATGATAGCCACATATATCTCTCTCTAGCTTAAATATTGGTAGCTTAAGCACATATATATATGTAGTCCAATCGCTATCAATAGCCTTTGCCTTACCTAGCTGTGCCTTGATTCGATTTGGCTATAAATTTGCGTCTGTATTCGCTCACAAATACAATATTCGCCTCTCCGTTTCGAATTCACTTATAACTTTGATATCCGTGCTATCCGCTTATAACTGTAGTCGCTGGTTCTTATTGCCTTCTGAAATCAAACACCATCGGGATTTATATAATAATGGTTGTCAATGTTACTGATTAAACAAGCTAAGCCACTACAACAATATGAAAACCTACTAGAAGTACTAGTGTCATATAATATTTTGAAAGAGTACGTTGAAATTTAGATTCGTAATTCAGGGGTTAGAATGATTCCAAAGCTGTTTTTAAAGAATTAATGTTATTTCTGCTTATATACTAATTTGCATTGTTATTTACAAATATACACAGAATCCGTAGGTGGTAGTGACTTTCAGTAGTCTAAATTATATGAAACAAGTCTTCATCGTTTAACGAAATATAAATTATTACTTTTTACAGAATACATATGAAGAAAATTATTTTTCATTAATCAAATTATCATTGAGTTGATAAGACTAAACACTACTGAAATTGCCAATTCACCAATACTATAAATATAAATAAAGACAAAACAACATTTGAGGCAGAATGGTATGAGTCCATTATATTTCGTCATTTACCTTTGAGCTGCTTACTACCTTTTTCGTTTAAGTACAAAATTAAGGTATAATATAATAAGGTGATTAAAAGAATCGGAGCGACATTTGTAGATGGAATTCAGGAACATAAAAGGGGCCATAGATTAATTCTATGGAATCTAGAAATGAATAGGATAGATTACTAACAGATTTATACTAAAAAATATTCTATTGTTTTCTAGGATGTGATCATTTAAACCAAAAGGTTCACCGATGTCTCAATCACAATACTCCAATAGTTGATTATATGAAGTATACAATGATAAAAGGAGATTGTGTGCCGAAACGTATGAAGTATTCTACTCAACTCAGTAAGTGTAATTTATGACATTAATCTTTTCCATAAATAAATGGAATGTTATCTTTATGACACAAGTGTAATCAACGATGCTTGTATTGTTTCGTAAAAGTTTCTTGGAATTATTTTGATTTTGTTTAGTTCTAAGTGAAGTTTTTGGACATATTTTTTTGATTAAAAATGACTTTGTACAGTGATCAGTTAATATGAGTGATCATAGAACTCAATCTAACAATCTACACACAAATTCACTTACTTTAAACAGAATTGTAATGAAAATTGAAACAATTACTCCCTAAATGGCATTAGCTGAACAATAATTGAAAATCAGGGAATGTTAAATATAAGCTTTTTTACTGATTTGAGAATGTTTTGTAACATGCATTTATGAAGCTAGAAGTTGGAGATCTCTTAATGATTATGAAAACATTCAGTTTTTTAAAATAAACATCCCCTGTTAGTATATTGAATATTCGGTCGACGAGAGAAATAGCCCTCATTCAATGACATCTGTAAATAAATAATTTTGATTCATAACTTTAGCTATTTCCTGATGAAAATATTTCTCAGTTAGAATCTTAATAATCTCTTTCCGAGATTCCATTAGATTGTATTTTATAGTAAGATAACACTGACTACATTACAATCTCGTTCGTTAATTTCATGTAAACAGATAAATGAATTCTATTCTGTTTGAGAAGAAATTCAACCTCGTTTTCACTGTTAGATTCCATTTTAGGAATTTCGTGATGTAAAACTTTTTTGTTTACTGATTTTTATTTTCTCATTATTGCATTATTTTTATGTATTGAAAATGTTTAACAAGTGCTAACGACTTGATAGTAACCATAGTAAAACTTCTGAACAGGAATTCCATATTTGTTGTGATATATTATTAACAAATCATATGTCCCAAAATTGTTTAGCTATGCAGTTATACAAGTCAAAATGGTGATATCTCTATCAAAAATAATCCTTTGAAGGTTTAGTTTAGGCAAACCAATTAATTACTGGTTATTTATAACTCTAATGAACAAATATTGATCACTGAACTGAATGATCCACCATATGTATATTAGTTAAAAGCGTGGTTATAAAACATACTTCCGAATACATTATATAGTTAACTTAATTCATAATAAAATGTGGTATTGTATCACTTAATTCAGTTACTCCATTGAGCAATATTCTTTATAAATCATGGTCAATACTGACGATTATAGTAATGCACAACTAATTAAGTGGAGTATCTTGTCTGTGTAAAAGTTTATTACATCAACTTATCAATCCCGTAATATAACGTTTGAGCATTTGTATTCCGTTTATTTTATTTAAATATTAGATTGTCCTAAACCAATTGCACAACACTACCCATGTAATCATGATCGGAATTCATCTGATCGAGGTTACAGTATTAGCAAAATCAGATATTTTATCGCAGAACATTGTAAATGTATTCCAAAGAAGAAACTCGTACGTAAACCATGCAGTAAGTGATTTTCTATTATTAAAAAATTTGGGGTTTTTAATTTTAATTTTACGCTCATTTTCTTAATGCAAATAAATAAAACAGGTATAACAGAAGAATTAAATCATTGATTATTCACTACTTGCTGATATGACTGGTTTGTGATAAATACTCTTGACTCGATAATACTGGAGTGGGCATACTACATCGTATTACTAGACAATACGCTAGAAAAATAAATCTCTAGATTACATCTTATGAAAAGAGGACTCACGATAACAACCAACAATTTGAGACCAAATTATGAGCCGAAACAACTTTGAAGTGGCATAAAATGTCATCAGTCACACAGTGTAAAATTCAGAGTACAATACAGTGAAATATAAGTAAGATATTACATGTTCATTTACTACTAAAACTTGGTTTGTCTTTCTGAATTCAATGAGGTATCAAGGCTTACCAACACACGACACATCATAAACAATCTAACACATTCATATAACAGTTATTTATATGTATTATATTGTCCATGCAACATTGAGATTAATCGTAGAAATTCATATCAGATTTATGAAAAAAGAATATATTAATCGTAGTGGACAATAGCTACGAGATCATTCTTGTAAATAAAATGGATGAGGCAATATGCACAGTATGCACATATGCCAATATGAGAGACTGATCAATTGTAGTCCTAAACATCAATGGGAAGATTCAAGTAAAACAATATCAAGTGAATTAAACTTCACCCCATTGCACAAGCAAGTGGCTATCAGGACTCAGTAGCTAAGTGGATAACGCGATGGCGTTTGAGGCGGACGGTACTGGGTTCGAGTCCCAGAGTGAACATCAACTCCGAGATGCAGGTACATTCAGCTGACGAGTCCCGGATAGGACGAAACGCGCGTCCTGGATTCCACTGCTAGCCACTATCCATCTTTGCTTATGATGAAGGTTAAGTGTTCACGCGCACAACTGAAAGTCCTTGGCTCGAGCTCCGCGTATGGGATCGTGGGGCCCTATCCTAGAACGAAACAGCCGTTTAGTGCTTTCAGGTTCCCAATGGTGATCTAGCTTGGATCGACTCATGAATTCAACTATCAAAATAAAATCTCAAAAATCGAATGAACCGAGTTATTTTTAATGAATTTCTGAATTTGTAAAAGGTAGGGATGATTATAATTAGAAGAGTAATGAATGAGTGATTGTGATTTTTTGTATACATTTGATGGGAATGACTTATGTCATAAGGAATAATATTTAAAGTTAATTGTAGTTTTCATCACAATAAACGTATTGATTTAATTGATTTTTACATTTTGTGTTTATAAGGAGTCTCGAGATTGCACTAATTAAGGATACATTTACGTTTATTTGGAAAATAATTTCAAAATCCTATCCATTTTCTACTGACTTCTGAAGAGTTACACACTAGGAAGAAACGACCATCCAGTGCTTCAAGGTTTTCCATTGTGGTCTAGCTTCAATTGATTCAGGAACTCAACTATTAAAATTACTATAATATCTACCAAAACCCCTTTCTGATAATACTATATATTTGTTTTCATTAATTATTTTATGTAGCAGTTCAATAATACAACTTGACATTCTAATCAACAACTTATCAGTCTTTATTGAAACTTGATAGTAACTATTGACTTTATAATTAAAAAAAGTGATAATGTTCTAAGTTACATTTTTTTCTAATAAATTTTCAGACTGTACATTAATATATCCACAAATAGTTTCTAAACGATGTTATAATAATAAACGTTTATTAATAAGGAAAACGTTTTCAACCTTAGTGAAAGGTAAATGTTTACCGAGTGAAGCTGTATATAAAAAGCCAATAAGTAAGTTTTGTTAGAATATAATCCTTTATTATTATTTTGTTTAGTTTTATAAAATTGATTTATGATATGTAACTATGTGTTGAAAATTCTCATTTATGATTATGAGATCATTCATTTACTTTTTAACATTCAATTAGAGTAAATATTATTTGGTGAATGTGCACTACATATAAGAGAAGTATTTTTTTACTGGAGATTTCATTTCAGTCATCTAAAATTATTCACATATAGCTTCTGTGAATAATCCACCATAGTTTTGATGAAGTTTTGTTCTCTGAACTGGATGTTTTGGTTGTGGAGCTTTCATCGTTATTCTGAACGACATCATCAGCAGTCTTCTATCTTCTATCGGAAGTTTGTGCTGATGATGTCGTTCAGAAGAACGATGAAAGCTCCGCAACCAAAATTCCATCAAAATCATCCACCTGAGCTACAAATCTTCTTCACCATTTCAAAATCTACCATAGTGCATTTCAAACTCCCAGAAGTACAAAGTAAGTAAAGTGAAAGTTAGAGGTTAACATGAAATTTTCAATGAAAACAAATAAGTGGATAGAAAAATGCCTAAAAGTGTTTGATATTACACGTGTACTGAAAATTTAAAAAGTGATTACACAATCTCTCCTTGTTTATGGTCAACCAAGTATTCTATGTCCTTTTAGATCTTGAAATCATCAGTGATTAAACGTATTAGATACTAAAGCACTCAGTGAAAAAAAACTAATTCTGTAACATTTATTCAAGTTACATAATACCCAAATGATATTTAACATTTTGGTTTCATAGTAATCGATTTGTAGTGAAAAAGTGAACACAGTGAATTTTCTTTTAAATATGATTGCACAATTCAATTGAATGAAGTCATCTTTAATTCCTCTCAAGTGATTCAATGAGTTTGCTTCATAGTTCTTTTTGAATTATTAGATGATTAAATCAATCAAAAATCGTGATGAATAATGGTTAGTTAAGGTAATAAAATCATGGTGACTAAATGATAGTTAGGAAGTTAACAAAACGTTTGATGAAAAAAGATGTAATCAATAGATCCATGAGGCTAGGAATGATAAGTTAATGTATTTTTGATATGAAATGTTTAGTTATTTTCTCATGAACAACTGATAAGTTTTCAGATTCTCAAAGATGATCACTCAGTATTTGGTAGCTATATTCTAATTGATAGTTGTAATCATTAATTCTATAAACTTTAACATATTCGGAACATTAATCACTGTTAATTACTTCTGAACTCCGAAGATGTATAATGATGCATAAGTGTTTTAAAACAATACCTGAATCTCCAACAATGTATAGTCTAGACCTTCTTTTGTCTTAATAACTATCATTAAAAGTATCACTTGAATAACTCTGATTATAGATTGTCGACCACTGAAACGAATCAATGTTGGACGGTGTCAGATTGGTCCGGATAATGTTGGAACTCAACGAATTGATGAATTACATCTCACATCTATTAAATGTCAGTGTAAATGGCGAATAAAGCATTCAGAAAGAAAAATCTGTAGTAAGTTATATGTTTGAAATTTTTGGAAATGTGTGGACACGCATATCTAAGGTAATAGTAAATTCCAGGTATTTTAAAAAGTTTATGATTTATAATACTTTTTTAGTGGAATAATCACGTGTCCAGATAACTCCTAATGGTGTACAAATTTCAGAAGACAATACGAAGCGTTGACTACAGTTTATTATTGTACAGATCAGATTACTTAGCCACAAACACTCAGCGAATTCTAACAGAAATTCGAATACAGAGCCGATTAAAGAGACGAATTAAGAGTCGAATGAATTAATAAGATTCAAGCTCTCATATATAGGAAAGAGAACGATTCATGAAGCAATTTAAGTAACTAACATTTAAGCTAGTTAAAGGACATGTGAGTATGCTGTAACTCGTGATCAACCAAACATATTCCTACAGACGTGGTAATAATAATGCAAAGATATGGACAAACTGTTACTATTCGAATGATACTATCTATTAAGTAAGTCATCTTAAAGACTTGACAACATTAAACGTAAACAGATTCAAGTGTAGATGAAGTGTTATACTATGTTTTTTGTAATAATATTTAGCTAAGCCTGACCTTTATTAATTATACTATTAACAGTTGCAAAAATGAAGCAACTCGTTAAGACAGATATCCTGATATGATACCATTAAATGCCTTAAATTATCTTTCTTATTGACATATTGATTATTAAATACAAATTGTAGAATGCGCAAATGATTCAGTTAACATAATTATCCTCACGATTGTTTCATTACTCAATGTGTTAGACAGAAAGTTTGTTGGTTATTAATTGATCAATGTTAATGCATCGGTTTTTGGTTGTTCGTTAGGTGCACACTAAACAATTTTTGTAAATCAATTCTAAATTAAAATATTGCTTCATCTGAGATTAAAATATTTACCAAATTATTTGTACTCAGGATTTTTGGTACACCTTGTATAATATTACCATTTCTGTCCACTGAATGTGAAAATGTTGTCTGTCTGCAATACTTGGGAAAAAGTAAATCTTATGCTCGGAAATAATATCTGCCGAATTAGAGAATAAAATTTTCGATCATTTGATCTGTGAATGACTTTGCAAACTTTATATAACCACTGGTTTATTTAATTAACGCAGGAATTGTTTAATTTTATTGTTCATTTAACAGAATTTAGGAATATGTTTGTTGTCTAGTCAATAATGATCCTAGGGTAGTTTCTATAACCAAATTTCAGCTTTGAAATTCCTGAGTTTCATCTAGTTTCGGTTATTAAGTGAGATTTCTAAAAGCTTTCAAACTAGTAATAAAACTAGCTTTCAAGAACACACTCGTTTTCTATGATTCTCTAAACATCGATCCAAGATGTAAGGTATGTTGAATTAAAAATGATCTCTCCAAATCACCTAACAAAGCACTTCGCATCAACCTAACTTGGGTTAAGAAAAGTATATGATAAACGGTGTGATAATTCTATATTGATGTTTTCTTCTGGTTAAATTAGATCGATATATTTGTATTACACACTTATAATTTTAGAGTGCCCGGATCCGATACAAAAGACCCAATGTTACAACAATGGACGTCAGCTGATGTATATTACTACTATATACAGTTTGGATGGCGATAAGTGTAGAGCATCTGAACAATTGTTGGATATCGATCCATGTGCACATGTGAAAAAAGCCTTCAACCACAGACCACTATTCCAGATTGGGCGATGTAATCCAGTAACATGTAAAGCTCAACGTGTAGATTATCGATTTTCCTCTAAGAATTGTCAATGTGAAATTCAAAAGTTAGTGGATAAATTAAACATTTTATTAAGTGATTTTCCAAACATCCTTTGTTCGCGGCTAATTAATAAGTATTTAAAAATAAAATTATGGTTTCTAATAAGAAAAATATTTACCTGCTTATATTTCACTTAATATTTCTTAGAATAAAACTTATTAAGTATCACTGGCATCAATATTAGTATTAGATGACGGTTTCCCAGTATCGCGAATCGAGCGAACGTATAAATATTAACCATTTGATGTCAACTCAGTGTTCTATAAAGTTGGGTTCTTGATGAATGACCTGAGGATAGAGGATTCGATTCCCAGTGAGCTCATGGCTGGCGATGCTGGAGGCCCCAACGCTATGGTAAATTAGTTGTATAATATTACCTAGTTCTTAATATTTGTGTAACTAGTGTCATTCCATGATGTAAACCCCAAAATTCAAATATCTGAATAAGTTCACTGTACTGATCTTGAATACATTATCATTTGCAAAAAATCATTTCAAATGCTTTTCAGGTAAAGTTATAGTTCCTGGTTAAGTTTTTATAACTATCTTCATTTCACTGAAATGTACATCAGACATCGCCAAAATTCCGAAACATCAATCTTGGGGACGCATATACATCCAGCTGACGAGAACCAAATAAAAGGAAACGTGCATTCTGGATCTCATTGACAGCAATACTTTATCTATTCTATACTTACGTGATAAAATGTTTACCTATTGAATATATCATATAAAATTTCCAGGATATCCTATAATATTTAGAGAACCTATTGGAAAAAATAATAGTCGCTTGTTCAGAGTTGAATTAGCTAACTGCTATTGTATTTTTGTATGCATTTTGGTGAGAAACTACTTCACATCCGACGCAGTATAGCTTCACTGACCACGGCCTCTCACTAGAACACCAGAAATGTTCCCTCAAAGGTAGTTAGTAGTGAACATATAATGATTGTCAGTATGCAGTTGTGCAGATTGTTGAATACCTTTAGAATCATGATGGGATCTAAGCTAGACCCACCTAAGATGATGAATGATGATCCTTTAATATGGTGGATTGAGTGAGGTTAGACATTAACACAATTGGATGCTGAACCAGTCGTTTAGAGGTTGTGTTTGTGCGTGAGATTGGAGGTTTTGGATTCAACTCATGAGCTCATGATCGTGAATAATCACTGCTGGGGAGATTATTTAATTCTTGATTAAATAACTGATAATTGTTGGTTTCGCAACTACGAATCTTTAATTAGTTTATTTTAATTTTTTCTAATTATCTTCATAACTAAGAAATTTATCTGCTAAATACTGAATAGCTCAAATTAACATTACAATTTCCTCCATAGTTACTAACATCATTTGAAAACGGTTATGAATATGATATCTTTCTAGTGAAACAAGTTAAACAGGCATGAAAAATAAACTTTATTCTGTGACATTGTCTTACTGAGTCATTCTCCAGTCACTTTTTTCCATTAAAATTCCGAATTTATTGATTAAATGAATGGTGAGAAGTCCGACAATAGGAAGTAACGGCCGTCCAAGGCTTCCAAGTTTTCCATGATGGTCTAACTTCAATTAATTTATGATCTCAACTATTAAAATTACTATAATATCCACAAAAACCCTTTCTGATATTCCTATTTAAAGTTCAGCAATTGATAATATATATTCATTTATTATTTATATTATAGAAAAGTTTCAAATGAAATTTGTTGTTGTCCTAAATCAATAATAAATCAATCTATTTGTGATCCGAATACAAATGCAATTATACATAAACAAATTCATTATTCACTTATTATACCAACCTATAATACAAAAGCATTTAAATCATATTGTCAATCAAAATTATCACAAATTTCTGTACAAGTAAAATGTGGTCAAAAATTACAAAGAATTCGTATTAAACCATGTGATGGTGAATTTCATATTGTTAATATATTAAAACCAATTGTTGAAAATTGTATTTGTAAACAAAAATTAATACATAAACAAAAAATAAGATGTGGTAAGTTGTGAATTCTGTCGTTGTTTATATTCTCTATTTAGATAAAATAATCAAATAATATTTAAATATATTTATATCCTTGAAAGATATATACATTTAACTTCTTATTTTCACTATTAAATAACTTATTTATATTTCAGTAGTCATTAACGAAAGTCATAGTCAACTTTATAGTTTCCTTATCGTCTTCTTTATCTTTAGAACAAATTACATAACCATGATATCAACAGCGGAGACAATTATTATTATTATTATTATAAGCTTTATTCAACATTATATTTGTGGTACACTATTGAATTCTCAGCATAAAGTATTTCAACAAGTTTCTTTTTCTTATATCTTGATCGATCCTGACGATAAATATTGAGTGATGGCCAGTTAGATGTTAGGAGTTCGATAATCGACATTTAAATAATGTTCATTCGTTTCAATGCATATTGCAAGCCACCATGATGTCGCTGGTTGTACCTTTTTGTAATCCGTACAGCGAAAGGTTGTAAACTTTTCGTAAACGCGCCTGAATAGGTTGTGAGCTCAATGGACATAATAGTGTGTTAAAACAAACAAGAAAATAGATAACTTGAAGAAATATCTAGATGGAAGGAACAGGTAGCCCAGATATTCAAGCAGGCCGCCGATGAAGGAATCCCAATACGACATAAACTTGATATGTATCATTTAGAATCATTTACTTCTTTTGTTAAACATTTATTTAAAAGATGAATAAATATTCTTTGGATGAATTGATTTGAATATGTTGTTAATTATGTCTTTGAGAAACAGGGAAAAAAGGTATAAATTTACGACAATTATCCCTTGGAGGTCATTTCATATTTTACTGATTTTATTTAATTTACTAAATAGTTTGAGATTTGTTCGAATCATTAGGTGACTTTGACAAATGTAGTCATCTTTGATGTAATGATAAAGCAATTGAAGATGGTCGCACAATGCCATGGATTGATTAAGGTTAGACATTAACACCATTGGATACCGACTCAGTAGTCTAGAGATTAAGCGTTCGCGTATGAGATCGAGGGACTTAGGCTCGAGTCCTAGATATGGGATTGTGGATGTACACTGTTGAGGAATCTCATAATAAGATCAAACGGCCGTCCACTGCTTACAGGTTTTTAATTGTGGCCTAACATTGATCGGTTCATAATATCAATGAAAGTTTACAATCTCCACAACCCCATACCGAGGAAATAATTCATTGTTTAGCTTTACACAAAACATTCATTTGATTTCAGATTAGTTGATCAAAGTTAGTAACATTTCATTTAATGAGGTCACTATCATGATCGAGTTAAAATTCTCCCTAATTTTCCATGTTTGAGCTCTGCTAATTTTGCTATATCAGATATTTAACATGTATATTTTTAATTGTGTAATGTCTGTCATTATTTTCCAACATCCGCAAAATCGTTAGCTGAAAGCACTTTTCAGCTTTTTCTTCAAATTATGAGTCTCTTTCCTAATTATTATGTAAATATTCGATGTAATGAGTACCTCTTACATATCCCTTCGTAGTTAATGTTTGATTTCCAAAGGTATCGTCCCCTATTTACCTCATATTTTCCTGTGGAACCGTTTTTAAAAATTTATTCTAAATAATTTAGGTCTCAAACGACCGGAGATAGTTTACAAAACAGATGAATTTAAATAATTCTACAACTATGTCAAGTGGCATAGGACAATTGGCAATAAGTCGTCAATTCAGGTTTCGAACCAGTTGTCACTTGTCAGGATAAAGTAACAGTAATATTGAAATCCTTTCCACTCAGTGTCGTTTAAAGACGCTACTACTGAGAAGCTTTTGCCATCACTGACTCCCAGTTGGACTGAGATATACCAATCGACCACATAGTAACAACCAACGTTACTTTGGCCTAGTCTTTTAATCGAATTCTTTGAACCAAACTATGCTGTGGCGTTTCATTCTCTCTTTCGTCAAAGTATCATTATGAAACTTTATGATTCAATATATTTCGTAAGCTATTTAAATGTCAGACAAATTTCAAAAAAACCTTGTTTTTCTATGGATTTGTAGGTTGTCCAACTGCTGTGCGTCATATTCCTGGAAAATGTATAAATCAATGGGCTATACATAAATGGATAGGATTAAACGCTGTACCAACTGGTGTTAATAATTCTTTTCATATTACAGAGAAATCATGTAAACCGGTAGTAATAGAAGAAAGACGTATTCGTTGTGCATGTCCACCTATGCAAGTGTTCAAAAAATGTTTGAACCACAGTTTACTGGTTATTCATCGTATAAACTATAAAATGAATAAGGAACTAAATAATTGTGAAAGGTATAATACAAAGGAATTTAAAAAATTGGGTGAGTAAATTATCATCGCCATAGTACATGTACCACGATTTACTATTCGTGTTAGATGTTATTCAAATTTGTTAAGGTTACCATGGACGGTGTTAGTGTTATGTATATGCAGGTAGGAGATTTACTTGGAATCGGAATACACGAAGGTAGTTGAGGCTGTAAACACCTATTCAATGAATAATGGATAGCTTTCATTATAAGAATCACATATGAATTACAGATAACTAGTGAACGTATAGATAGGCGAGCACAAATTAAATAAATAGTGAGTAATTAGCATGACCGATGTATAAGAATAGACAAGTAATAATATATGCAAACTGACATAGACACACATGCATACACTATAATCAATAAAGTTACAGTACAGAAAAAGGTCAAACAACAGTTTGTATATTCACCTTATGATTGTGACATTGACTAGGTATTTAAAATCCGAATGTTAATCAATGAATGATAAAGGATCACTAAAATATTTTTCATTATACCTTGACCTGTTTGACTTAAAATGAATTCTTTGAGTGTAATGTTAAAGGACCGAGAGTTAAATTCTTAAAGCACTCTAAATCTCTATTTTTCAAACACTTGTTCTTAATAAGTACCAAAAAATAAGGAAATTGTATTAAGGATCACCTACAGATTATAACTATTTGTTTCATAATCAGTTAGTCTTAATTCTTTTCTCAACAGAATGAAAACAAAAAGACATAATTAACTCAATTTATACGTATTAGTAGCTAGACGAAATCTATGCATGAATTATGATATATAGAACACTCATACTGAACTTTTTGGAGAAATAATATTCATTTAAAGATCCCCATCATATTAAAAGACTAATATTAGTCTTTCAAATAATATTCGGTCTACTATCATATACCAGGAAAAATAAATATTGAATACAGTAAGGTTATGAGCATGTAAACAATTATTTATATCACAATGTTGAACCTTATTAAAATCAAGAAGACAATGAGAAAACCACTGATTTTTTTATACAGATGAAAGTCCCCTTTGGAATGTCTTTCATTAAAATGTTTAGATTTTAAACAGGTATGATAATTGTAAAAAGTGGCACTCCCAGGAATTATAAAGCTATATAAAAGCCTAAACCGTTAGGTGAACTGTTCTGATTACAGGTAATCAAATTAACAAAAAAAAACAATGAAAGTCAAGTACCAAATGAATACCAAACTTTAACAATTCCAGTCTATCTTGTTTAACAAATACGGTGATTTCTTTACAAAATAAAATATTCAATATTGATTAATTTAAAACCGTTTAGTTACTTTATTCCATATGTAGATTCGTTTAAATGAAAGAAAATATAATAACATGGTAACAAAAATGTTCAACTTTTTGTATATTTACAGTTTGTCCTAATACACAAGTAACACAAACTTCATGTAACAAATTTGAAAATTATGAACAAGTTGAAATAATAAAGCACTGGCAAACAAATCAATGTAATTGTTTAATGAAAGTAATTAAAAATAAATGGATTTGTAATTGTCATGCACGTTATCCAAATCAAGTAATAACAAAATGTTTATCAAATGGATATCAACGTCTTACAATAACAAAAATATGGTTTAATCATGGTAGACAATGTTTCAATAGAACAGAAAAACAAATAGAAAGCATAGGTATGTTAATAAATGGATTTTGATGGAGTTTTGTTTTCTGAGGTCCAGCTCATCCACCTGAGCTACAAATCTTCTCCACCATCTCAATAAATGGATTTATTTAGTTGAAAATTTATTATATTCCTTCCTTACTTTTATTCAACACACTTAATGTTGAGTAATTTTATTGAAAGAACTATGCACTGAAACCTAATAGTTTCTAGTATTCTAACTATTATTGGTGTAATTACTCAGCTAAGAGTGGATTTGAATGTTTAATTTCACTTTACTCTTTCTATTCTGATGATAAGCTGGTGCAACGGAATACAAAAAGCAGACAGTTGATTGAGCTTTATTAGGATCTGTATGATCAGGCTGTAATCAAAGAAAAGAAAATGCATAATCTCTCTTTACTCCCATTATCGATCGGTCCACTTATATTGTCAGCAGGATAGGTTTCTAGGTTATTTACTGGCTGACACACCGACTGATCAACAATAACTGCCAAAACCTTGACCCTTACTGGCCTTCGAGCTCCTTCTAATCCAGAGTTCGACCAGATAGAAAGCCTATCAGTTCTTTATTGTACTCCATACAATCATACATCAAACAGTATCTGCTAGGAATAACTGATCATATTGAAACAAAATTAGGGAATTCGACGATTTAGTCAAATGATACATAACCGAGGTAATAGGGAAATAATTAGTTAATCATGAATCTGGATCAATAGAGCGTATGACAATTTATAGGCCAAACAAAAGTACAACTAACTAAAGGTCTGCTAATTATACAATAAAAATATAAATTCTTCGTATGATAGTCCTACAAGTTATACTTCTACATTACTCATCCTACTACACCAGAAACTTGTTAACATAGGTATGTACACGGTTTGTTATGATAATACCTATTTCATGCTACACTGAGATTACTAAACCGTGGTATGCTAAAAATTAAACTGCAAACATTGGGCAACAATACAATGAATTTCCAGCAGTGGAATGAAGGACATGTTTTTCGCCCTATTCGGGACGCGTCGTCTGGATTTATTTAAATTCTATATTCCATGTTCACTCCGAAACTCGATCCTATTACCGTTCCTTTCGAACATCATTATCTTATTGTTTTAACCACTGAGTCCAGGTAGCCATTAGCTTGTACGATAAGGAAAGGGACTGATCAAATGCAGTCCTAAAAATCAACTTGAAGAATCAATAAACCAATACCTATAAGGTAACAATCTTTAATTATTTCTATTTGTATTTCAAATAAATTCTTTTCTTAAATGAAGTCACTATTCGATTATTTACGGATCAAATTTTTTACTACTTTATATATCGTGCTTTGCAGACATTGTATTTGAAATTTTCTTTTTTTACAGCTTGTCCGAAGAATTTAAGGATTATCAAGGGGCAGTGTAGTAGTACTGGGCACTTACAATTGATTTACCTTCTACAACGACCTCAACATTGTCAATGTGTTTGGCAGAAACTTACTGACTTGGAACAACAAGCATTAGGACTCAGACCAACTGAGGCATGTAAATGCCGTCCTGGCTTTGTAGTTAAACAATGTCATGAAGCTAACAATAACCAAACGGCTTATTTAGTTAAAATATATACTAATTATATTCTACAACAAGGTGAATGTCATATTGATCGTAAATTTGAGAAGAATCCTGTTGTTTGTCAAGTAGGAAGTCAATTACACAGGTAAGCAGCTCGATATGTAGCTAACGACAAATGTACCTTTTATCTATACAGTTTGACAATGACAGCAGAACACTGTCTATCATCCAAAGAAGATCAGTTTGTAGCATTCAATTATGTTATGAGATATTCTTTATTAAAATAAACGTACTTTCATTCATTGAAGCCAGGGATGTACTAATAGTTAAAAAATTCAGTTTCCAACAGACAGATTATAGTTTCAAACCTGGTTCCACCTCCCTGGGATTCTGTAGACAAATATTTTTATCATTCTTCACAAAATTGTCTCTGAAAACCATACATATAGACGCGTACTTAGCAAATGCAATTTAAAAACAAATACATATTATATCATCAGTATTGGGGTTGTGGAGATTATGAAGTTTTTGGTTGAGATCATGAACCGATTGATGTTAGACCACCGTTGGAAACCTGGAAGCTCTGGATAGCATACTAGGACGAAACGGCCGTCCAGTGCTTCCAGGTTTCCGACGGTGGTCTAACATCAATCGGTTCATGATCTCGACCAAAAAATATTATATTGGGAACCAACGTTTTAAAAGAATTCAAGAGTCTTTTTGATTAGTTTGATGATTAACGCTGTGTTTATTTATATAGAATTTCTCACCAAGTATTTACCTTTAGTTAGCTAATGAAATTTTCAGGCGAGATACAACCACTTATACTCATTTTAAGAATCTAGAATAACTGTCTATGAAATTTTGACAAAATCTAAATTTTTTGAATTCTTACGTAACCACTACACAGAACATTTTGAATTCTTCAATTACCCAAGGGTTCATAATTCAATAAATCGCTTTAATTTATTGCATTGAACAATAGTATCTGCTAAGTGAGAATGTTCGTGTGTTGTTTGACAATAACATTGCATGTGCATCATCGGCACCTTTAGGTATGCCGTGTATAATCAAAATAATATAAATCAGATGTGTTTTATCGCAATTATTAACTACTAAAATTTGTGAAAATTTCTTCAGGTCCCAGTGTAATCCTGTCAATAATGAGCTGATTGAGACCAAGATTACAACACATTTACGTGGTTGTGAATGTCAACAGAAAATATCTAAACGTCGTTGTCAGTGTAGTTGTCCAAAACCAAAGACTAACGCAGTCTGTCAAAGTCGTGATGGTCTATTACGCAAGATAAAGGCAATATATTCATACAAAGATGATCAGTGCACTTGTGAAGCAAAGTATTATGTTCAGTCTTCCCGTATCCGTTGTTATGAACCTCCAAAATTAATAAAAATCGGTAAATGTCATAAATTGCCTCAAAATGAATCTATTTATATACACAAGAATGATCTATATAGAAATCTAGTTTGGAATAAATTACATCGCGTGGGATGTCAATGCAAACATCAACGATTTATGGAACAATTTCCATGTTGTAAGTGGAAAATGTTGAAAAAAGAGGTTTTGCTTTATTTAATTCTGAATTACTGAATTTAGGCGGATTAAGTTCAAACTAATTTACAAGCAATTCTAATAGTTGTGATCATAAGTCAATTGAAGCTAGACCATCACGGAAAACTTGGAATCACTGGACGGCCGTTTCGTCCTATTGTAGAACTCCTCAGCAGTATGTATCCACGATCTCACCTCACTACATTCGAACCCAGGACCTATCAATCTCGAGCAGAAACGCTTAAACTCTAGACCACTGAGCCGGCCGGCATCCAACGGTGTTAATGTCTAGCTTCAACTAATCCACGAAATCGAGCGACACATCCACCACTGTCTTCAGTGAGTTACTATCTCACAAGAGACCTGGTTGAACTCCACTGATCAGTGCTTCTCACTAGAACTCCAGGAAACACCTCTTGAAGCCAGTCACTGGTGAGCCTATGTTGATTAATATCAGAAGGCGAGTCCTAAAATAGAACGAAACAGCCGTCCAGTGCTTCCAGGTTTTCCATGGTGGTCTAGCTTCAATTGAGTCATAATATAAATAGACAGCACTGCATGAATATTACAATATTGTAGATTCAAATATAAAAGATGGTATAACATTTTGTCTTCGGAAAATATAAGTGTTTTTTTCAAAAAAAAAAGAGAAAAACAAGATCACATGTAACACCAAAAGTTAGTGAATTATATTATTCACCAGCTAGCTACCTAGCTGAAAATTTCGACATCTAAACACAATTGTTCGTTCCCCCTCACCCACGTTAATAAAGGTGATTCTAATTTACCTTACTTTACTATTATTATCATTATTAGTATGACAGATATTGTTTCTACCCAGATTTCTTGATTACCATTCATATATTTAAGTTCATTCAATACATTTTACTGATAACTCACCTTGCTGTAAATATTAAATGCAAGCTCAGTGCAGCCAATTACTTACACCTGTCATCTCTCGTGAGACATAGACCATTATCCAGTGACCTCCAACTAACTCTGTCTTGTGAACTCCCTTCGAGCTTTCGTCAAATGCTTTTTTTCACGTCTGCCTCTAATCCCCGGTGCAATATGTGCATCAATAGGTGATAAGGAATCAAGTTACCAGGTATGACAACAACATGATTACATGTCTTCTGTTATCTGACCTATCTCTTAAAGTTGTTGACAAATGCAATTTAATGATCTCTCTTTGCAATGTTCCATTTATCTTGTTTGAAATCAAATATAAAGGTTGACAAAATCGTAAAATTTCCGGTCTTTCGTTTCACAAATTTCCATTATCTTTATCCTATATCTGCATAAAATTCAGTCTTCAGTTATAAATTAAACAATAAGTTACACACCATCATGTTGATTTCTTGTGGTTGGTCAGCAGTAATCCCTCAATCTTGGTTTAATCTTATCACCACCGTAGTTACTCAGATTTGTGACTACATTCCAACTTATTTGGTAGAGTTCGATCATCATTACAGGACTAGATAAACATGATATTGATCGCTACTCGATAAAGTGTCAATTATAAATGCTCCGTTATTCAATTGAATGCATTTTCATAAACATTTCATTTACTGAGACAAGAGTGTCACGAAACTTTGTATAAAGACAACCCCCTAGAAAAATCTCTAGGTAATCTTTAATGAAATTATACCTCTCTTGATATTTCAAAGTTGTACTATTGAGTTGTTCTGAGATCACTGGATTATGCCGCATTTTCTGTTTACAAATGGATTAATTATGGTAATTAACCTTTGTTTTAACCAGCCAAACTACTTTCAATTTTGCTTACATGTACACCTCATTACATAGACTGTTCGCCTGATATAAAATATGAAACACAATGTATCATGGACAGAATATTGGAAATTCGAAAAACTGAACGAAAAATAAGCGAAGATAAAAGGCAATGTATACGAATTGTCATATCTAAAGTTCGTAATCCTATACGTAAGTGACTTTTAACTATTGCATATAAGTTATTATTCAATTACTTTTGTCATTGTATATTGATATGTTGAGAGATTATGTAAGTTCGATTAATATATGATGTTAAAACGGTACTAGTTAATTTATTGTTAACCTGGTTGTACATGATAAATTTACACCATTAAAGGAACTCATTCTCTACAATTCCATGTAGTTCAATAATTCCCTAGTTGATTTCACACTGACAAAAATCACTTGCAAAATTATTGAACCTAAATATGACAGTTATTAATTTCATTATTTACAATCTATAACAGATTTACATAATTATGAAAAGTAAGATATTTTAGTTATCGCATTCTTTTTTTATACATAGATCTTGGAAAACCTGAATATAACAAAAAGTGTAATCCTAAAACTGGTATGGAAACAGTAGTGCAAAAACTACCATATGTTGAAAATTGTAGACGACAGTATCGTGTTAATGTAATTCATCGTAAATGCAGTAAGTAAAATGAAAGATTTTCACATTCTATTCTTTCGAAAATCAGATGGTTCATTTAGGCATAATGTGTACGATTGAATAAGACATTATTTCATAAAAATCATTATTGTTTATGACAGAAAGATGACAATTAAGTATCTATGTGCAAATAATGATCAGTTAGCTTAATAAGAAATACAATATAATTTTTTTTAATTAAACAAAATATTCCATATTTTAAATAAACGAATACTGACTATCCGAAATTAGAATCCCTCAAATGCCCTGATACGGACGAGTGTGGGGAGTGTCATCTCTCCCTCTCGAAACGCTCTCACATGACCACACGTATACAACCACTGCCAGGGAAATCCTACTCATTGCCTTCTCGCACCAGGGGTGTTTTTTACGGAACTGAGACGACAAAAAGCTAATATCCGTCTCTTTAACCGGCTTGGTGGACACGGAGAGTCCGCCTAGGGAAGTTGGAAAACCCTGATTCCAAACCAATGGTGCACATGGGCTCCAGCATCCTGAAGGAGAGAATGGCGTATGAACCAATTGTTGGTCACCGGCTACTATGGAACTGCATCTCCCAACGTTGCTCTACTGCCTTGTGGATCAGACATACAGGTCGAAGGCTCCGGGTGTTGCCCCTAAGGAAACCATCTGCTTCGGTCTGGCACCCGGGCAGTATTACAGCCCACACACAAATAAAATAAAATGACGAAAATTACTGGAAATATTATTTTCGCCTCGACTAAAATTCAGACAATTCATATTTATTTATTCTTTTTCTTTTTTATATATGTGTAGGGCATATGTATCTGGTGCCCCTTTTTACCAATATTTATGTGTTCAAATAAATAAATAAAATTCCTTCCGAAAATGTGTTAAATCGTAAATTATTGGGTTAGAATATATTTCGCTAACTACAGCTATGTTCTTAGAAATTTTCAATTTCTCATATTATTGGGATTTTTCATATTGTGAAGTAGTTAATTGTAGAAACCAATGAATTGGGATAGATTGACTTAAATTTATAAATTAAGACAATTCAAACAATTACTTGACCATCTGTTTAGAGATATGTTCAATTCAATTCAATCTTTGAACTCCATTTGTCATAGATTCCCATTAAAATTCCGAAACTCTCACTAAAAGTTTACTGATTTATTAGTTAAACTATGAAATTAAGCCGCTAAACAAATTGTTAAGATTAACCATTATTGTTTAATGCTACCATCTGTGAATAATGTTTGGCTGCAGTTTTTCATAGTTGGAGGCACAATTTTCCGTCTTTATTTCCTTAATTTTCCCTCAAATACCATTCGAATTCAGTGTAGCATTATTATTATTATTTGTTTTGTGTTCTTTACTTTCCTTGTAATTTCCAGAATGTAATACTAAACCTCGTTTAATTCGACAATCTCAGTGTTCACCAGAATGTAAGGTACGATATACATGGCTAATGGAGAAGATAACACCAGAAGGTCAATGTAAATTTTATTACCGCGTTCAAGATAAATCATGTTGCTGCCCAACTGAAGTTAATTTAGGTACATTTTGTAATCGTTCTATTGGATTATTGGAAACTGGTTATCGCAACTTTAAATTAATCAATGGAAAATGCTTATCCAAAGACAGATTTATTGGAGAAAGAGTTGGTTAGTTGTTTTCTTTTTTGGAGTCGATGTTATATTGAAATTCTAATAGTTTTTATACAATCAATATGTCATAAATAGGTCTTCTAATACTATACAAGGAACGCAATACAGATGGACAACTCAAATGTTCAACATTTATAATTGCCCCCCCCCCTAGTAACATATATCCTGCTGATTTAAAGGATGATCAGAATGAAAGCCAGTTCAGTGCATAAGAATTATTACATAACAATCTAAATCCTACTACACTTTTCCGTCAGTTACCCAGAATGTTGATTTCCCGATTAGCAAGGATAGTAATCTACTAAATAAATAATTGTTGCATTAGATCTAGACTATGAATATATCATGGTCAGCTCTACCTACATACAGGTTTGCGTATGTTCAATTAAGTTAAGTCTTTGATTTAGCCCATTTTGTAATGCCTATATATGTCCTTACATAAATGAGTTTATATGACTAAAAGCATATGATAGCCTACATGTTTATTTCTCACCCACTTAAATATTAACTGCCCAAGCAGTTGATGATCTATTAGCATGCACAGTATTTGCGTGCTAAACTAGATCCAATACTTCCTGTCTTTGTATGTGCAAACGGTTTTCCGGTCGAATGATCTACAAAGTACGGCAATAATCGCGAAGTTGGGCTCAACAATACTTTTAAATACAAAATAAATGGAAGAGTAATAATGTAATTAAATAACACACAAAATGGATATAAATAGAATTAAGACATTTAGTGCCACACTAATTTCTAATGAAAAATATCCGAAAAATTAACAAAATGAATGGTGATATAATTATAATCAATAATTTAGTTTATAAACCTAATGTCCTTATCTATTCAATCAGAGATATTAATTTTGCAGAACTAAATGATTTAGAACTTAAAATACAGTTCGATAATAGTTCTAAACTTACAGTTTGAACCTAATTAATCTAACACAAAACATATGCAATTAAGGTACATATGGAAAGTTAATTGCATTAATAAACTGTCTCGAAACATTTAGTATCCTCCTACCTCGACCTACGTGTAAACAGTTGATAATATCTGTTAGATATTCTATACACTCAAAACATATATAGAAGAAAAACTTGCATTATTGCATTGGTTTTATGCTAAAATTAAAAAAGAAATTAGAGAAAACATTTTGTTTCCTTATTATAATCATAATTATTATTACTACCTATATTATTTCAGTTTGTAAAAAGAACGAAAAAATAGTGAAGTATCAACAGCCAAACGGTTGGATACGAATTGAGAAACAATTTAATATACGTGATGGATGTAATTGTGTTCGGAAGCTCATTGTTGATTATGATAAATGGAGTAAGTCTTTATTGATAATACTTTTTATTGAACTATATCAACAATTGATTAACTAAAATCTATGTGTCAAAATTTATACTTCTCACCATAAATGGATTTAGAACAGCTTTTGTGTCCACTAGACCTCTGTACAATAATGACTACGATTTGTAAAAGTAGTGAATATGGAATAATCGATCTCTTTGTTTCATGTGTACGACAGTTCGTGTATCATTAGTGAAGCAAGAAGACATATACAAAACCTACTTCACAATTATTGTTAAGATAAATATGTATTTTATGGATCTCATACAAACTAATGACTTATTGATAACAGTTGGATAATCTGTCCTTCCCAAATTAAGTGAATTATTTATTTTTGCATTATATACAAGCCAAATGATGTATCACTATCATTTTCTATTTCTCACCTATTTAATATATGTTGCCTGATTATTATGAATTTAGAATTTCTTATTACAGATATGAATGGTTTCATGATTAGCTAACTTATAAAGTTTTTGTTAGAGTTTTGTTCTCTGAGCTAGATGGTTTGGTTGTGGACACTTCATCGTTGTTCTGAAAGACATCATCAACACAAACTGAGCTACAATTCTTCGTCACCATCTCAAAATTAGATGACTTATAAAGTAGCTGAGTTAACTCATATGATTTATTACCAGCTGAATTTAAAGAACTGTAATATTGTTTTGTTCCAAATATTGAGTTTTTTTCATGGATCAAGATATACGAATTATTTCTGACTGGATTGAATTCTAGTTATACATTCGTTGCATATTTCAGCAGAAACTGCCATAATTAAGATGTCATTGTACTATTATCATTGTATTCATGTTCACATGATCGAATTTTAAACATCATTTAGGAATGTGCATGCTTGATTTGTAAATTTTTATTGGAAATAAGTAAACTGATTATATTCTATTAGTTTTGAGACTTTAACTCATTACTTCCATTTGATCACGACGTCAGGAAATGCACTTAACAATGAAAATATAATACTATTTTTGAAATAAGGTTATCCAATAAGTGGCTAGGTATTGGGCAAAGTACATTGTTTAGAATTGTAGCATGTAAATTTTAGATTGTGAAATAAAATAATGTTGAGATAACTAGTATGCAGTGTTAAGTTGAAAAAGCCCATACATTAAACAAAATTGTGAGATTATTGACCAGAATAAATATGTGTCACACAGAGTGAGAAACAATAGTGCGATTAACGTACACTCAGGGTGCACAATTCGGCAAGTCCGTTATCATATAGCAGAACACCATCCCTTTTGGTTGAGCAAGTTACATGTAAGAGTTATTAAGAGTTCTATTTTCGCTCACTTGATGAACACAGGTCATCACGTTAATTTGAATAAATATTTTAAGGTTATCTACCATATTCCATCAAACTAATAACATAATTCCCGATTTCATCTTATGCGCATTACTGAAGCTATTGGAATCCATATTCATCAACTAAACCTTTGTATCCAAAATACTTTTGTACAATAACTCTCACTACTTACTCTCAACATTCATCCCTTGATTCTTACATAATTACTCTAATATTGACCTTTCACCAGAATCTTTTGTTAGTTCCTTCCTTTTTTTTACATGTTATACAACGTAGCAATCGTTTAATTTTTCAAATAATTACTTTAATTATTATTATCCCCTTTCTTTCAATTACTCAATGTTATTTTAGTCAGTGTGTTACGTAACGTAACTATTCGGTTAGTACTATTTCACTGTTGTAAATCATACATATATAAATTAGTGTAGAGTCATGATGAAAAACTAATTGAAAAGAAATTTCTTCACTCGATTCGTTCTAATTACATATTTGATCAAATGATTAATGGAAGACTATATTCTGCATAAAGTTATATGAATTCACTAGGAAATCATAAAGTAGGGTGAATGTTAAATAGATTAATCATGTATTCAGGCTATTAATAATGACATTAAACAAGCAATAATAATAGTTTCAATATAGCCGGATCTTTCTCAATCATTTATCGGGTCGGTAACTTTTTGTCAAAGTCTGTCAGACTCAAATGGCAAAAGCAATGTCCGTTGGACTTGAAATCCCGAATCTATGAGTTAAAAAGAAAATTTTTTAACTGCTCCTCTTGCCATAATCAACCTCCGGGCCAATTAATCAATGATAAATTTAACTATTCGAATGATCTAATTTGACTAATTTACATGAAACCTTTCTTAGTTAAATAAGATTATGCTTCTAAGTTGTTTATAGTTAATGAATATGATAGACGGTTGTTGTCATCATAAGAACCAAGTAATCATCACTTTCTTTTGATAAAATGTTTATGTAAATATTCTTTTAGATGTTATTATCTATAATTCATAATATATCACTGGTATTACTTACCCATCATGAGTCTTACAACTTCTCATCATCATCATCATCATCATCATCAAAGTTTGATATGAACATAGATATCATTCGAATTTTTAACTATAACACTGAAATAAACTAATTGATGTCGATGTGTTCATGAATAGCGTTGATTGTTTGATACAAAATGTGTAAAATACATAAAGAACAGCATTGAGTAAATTCCTATAAGGATGTTGTTCAACTTAGTTTCATTGACTTACATCAAATAAATTTCTAATTTATTCTTTACACACAGTTATAATCTGTTAGTTTACAGTGATAATATTTCAACTAAACTAACTACTCCTGATTACCCTATGACTCATTTGAATGAGTTTGCTTGACTAAAAACAGAAAAACAAGTATAAAGCTATATTTAACTAACAATATATCTTTTAATTAATTGAATCCTTCTTAATGACCTTAAACGATCAGGGCAGTTGAAGAGTTTTAGATTTGTTATTATTTGTTAAGCACAAAATGGTTTAGTTTTAGTCAACATATATTTCAGAAAAAAAGTAGAGACGACTACGTTTGATCCTATTTAGAATATTTCCATCCAGTATGATAACTTTATTGTCGTACTGATAAGTTATGAAAGTCAAATATAAATTACTTTCTAGTTTACACCACGAACTAACGTCAGCTAGGCAAATAACGAAAAAGAGAAAACACTAAACAGCTGTCTCATCCAAGTACATAATTTCTTAGCTGTCCTTTTTCATAGCAGATGGTTATGCTGAAGTTCGTGTACAAAATCAACTTCATATTCTATTGTGGCTCTAATGCTCTTAGTACTAGAAGAAAAGACTTTTTCAAAGAAAATACAAATAATTTCAATAGTTGAGATCATGAGTCATTTGAAGCTAGACCACCATGGAAGACCTGGAAGCACTGAACGGCCGTTTCGTCCTAGCATGGGACTCCTCAGCAATCCCGCCCTCAGAGAGATTTGAACCCAGACTCATGATGTCAACCATTGAAATTTCTAAAAGAAATCTCCACAAAACCCCTTCTAATAAAGATAAGATTTTACGTAATATTATCTCAGGCGTAATTTCTTGAATTTTAGACCTTAATGTATACTCCTATTGACAGGTAAAAATTTTGAACCCTATTTTAGATAATTCCATCCTATTTTCCAAAGGACTACTATATACGTTAAATAATTAAATGCAATTTTACATTATCAATAAGTGATGCTGCCTAAAAAAAGTTCTCTCCGTTGAAGAAACTTCATTTATTTACAAACTTAGCCATAAGTTTCAGTTTTATGACTACATAAGAAGCAAAATATCGACACGTTATTTTTGCTTAGAGGATTTAGATTTTCCGTGTAGTCATTAGCGTGATCACTTTTAAATATCCGTTTCAGAAATCTTACAACTAATTGATAAAAAAAAGAAAAATTCAACAGTAAATTTGATAAATTATTAGGCCGTTTTAAAATATTTTTTTCTTGTTATACAGATTGTCCTCCGCCAGTTACCCAGCGTCGGTGTGTACAAGCCAATAGTGAACAATTCGTTCTTGAGACTATTTCAACTAAATGGAAATTATCGGAAAGTAAACCAACATGTTCGCGTTTAGACACAATTATTGATCGAGTTCCGATTGACTGTTCTGAAGAATATGTGAATAAGTCAAATAAATGCGTGATGAGTGTTGGTCGACATGCTTCAGTTCGTATTGATCAAGTGACTACATTTCATGCTGATGGTTGCCGATGTATTGAGAATAGTGTACGTCAGGTGTTTACAGTTTGTAAATGTACACGCCCACATAGAGAAAAGTCCTGTCTTTAGTAAGTTACTCTTATTATTGTAAATGTGTGCTTATATTAAGTAGCATTATATATGTATGGATTTCATAATAGCCATAAAAACATATTGTTGTTGATATGAGTGAAAATGGAGTAGGTAACTCTTAGAGTTCGGGTTAAGCTCAGACATCTGAACATATGAAATGACTAGATTTTTAACTAGGTTTCTCGGATCACTTGATGGAATCAAATATGATGTTTTCTAGTTAATTAATGTTAAAATGCAAAATAATTACAGAAGTGGAACGCCTTAGCAAATTATTTTATGATTCTTTTGGAAATCAGTTTGTGTATATCAGAAAGTTTGATCAACTAACGAATGTGTTGTTGCCAATGACTTCATATGTTCTTGTTTAGCAGAATCTAGCATGTATCATTTTGTTTAAATTACTGATTCTTATTTTCATCAGTATGCGGATTTGGAGATTATTCAATTTTTGGTTGAGATCATGAACCGGTTGATGTTGGACCACTATTGAAAATTTGGAAGCACTGAATGGCTGTTTCATTCTATTACGGGATTCCTCAACGGCGTGCATCTACGATCTTGCTTGGGGATTCGAAGCCATGACTTTTGATTTTGCGCGCGGACGCTTAACCTCTAGACCACTGAGTAGGCATCCAACGGTGTTAATGTCTTACCTCAACCAATCCACGAAATTGCGCGACCATCTTCCATTGTACTGACATAGATTACCTCAACTGGTCACGGCTTCTCATTATAACTCCGAGAATTCCCTCACGAAGCTAGTCACTAGTGAGCACATGGTAATTATCAGTGTGGGGTTGTGGTTCGATAAATTACTTTGTTTAGGGAATTATTACAGTTCATTTTATAGTCTTCCCAATTCTGAAATTCCTAGTCAGAAAACTAGATTGTATAGCTCGGAAATGATTATATTATGAAAAGTATTTGCAGTTCTTGGTTCTCTAGAATGAATCGATTTGCCTCTTTGATTAACATAATACTTCTGTAAACTTTTCAATACCTAAATGATTTAATTTTGAGTGTGAATGACTCTATCCAGAGGTAGAATTCAGTACACTCGATTTTTTCTAATCTAGAATCATCTGAGATGTTAAATGAAGTCTTTTAGTCAGTTATATATACTATGTTCATCACTTTTTTCGTATTTCAGCACTTAAATTATTCGACAATTATGTAATTTCAATAGTTGTGATCATGATTCAATTAAAGCTAGACCACCATGGAAAACCTGAAAGCATTGGACGGCTGTGATTAGTGAGTGGCTTCAAGAGGTGTTTCCTGGAGTTCTAGTGAGAAGCACTGATCAGTGGAGTTCAACCAGGTCTCTTGTGAGATAGTAACTCACTGAAGACAGTGGTGGATGTGTCGCTCGATTTCGTGGATTAGTTGAAGCTAGACATTAACACCGTTGGATGCCGGCCGGCTCAGTGGTCTAGAGTTTAAGCGTTTCTGCTCGAGATTGATAGGTCCTGGGTTCGAATGTAGTGAGGTGAGATCGTGGATACATACTGCTGAGGAGTTCTACAATAGGACGAAACGGCCGTCCAGTGATTCCAAGTTTTCCGTGATGGTCTAGGTTCAATCGACTCATGAACTCAACTATTAAAATCACTATAATATCCACAAAACCCCTTCTGAAATTATGTAATTATACAATTAGTCGCTGGTATAATAAAGTATTGTCCTCAAATATTTCTTGTAAATTTTCTACATTAGCATAAGTATTGAATAACTACCACTGGTTACATTTATCAGTTACTTCCGATTCTAATTTGGTACTTTTAAATTTCAGTTCAGAAGGTGTTTTAATTTATCAAAATGTTCATTATGAAGTTTCTGGAGATAAATCACGTTGTTTACCACGTAGATCACGTCGTGTAATTAAAATTACTTGTTCACCAGTTGGCCCACAATATAAAGGCAGAACTCAATGTGATACTGAAACTGGGAACTTTTTCCATATATATGAAGAATTCAAACGTGTTGGTTGTCAATGCTTGAAGAAAGAACTACGTATTCCTGGCAGATGTAGATGTCCAGAACAACGATCAGAAATGAGGTAGATATATCCTGGAAAATGTGTAGCTTTATTAGTGTAACCATGATTTTTACCATCAAATACTTTTACAGATTTGACTACTATTGATTAGCTAATTAATTTGTTGGTCCTCAAATGATATAGTTGATTCGATTTTTGAACTCTCATGTCTGATAAAATTATTTGACAGAAATCAAATCATGGCACACGTTATATCTTTGTATTTAATGCCGAAATAACATAATAATACAAGCTTATCTTGACAAAGTACAGATCCTAAAATGTAATTCAAAAATTGTCAAGTCAATGACGAACTAGCCGATGAGTTTTTATTATCATGCTATAGTTTTAGTCAATTAAGTAATAGTTCCGTCTTGACTTTTTCACTTTTTGACCGATTTATTTATTCGAATGCTTGGAGCCTATGTTACTAGCCTAGTAAGGACACGGATCGTACAAACAGGCATTGTATCGTAAGTTAAACTTATCTAAAATATTCCTGGAAAAATCTCCCAATTTGAGCTATTACTTTTTAGTACCCACATGTAGACAATACTAATCTGTAGACTCAAATCTCGCTTAAATAAATAAATAAATAATAAATAAATAAATAGTTCCGGCGATGACACTGATAGGGATCTTAATGGTAGTCTGTTTGAACTATATCATGTAAACTTTTACGGCATAGACAGTTATGTTGTCAATTATTTGAAATAACCTGACACCAACTTTATGTTACTAGAATAGTGCTTAAAACGATCTACTCATAAATTATAATGAGCCAAGCTGTCGTTTGAGATAACCACATAGAAGTGAAGTATGTCAACAGTTAGCGTTCAATGGTTAATTAATGGAATCTTCAGTATTTCTCTTTACTTTTGTTTATTCAGATGTTCAATGCAAAATGTTCAACAACTCAACACAACAACGTATGAATTAAGTCCGAAAGGAACATGCACAAAGTCGGATAAACTTCAATACAAGTATATTAAATGTCCATTAGCTGATGACCTTCTTCAAGAGTCAACCGACTACAAGGTTCAACAAAGCCAATCACTAATAAAACATATATACAAGTGTGGTTCGGCTGGGAAATGTATGCGTATTATACAAGAATACAAAACCTACACAAATTACAAATGTAAATGTATCACTGAAAAAAAACAATACAGAGAAGCATGTTGTTGTCCAACGGAACCAGATATGACTCAATTTAATTTGCCCAACAATTCTCAGTCTGTATCAGTCAATACATTATGTGATCCGGATAAAGGGGTAATATTGAACAATACAATTAGATGGAATCTTGAACATGGTAAATGTTGGCCAGTTATACACAGAACAGTTCTTCCAGTCGGTAAGTAGGTTAGGGATAAATTTTTAATTAGTCACGAATCGGTTTTATTTGATATGACTTGATTATTAGAACTGAATTGACGAGATGTTTCCAGTGGAAGATTATATGTTTATTTGACTCTAGTCAATCAGCAAAATGTTTGCTCATAACGCGTTAAATGATATGACCTCTTAGTACAGTTAAGAATTATTGAGTTCGGGACTTCATTACTAAACAGAGATCAAAAATGCACAACAGAATTCAGAAAAATTCCAAATCTTGATTTAAAATACTCCTATAACATTTTTATTAGTAAGTGTGCCAGTTACACAGTAATGTTTTATCTGTTGTTACTTCCCCCTCCCCCTGTTTTTTGGTTAGTGTATTATTTACTTTCACTGAGGGTTCAGTCTAAATGTATTATGTGAGTAAGTAGGATCTCTTTAACCTACCCCGTCAAGCTAAAAGCTAAGATCATTGGCATTAGAATGACTAATGATTTTTTACAGATGTTTTTTTCTGTAAATGTTATGATAATATTTAATAGATGAGGCATGTAAAGAATTACTTCCTCATCATGATATGTTTCATCAAGACTTTCATAAATTTACCTTGAAGGCAATTTGGTTGAAAATCAGTTCTGTTTTCAATTATCTCCAAGTTTTGTTCTATGAATGAGTTTAGAAAAAGGTTAAGAAGCTTTTCAGTGAAAGTTATTGCATATTATACAAAATAAATCAATGTATAGTTGCCATTCACTGAAATTCATCATAGTTACTTAAATTTATTCAACAAATTGATTATCGACGCAGTGTTATTCATTTCAATTTAGCCTATAAAGATTTCAATAATAAAGCCTCCTTGATTATCGTGTATCTATAATAGATATATGTTCTTTTTATACTTACAAAGATGTCATAAAGAAAAGAAACTTTTTCTGGAAAGTAATTTTACTCTGTTTACATTGAACAAGTACATTAAAAAGTTTCGTCTACTGTAATTTATAGATTGTGAAAGAATGATAGTACCTTGTTTAGATGGTTTCTAGTGAATGTATTTTTTGTATTCAGTAAGTAAACAAGTCATTTCGGTTTGTGTTTTTCTTTTTTCGTTCAAGTTTGTGATAAGAAAGAATTTTTCAAACCTATCACAGTTTGTCGTCAAGGTCAACAGAAAAACTTGCATCAACGCGAAATACGAGAAGGATGCAAATGTAAATTAAACAAGCGTATTGTTACAAAACCATGTGGTAAGTATAGTGAATTTGTTCAATGAAAGTTCAGACAATTTCATTTTGACAGATAATTCCCATTTAAACATTAAAAATTAAAAACACAAAGTTCAGCGAAGGGATCTCTTTTCAACTAATTTATTATCAAGCTGTACAATCGTATATATATATGAAATTTTTTTTGTTTTTGTAAAAGTAGTAATTCCGTGAGAAAATGTGAACACAATTAACCAAGATGACGTAATAGAAAAATTATAATACTAGATTACGTAATACGAATAATAACAATACTAGTCTTTTAAAATGACGGGGATCTTTAAACGAACAATAGATTTAGTGAATATAATAATATGATTAAAATGATTAAAATGTTTTTTTGTTACAATAATTAAAGGTCATAGATGTGTAAAAATAAATAAGGTGATATGATGAGCATTTACGAATAAAATAATGGGAATATAAGACATAAGAGAGAATGCAGTAATAATAATAATAACAGGATAATGAAAATACTTAAGGCCAAGGTAACGATAACTTTTACAAAGATAAAAATTTTTCATATATATACGATTGTATAGCTTGATAATAAATTCGTTGAAAAGAGATCCCTTCGCTGAACTTCGTGTCTTTAATTTCATTTTATTATATTTTCTATAGTGACATCATCGAGCACTCAACAACAATATTAAGTGTTGCTTTTAAGTAGTAGTTCATTACATTCTAGTTCAGTTCTGAGTAGAACTGTTAGTTACTGTATAATAAATACGTAAATTATCAAATAACCTTCATAACTATAATGAAATTTGTCATCAAACTGAAACGTCATACTTATCACTTCAACAATCTGCTGCCATATTGTTGAAATTTGTTTAATTTGACTATTAGTGGCCTATTGAATAATTATCATAGGATAATTTTATTAATTACTGCCATTTACAAAGCAATTTCATCTATTAAAATATAATTACGTCATTCAAAAAATGAAACAAAGTACAGTTAGTTTGAATAGGATATAGGTTAAGCGAAACAAAATATGATCATACATAGAGTGGACAGTCATAAATGAGTATATAATAATAAACATTGGATTATCTAATTGGTATTTGAAATATATATGAGCATTTACAAACAGATAAGTGATAGTCTCTAACCTAAATATTGAACGACTTATGTTTCATCTCTTGAAGGAGAATGGATTTTCTCTTAAGTCATTTCATATTGAAGATTATCGACAATAGCAGACTTAAGTGCACCACTTCAATGTAACTACTGTACAAACACAATACAGTAAGCTTTTATTTTACGTGAATGGCTACATCATGATAGTTTACAATTTTATTTATTTCCATATTTACAACATAGCTAATTTATTTACTTTTGATAGTATATTTTCTTGTTTAAAATTCAATATGAATTTATATTTCAGCTTGTGATCCACTTGGTATTGCAGATGTCATCTTTATTGTAGATGAAACAGTAAAGAGTAGACAGATGAATTATTCATATTATGTTAATAAAATACTAAAATATACTGTGAATGTATTTTACGAATCATCTCAGTCATCAAATATAGATGAACAATTTCGTTTTGGTGTAATTAAATATTCATTAAAAGCAGATATTGTTTCTAACTTAAAAAGTTATCCAGGGTTATATGAACTATATGCTGAAATAAAGAAACTGACATTTAATGGACGTCAATCAGATCTGAGAGTTGCATTAAATATTGTTAAAAATCAGGTAAATTGATCTTCAAATATACTTCAATGTTATGTATTATCATCAATGAAGTTATTTTTTGCTTTTAAGCAGTTAAGTGGTAGATATATGCCATTTTACAAAAAAAATAAGCGACTAATCAGTTTTAGTTATATCCTAGAGTTGATGTCTACACCAGACTCAAATCCAATACTTTTCACCGTGAACACCCAACATATTGTCCACTGAGGTATAAAGTTCAGATATCGCTGGATTGTGAAACAGAGATTAATCAAACCTTCAGGAATAAAATTATGTTTATTTATTTTGTTAAGCAAAAGATATAGTTTTTCCATTTCAAATACACTAACTTTGTTAGGAAGACGGAAAATAAACATTTGTGTTTCGTTTTCCAAATTGTTAGAGTTGAAAAAATTTGAATGCTTTTATTAAAATTATATAACTATAATGTGAATAACTTCTAAACGCGTTTATTTGTAACATATATAAATGAGGAAGTGAACTCAATTAGCCATTTACATTACCTTTTCAGATTTGTTTATTTGATGATTTCTTGTCGTTAGTAATCAGTACATTTTCAATATATCTTTTATAACAGCCAATCAAGTATTAACCGGAATTACATTTTGTTGTTTTAAATTTTCTGAATACTTCAAACTTCAGATCTTATCTCAAATACGACCTGGAGCATCATTAATCGTATATCTAATCACTGATGCCGTAGTGACTCAACCTACAGGTGTTAAACAGTTATCTGATTATTTAAAATCACATAATGTTCAAATAAATGCAATATTATTAACGTCAGGGCATATTAATCATGAAATATTGTTTAAACAACTAGTATCTCCACCGACTGCACTCCATTTAGTAAAATTGAAAGCAACGAATGGTCAATTTGAAAGTCATTTAAGTCGAATAGCCGATACAAATTGCAAGAAAGGTAAATTATATAATTTGTATTATAAACATGAGATTTCGTTTAAAAAAAAGCACTTGCTTTGAAACAGTTCATTTTTACTATTTTGTTTTGCTGTCATTTAGTATGTCCAGTAAACCATAAAAAGGAAAGTCAATGTTCACGTCAAACAAATTGCATTGGACGCATTTACAATTATATGTATCGCTACAATCCAGTTAAAGGTTTGTGTATTGGAAAGACAATAGTCGAACGCAAACAATGCTGTAAGTATCATTCCAATTAAATCTCATTAATTTAAAGAATTATAAAAGTGATTCTAATAGTATTTTGAACATCACAAATATTTTATGAGCAAATAGTATATTATAGTTGGAAGTTATCGAACTGAGAGCTCTTAAATAACACAGTTATCAATCATTATTTTGGTTAGCAAATTATATAATTACATTTAGCTTCAAATAAAAATCCTATAAGACCTATATAACAATATATGGCATGCCATTCAAGCATAAAACCATTAATTTGCGTGAATGTATTCGCTTTACAGTCAAGCAAGACAATTATCAAAGCACGCTTGTACTGATCAAATTTTGTCCTGTTACTATAAAACATCTTTCAAAAGTAAACTAAACTATTAAATAGAACTATTAAATACCAACTATATAGCATACTTTGCTATTACAAAATACTTCACTGATCAAGCACTGATACGACCTTTATTCACGTCGCAAATGAATGTATTTCAGAAAACAGAACTATTGGCTAGTAGAACAAACAATTACTATAGTTTTTATACAAAATATTAATTAAGGTAGTATGATGATGAGTTAATTAAAAGATAACGAAACAATAATCAAAGGTGAAAATGATGTTCAGGAAAAGACAACTAAGTCTACCATTCCGTCTGTTGTATTGAAGTGTTGCAGCTGTAAGCGTCCGACTTTATGACTGTAAGTTAGTCACTGTTAAGTCAGGATTTATAAGACCAAACTTAACAAAGAAGAGGAATATTCAGGTTACCGGACCTCAATAGATTGATTGATAAACAGTTGAGAAGAATGACATTTAGTTAGGATTGTACTTTACATAAGCTGTCTTAATATGATCCGAAGTTTGATAATAGGTAATCATGTAAACCATTCTCGTTATTTATGATGATTAAATTTCAGGTTGTATGCAAGAAGTTCGACGTAAGACTACATGTGAAAATAACCATTTGATTCAGTATACAGAAAATTGGCAGTTAAGTACAAATGGCTTTTGTGAACAATATGTAACTAGGAGAGATGTCACTGGATTAGCGATTAGTCGTAAGTACTTCTTCCTCAAACTTTTATGTATACATATACAATCCAACAAAGATCTAAATAATGAACACATAACGAAAGAATCATTGAGTCGAAAAGTGCTTTGAATACCTCATTGTTATGTGAAAAGATAATTTTTGCTTATCTATCAAATACTGACTAAACTCCATAAGTAAATTCTCATTTATATGTATATAAAAATTACTTTTCATGTTTAATATACGCCGTAACAAATTCATCAATTTTCATTTCTGTCAGATCTAACTAAGATAATTTTCCTTTCCAGCTGGATTAGTTGGGAATTTACGTTCTAAGAAGGTATTGTAGTAAAAATCGTCTTGATTTTCTGAATGACTATATGATTTACAGGAAGCTAGACTGTATTTTAGATTAAAGAGACAACTGGGCTAGCAATGAAAATGTATTATCTAAACGTATATAAACTCAATACAATGAAGAGCGTTTCACTTCAGAAAAGTTATTTCACTATCTGATCTTTTAGTTCACGATCATTTAGTCTGTCTTCATACGACCAGATTTTATATCCTACTGTAATATCCTTTAGCAATATTCTAGCAATTTGAGAATCGAAGCTTTAAGACAATCCTTTCTTCATTATATGAGCTTAACTGAATGTAATCACGTTCTTTTTTTAACATAATTGTGCAAGAAACTCAGTACTGTGCAGGGTCAAATAATCACACTTACGTCAAAAAAAATTGTCAGACTCACTTGATTGCAAAAATGGCACTGTTGGTTGCGTACTGAGTATCAGGTGACAATAAGAATATAAAGTGTAGCAAGTGTAACCGTGCTTTGTTTGCTCCCTCATCATGGAATCAAGCAGCCGTTCATGAAAACGGTTCACATTTATGATTTATACGTCTGTTTAAAACCACGGAAGTTTATAAAATGAGTGAATTATTCGATGCTTTTGCCATAAAACAATGAATTTAATGATATTCTTTATAATTTTGAAAACATTCCACTTTTATTATTTTAGAATGTACGCCAGCAAACCAAACTTTCATCAAAACGTGTAACATAAGAGGTGAAGCAGTTCAAGTTACAATTTATCGCTATATGGAAAATTGTAAATGCAAGGCAAGTAATACTTTATTTACAGAAAGTGATGCACCAAGGTTTCATGATTGTTATAATTACTAGTAAAAAGATTGTAATATATTAGGAAAACTAATGTCCTCAATAGAATTCGTAACAACTTCATCAATCGTAATGACACAGTGATAGCGTCAGGAGTACAAATGTGTCCGATTGACTAGTACAATATATGTCAAAACTTCGACCATAGGTTTCTTGTCTACAATTTTCTACAACCACAATATCAAGCTATTCGTGATGGTAGTAATATGTCAACCCAATTCATGCACTTTTATTGGGACTAAGGAATCAACAAATTCCCTTGGTATTGTTTTGCTTGTATCTTCTCATTGAGGTTTAAGACTATAGTTGATCAGCCTTTTATTGGCATATGTGCATACTGTGTGTATGCATCGATATTGCCTTAATTCACAAGCTTTTATAAGCAAAGATGGATAGTGGCTAGCGGTAGAATCCAGGACGTGCATGGCTATCAGAACTTAGTAGCTGAGTAGATAATGTGATGGCGAATTGTACTTGGTTCGAGTCCCAGAGTGAACATCAACTCTGAGATGCAGGTACATCCAGCTGACGAGTCCCAAATAGGACGAAACTCGCGTCCTGGATTCCAATGCTAGCTACTATCCATCTTTGCTTAAGGAAGCAACAGTTTGAAATTTATTACTACTTAATGATTAATTACAGTAAATACTATAGTATTACATTATTTTTATATTTAACAGATCTGATGACAAATGTCTACTTGTAAATCGTATCATGGTTAAACATGCTGTGCAAATTGGGACAAATCAAACGATATTAAACTTTAGGTGAAAGCTACATTGCGATATTGCTAAGCTTCAGTTTGCCCTTAACCGAAAAAAGATACGATTCACTAGAAAAAATTACTTTTGAAATGAAGAGAGAACCACTACTCTTCAAACAATATGGTAAAAAGACAGATTGTACTTTTTTATATCGGTGCATATAAAAGTAGGTTTTCTCAAATGAGGTCTTAAGCAATGATAGAGCGATTCAACATAGTTACCACATAGTTGACACTAATGTTCATCGCCTTTAACATTTAAGAATCAAGTTAAAATTTACTTCAGCTAAAAGCATTTTTATCTGGATGAAATCTTTTTTCCCTATCGACAGTCAGTGTTTGTTAGAAAATTCATGCTCCAATATTCGTTTAATTATTTACTGTTAAAATTTTTTTGACCTGTGTGGAATAGTTTTGACAAATGTAGTAGAATAGGATGAAACGACCGTCCAGTACTTCCAGGTTTTCCATAGTGGTCTAGCTTTAATTGACTCATTATCTCAACCATTGAAATGTAGTACAGTTGAACGTCAAACAATATATTAGTCATCAGTTTGAGAAACCTAAATGGACTATTCAGACAAATCGACCATAATCTTTTGATTTTGTTTTAGCATAACGAAATATGTCGAGTTAGTGATTTCACTCAAGATAACATTATCGCTAAACACCCAAAACCACTAATATCTGTTATATATATCATTTCATAAAGTAATGACCCAATAAAACTTACCACCTTTATGTTTAATTATCATTATAATTTATATGAGTTAAAACGTTTTTGCAATTTATCAAATGAAATGCCATACCTGGTAAGACTAAATTTTGAATATAGATTCTTTAAAATCCAATATTTACAACTGACTGAAATGACTTTTTTTAGACTTATGTACACTTTCAAATTTCTAACATTTTTAGACTAAGCAAACCGATAAAATTGTTCGTTGTCGATGTACTAAAAAGCATAACACTAAAACTTGTTTCGGTGATGATCTCATAGTTTATCATTATCATTTTGAACGACTTCTTGAAGGTGAATGTTTACCACAACGAAGAGATGTACACAAAAAGTTGGGTAAGTAAATATGGTATTCCTTTATAAACAATCAAAATTTACATCTATTTCAATGTATTTTTACAAGAACATATTTTGAAAAGAGCAAGAACAAACATTCTAGCAGAATAGCATGAATTCATTTCTATTTCGTTGGTTCTCGTCAGCTGCTTACAACCTGTGATATTTAAAATTATAATTACATAATGGGTTTAAATTACTTACATGAAAAAGTTTGATTGGAAGTTATATTGAAGGCATATTCGTACAGTATAGCGAGGGCGTAAATAAATTTAATAGACTGAATATTGTAAATATATACCTTATATAAAAGAACATTGTGACAACGGTTCAAAGGGCTAGAAACAAGTAAACATTGATAGGAAAAAAAATTGAGTAGAGTTCAGTTGATAAAAATAAGATTAAAAATTTTTTGGAAGATAGTTGGAATAAAATTCAATGATGTGATAAGTGCAAGAAAGAGTTCAAAGAAAACGAAAAAAAAAATAAAAAAATAAAATAAAATAAAAAATATATATTGAGATACAGCGAAGGAATATTAGTCACCAAGGCAAGGAAAGATTAATAACCATCTCCTTTTGAACACATAAATCAGGTTTTTGGCGTCTGATAGCAACTGCTTCAGCAAACTTCAGAAGACTGGAGTTTGGCTGCTTACTAATCACCTTGAATGATTGTAGGGTATCGACCTGATGTCCTGTATCAAGGAGATGTTTGGTGATTGCACTATTTAAAGTCTTTCTTTCTCTTGTTCTGAGGCTTTTTGGAACATGTTCAAAAAATCTGAGATATGCTCTCCTTTCTGCTCGGCCGATGTAGCTGCTTTGGCAGGTACACGTAAATTTATAAATACAATTGGCGGAAACATGAAAAGGATGCTTATCAACCTTTGATTGAGTTATTGTTTTTGATCACATAAAGGGGGTTTTAGTTTCCGTATAGCCAAGGCTTCAATAAACCTTAGTATACGTCCTTGAAGGCTTTTGTATAACACTACAAATGCTTGATTTGTCCTTACACTAAACCTACCCTGGTAATACTGATTTATTATCCAAAGTGGTAATCACATTTGTTTTGTGTACTTTAATATTTTTTCCTTTGTTATGACTTACCCTTAACCTGTCTAGTTGACCTTTTATTTTTATATATAAATGCTCTTAACAAGTGGAATTATCTTATCCCACCGGCAATTTATTTCTTAAAGTGTTCCCCACCCCCCTGAAAAATTTTTTTCCACCCCAAAATTACAATATTTTTCATCCCCTGTTTCGTCCAATGAAATGAGTAGTTTTAAAACTTCTATGTAATTGGTTAGTTTTGTCTGGAAAGTGTATGTGTGATCAGATTGTTCGAAATGTGTTGCGCTAATATATCACATAATTCTGATAAACTTTGTCTTCTCATTGCATTATCGAAATTTTTCAAAGGGACTAACTGTTTTAAATAATTTAAATATTGAATATAAGCGAATTAGGTATCCATACCTTCTTTTTAATTTATCACTCATAAACTGAAAAGATTTAAATCCCAGTATTGACATTCATGCGAATACTTAAAACCAAAAAAAAAATCGATCGTAAACCATTATGTTACTGAGTCCTGAAAGTCACTAGACATTTTTACAGAGTAAGAAATTTATTATTATTTGTAGTGGGTTTAGATTGCTTCAACTTATTATCAAATTATAAATGCAAACAATATCTAGATATACTTTGATGCAGCCCAAATACTAATGGAGGCTTACATAATTCAGTCCTGAATATCAACTACAGAAAAATTCAATGCCTTAAAATTAAAAAAAAGTACTTGTTATACCTCGATGAATTTATATGTTACTTTGTCATCTTCCATGCGATTCATTTCGAAATTTTTATTTATATTAAAATTGATGAATTTTTTTTGAAACTCAGCTTGCAAACGTCCAAAAATATTCAAATCACCTTGTGATTCTTTAACATGTCAGGAGCGTATAACAATAGTTAGTTATGTTGCTCAAAGATGTATATGTAAACGTTTTGTAACGGTCAAACATCAAACATGTTGTAAGTTAAGTTGTATATTTAACCATAATTCAAATGCTTTTCTTGATACATGTTGTTTATTTTACTGATTGTCTTTTTTTAACTTGTAAAACCATTTATGAAGAAATTTGTTTATTCATTGTTATGTAGATGTAACTATTAAATTATCTTAGATATACTTATGATTATTAAGTGTATATGGAATTAAAAACTGGAAACCTAATCAGATGTAAAATTGTGTATCTCATCTCAATGGATTATTATTAGTGATAAGAAACTTGATAGAATTCGCTGGAACGACATTCGTAGGATATGTCAAAACCACTAAAGTCAATGTTTCAAGATGGCGTCACAAATTGCCAAACGCACGATGCTAAACCTCTGGTACTGGATGTCAGCAATTTGCGACAACCATGATCAAACACAGAGAGTCGTCTAACATACCCATCTTGGAGAGTCCAGGTCTTACAATTATAGAGCAAAACTGCTCTCACTGACGCTCTGTAAATCCAAACTTTTGCAGCCAAACTAATGTAATAAAGGCACCATAAATGTCCCAGAGTGGCATAAGCCGTTCTGGCTTTCACTATACGTAAATTTCTCTCATCACTCATGCCACCACTACCACTTACGCAGCTACCCAGATACACGAACTTCTCGTCTACCTCTATCAGCTCACTACCTAGGGTGAGTGCAGGACCAGGGTCCCGCCAGTCATTTAAAAGCACTTTGCACTTGGAGTGTGTAAAGCATGTACCATACCTACGGACAGTAACTGCCAACTGATTAAATGCATATTCTATGACTTTGGTATAATCCCAAAGTAAAACAATATCATCCGCATACTCAAGGTCGTAAAGTTTTTCTCTAGACAACATCCACGCCATCATAGCTGGTTTCAAAAAGTTGTCAGTGGCAAAGTTTAAGTAGATTGGTGAGATTGGACAACCCTGCCTAACTCCACTACTCGAATGGAACAATGGAGAGAGGTGGTTGTATGTTTTCGATCTACCTGAGGTGTTTGTATGTAGGGATTGCAAAATGTTAACAAACTTCTCAGTCACATCCTTCTTCCATAAACAATCCCAGAGAACAGTCCTGTCCAACGAATCAAAGGCAGCCCTGATGTCAAGAAACACTACGATTGTTGGCCTGTGAGAAGTATGACGGTGTTCTAACATTTCACAGGGGTTGAGATATGATCAATGCATCCTCGACCAGAACGAAAACCAGCCTGCTACTCGCGGGCCAATCTTTCTCGGGTTTTGAACAATCTACAAAATATGACGGAAGCCAATAGTTTGGACACAATCGGATGTAGACTTATCCCCCGATAATCGTTGCAGAAACGACGTGAACCCTTTTTGGGGATAAGTCCTACTATCGAATCATTCCAAGATGCTGGAACACTAACTGCCAGACCCTCATAAACAACTTAGTCAGTCCTTAAACCAGAATGTTACTACAATATTAAAAACAGATGGAGATAATTCATCTGGGCCTGGTGATTTGTAGCGCTTTAAGACTGGAAGTCCCTTGCGGATTTCCGCCTCGTTATATGGATCAGTTGTCACGGGCTATGAAGTGTATGGCAGTACTTTGGTTTATGAAAACGGAGTTATATCATTAACCTCCACGGAAAATTATGTATCAAAGCTGAGCACAATAATCTTTTGTGAATACTTGGTTTCCCGAATTAATTTGTTAATCATTGATTAACATGGAACTTCATTTCTCATGCAATTCACTGTTCAGAATGTTCAACTAATAACAACTATTAGAGATTAGTATGGTCATCCATAAGAAAAATTTAGTAATAATTACGATTCTAAATATTACAAACATCATTCCTTGAGACAAGTGAATATTTATAGGTTAGCCAACTGATTACAGTACACTTTCCATTCATTGTATGGTTATGTTTCCATAAAATAATGACGAAAAATTGGCTTTTGTTAAGGAATCATTTTCAATAACTTTATTACATGAATATGTTAACATTCTAAATTTCATAAATACAAAGCAATCATTCTTTGATTTTTCAATAAAACTAATGTTATGTAGAGCAGTATATTCTTGGCCATGATCCCAGAGTTTGCTTCTGTATTTTCCAAGCCACAACACAGTCAACCATATGGAAAGATTAAGTGAAGTTTCAATGAAAATCCAGTAAAACATTAACTATCATTGTTATTAATTTTTATCAAATTCAAATTTTTGTACTTAGCATTAATATGATACTTATTTAGAGCTCATGACATTACTCAGTTACCTAAACCAAAGTAGGTAGGCGAGGTTCAAACCTGTAGTCTTATTTAAAGATATTGTTCAATAAATCAAAGTTTAAGCAAGTTCAAAATCTAGGCCAAAATTAGTTTGTGATCCCTTTTTATTTCACCGTCAGATAGTAAAGTTTCTTTTTACATTTCTAAATTCATTACCTAAGGCTGTAAGGGAAATCGTACATCAAATTATGTTGGTTGTAAACATAACGATGTAAAAGTCTTCGAAGAGAAAGTATTTGATCCTAAAGTTCATGATGGTTCTTGTGTTCAACGAGTTTCTTATTATTTTCAACCAATAAGTGAGTTACTGATTTATTAATTTTTTTTAACTGGATTTCATAATTCTTAGGAATTAAACTTGCATTGTAGAGTTTTATATAAAATATATCACTGGTGAAATAAAATAGCCCTTCACTATGTTCCGAGTACTTAGTCAAGAATCTTTAAAAGACTTTTTAGGTATAGTAGAATCACAAAGTAAATAGACATATACACTATTCTGAGAGATTGACCTGTGAGAACACTATTTGTCACACACTGAAGGAATCCTGCGAATTCAGATGCGTCAGTAAACCCTTTAGGAAACAATATTATTAAATTCATCAAATTACATTTGTCAGTTAAGAGTGGCAGACCATTAACCTAGTTCTGGGTGAATTATTAACGTTCAGGGTTTGAAGAAACGTTTCATATTGCTTTTAAAAAAATTAGCGACCAATATCTTCCTTTTTAAACTATTCATTTTATTGGACAAAACGAGATGGAAAACGTTTTAATATAAAAATACAAAAATCACCGTGGTGTAAATGTTATTAGCTCGGATAGGTGTTCCAAGTCGAATGGACAGTAAGATCTTCTTTTATATTGAGATCGGTAGAAATTAGCAAATGTAAGAAAAGATTCTGCTACTCGCCTTTCTTTGACATCAGAGAAGACTATTTTGTATTATTTTGATATTTTCCATTTCCACTTTACGAGTATTAAAGATGCCATAGATTGTTACTCCCGATCTAACTTGGAATCTTTCAAGTTCTACAGATTTATTAGATTGTTTTTTGTATACCTAAAATGTTCATGAGATAAACCTCCTATATAGAAGACATCTCAATCGACACACCCTAATTTGTATACTCTCTTCTGTGTTACCATAATGGGGATATTATTTGTTATACGAACTAAAACATTCTGAAGCGAGTTAGTTTTTTTATAGCATGCTTTGATTCTGTGTTGTTTTAAGACTCTTTGGAGTTCTTCTGTTGTTTCGTAGCGGTACAGTAAAAAAAACGGTATCAATTTACGGTAATTCATTCGAACGATTACTTGATATTAAGTTGTCTCATTTTAATGGAATTTTGATAATCTTCATGGGGAAATCATTATATTGTAAAAGGTTAATTATATACTTCTGTTCTTGTTTATTCTCTTCAGATGTAGTTAACTCTTTTAAAGAGATTTAGGGCCAGCGAGATTCATGCACTGAATAATATACTAATTTTGAGTCAATATAATGATTAGATTGTGTTGGTTTTCATTAAATAGTTAGATGTAGAGCTCCATTTCAATCTCTTTTAATCAAACAACCTAAAAGTGGTAGCTCGCTGTGTTTATTTTCATTTTCGTAAGTAGTTTAATGTAGGATGGTAGTTTCTTTTCTCTTCCATCTCTTATTCAAGTAAAGAAATGACAGTCGAAACTCGTACCATATAAATACTAAACAAGTAATAACCACCAACTAGTTTTACACTTTTAGTGTGTGTATATTACAAAGATTAATCAGCAAGCATTCGAATTCAGATAAAAAGAATTACTACCGATGATGTTCTATTTATATACAGATTATTCTTTTGCATGATCCATAGATTATTTTAAGATAAAATCACTTGTGTATTCTTATTATCTTCTACTTTATTTACAATATTACAATTACTACCTGTGCTTTTTTTACAATTATTTAAGCTTGTCCAAATAAACCATCAATAACTTATCATAGTTGTCGACGTTTTAATGTTGAAGATTCTGTAAAACAAGGAAATTATGAAAATGATCAAGTTGATCCTGGTTTAATCTACAGACTAGTTGAAAAAGTTACATGGAAAATCCAAGATTGTGATTGTCGTCGGTATTATGAATCATATTTTGAAGCATGTGGTTGTGATGAATCTGTTATCATTAATAATTTTGTAACAACCAAGAATAAATGTGATCAACAAACTGGAGTAATAATGAAGTACAAACAAAAAGTGAGATTAGAAATTGTTGGAATTCCATATGAATATACCAAATTAAATCGACTGAATAGATTATCTGATGCCAAATGTCGTCCATATTATATTATAGAATCTGTAAGGAAAATAAGTACGTATTTCTACATAACATTTCATTTGATCACTTTTATCTTACTTAACATACCTCCGTAAACAAAAATTTTACATCCCCAGTTCATGAATACGTTTATACTGATCGATGGTCTGTTCAATGTTAGGGAAACTCCATAGCTTTAGTTGTGATTTTCACAAGACTTCGTTTTTCATATGTAGATTATTTGAACTGATACTACTGGTTAACATTAGTAATTCTGACATTATACTAGTCGAAAAGTTAAATAATTGTGTAATGTGCTAACGAAAAACAAATGAATGATAACTGCTAGGAATTATTTATGGACTATTATTATATATATTTCTATTGGATAACTATTAAATGACTATACTATATGTATATTCACATTCCTTTTATTATAAGCTTACATTTGACCTATTGACTACTACTATACGATTTACAGTCTCTCACAATCACAGCCACTTTTGATTTTGATCTTGTATAATTGTCACTTTCTGTTTTATGATATGATGCGGTCTAATTTATTCGTATATAAACCCAGTATGCCTGAAATACATGATTCATGTTGTGGAGGCTGATTTTGGTGTTCTCGACTGAAGTAGATGGGTTAGGCTAGAAACCTCTAATTCAGGGGACAAATAAGAACTCAGAGTTGACTCTAGGTTGCTCGTACTGTTTTATGCATCATTTGTTTGGCACAGTTTCAAGGTCGTATAACCCGGTGTTCTGATTGCCGATTTTATCACGTGATATTTGCTGGGGCTTAAGACATAACAAATCGGACACAGAATTCATCCAGTTTTCCATGGTTCTGTGATAAAAGCTATATAAAGTAATTTCAGTAGTTTGGATACAAATATTTAACAAGATGGATGAAAATAGATTCTTCAACTTATTAAAATAATCCACCTTTGTATTAGAAATACTTTCAACTGTTTATAAGATTTTATGATAAAAAACAACTCATTAATCTCGGGTCCACTGAATGTTTGCATCCTTAAAACAACATTTACATTTGAGTACATATTAACCATGGAAAATTATTTTCAGTAGTCTTATTATAATCATCAACAGTTATTCTAGTTTCTGCTAGCAATACAATAACTACCAAGTACTTTCTATGTTTTAATATTTTTAGTCTGTCCTGAAACGAAAACTTCTATTGGTCCATGTGAACCTGCTGAAAATGGTCGATCATACAAAGCCATCAAAGTGCATAGATGGAAACAATCCAACTGTGTCTGTCAAAATTTACCACCAATGTTAATAGAAAAACAAATATGCAGCTGTCTTCCTGTTCGATTACAAAAGAAATGTGTTGGTTATAGAAATAAACTACAAATTTATGTTATTAAAGAAAAACTTATCAAAACTAAATTACCGTCCGGTAAATATAAATATGAATGTAAAATAGAACAAACAATGAAAGAAAATATTATCCGTAAGTAGTTTTGAAACCGAAGTACTATTGGATATTTACTTTATAATAATACTCGGTACAACTATGTCATACTGATGACCTTGAGAAACATATCAGCCAATCAAGCTGTGTTTAGTTATGAAAAAACTAATGATAAAATGTAACAATACTTCTATGTAATAATAGTTTTAATAGAAATAATTAACCAGTATATGTTGGAGTATTCTTATTAGTGAAGGAAAAAGGTTACGTTTTATTTTATGAATTGGATTTTTGCTACTAACTGGCATCAACTTTAATGCAACTACTTTAAGGTTAAGTACTCGGATATAAACCAGAGTTATGAATTCTAATTATGAATTAGAGTTAGGGTTTTCATAAAGAACTGACATCAGCTACAGTCCAATAATGCTTTGTAACATTTTTTCAAACTTAATAAGCTCGGATTAACATTTCGAGTCACAGAGATTAATACTTATTTATGCAAACATCCTTGGATATGAATTATATCACATCATCCACTTAAACTGGATTTACACCCGAAAAGTTTTGTAATTTAATTTAGGTACTCGGTCATATACACGTTTTGGTTGCATATAACGTATTTTTATTGATTCCAAGCATGTTAGAAACTACTTATTGTCTATTTACCCTTAGTTATCAATAAAATACAAGCTACGTTGCTCGTCACTATCATTTACGCGCAAAATTCAACGGGGTCTATTTTAGTTTTTATCGATTCACTCAAGGCTGTCAGTATAATGTAGTTTTACCTCATATTGTTGTTAGAAAAAGGTAATTTTTCTTATAACAATGACGTAGTATTCATATGCATGAACTGTAACCATTATTTAGTCTCTCCTACAAAATATTTATATTCTGTTAATAAGCTGCTGTAAACAGTGCACATTTTAATGTTTACCCATTAAGTTATTTATGTACAGACGAGAAACTAGTTTTACCAATAAACTCTATGAATTGTAAAGTCATAGGTTGTCTTTGACTCTATATGACCTAAAATATAGGGTAAACTGACATTTATATTAAAAGAGCTAAAATGTGGTAATTATGTGGTACTCTTTACAATTACAAAAATGTTTTGGTATCTCATAGCATGTACTCCAGCAATATTACATAATAGACTGCTCCACAAGTCCATAAAAGTCTAAAAGCATCTAAACATACTGAGACGTCAGAATAGTGTGTGATTTTTGAATAAATTGATTCTTATCAGTTGGAAGTTTTTCGGAGATTTTGGTTATTTTATAGTTGAATTCATGAGTCAATTGAAGCTAGACCACTATGGATAACCTGAAAACACTGGATTTCGTTTGAAATAGTTGTTAATAACTACATTTGTCAAGTTTTTTTTTAAACCGAAAAAGATATCATCATCGAACAGCAACAACAACACATCCATGGTTCATTTCAGTCATATTTTCACTTCACATCTACAATTATTATTTTTCACGTTGTTTTTTTTTTTAAATTGAGTTTAGAAATAGATCTTTCACTTCGAGAAAATGTCTATTCCATCTTGAACTGTTGTTATTATGATTATTGATTTCATTGCTATTGTGTAACTGTCAGTAAATTCACCATTTTACTAAGCCAAATAATAGCGATTTCTCACATATTTCTTGCCGTTGATTACATAATAATCTGTATTGATTAGTTATTTCCTATATAAATTGAACTTGTGTGGCTGTAGAAGGTAATTCTGATCACTCTTCGCCAATAGACCTAACCATTTAATTAATGCTTCGTACGAAATAGCATTTGTTAAATATTTCATTTACTAGTTCCATGCTTATACTTATAAGATTAGAGGAGATGAAATTAATGTAATTTACTACAACCTACACTATCTATAGTGTTTATGAAATAATTTGGAAGTATCAGTGATCAGAAACAACAAAATTTCTCGTCGTAAAGACTATGGACAAAGATATCAAATAGTTGTAAAGTGTTCATAGAACAAGGTTTTAGAAATTTCTAATACTACACTGCTATAGAGACCGATGGTCCAAGGTTCGAGTCCCGCATGTGGGATCGTGGATGCGCACCGCTGAAGAGTCTTATGCTAGGACGAAACAGCCGTCCAGTGCTTCCATGTATTCAGCAGTGGTCTAGCTTAAATCGACTAATGAATTCAACTATAGTGGTTTGTGTTTTCTTCTTTATCATAATAGCGACCAAATTTTATATTCAATTTTTCTAGAATGTCCAAAAAATATTCTTCACTATTCCGAATGCAGAAATGGTCAAATGAAAGTGATTGTTAAAGTTTACAGAGTTCATAATTGTAAATGTGAAGAGTCTATACGACGTTTACAAGTACAATGTCATCAACCAGAAAAATCGAAAAATATCAAACAAGTTGAACCTAAATCATCAAAACGTATGTTAACTACAGTAGAACAAATTACAGACTGTATTGATTTACTTCCTTCTGAAAACTGTCAACAAATTAGTGGATCATCACAACGTATCTGTGAGAAATCTAGTCGATTATCTGATTTACTATGTCGTCGAACATGTCGTCGTTGTTTAGGTACGTTTTTTTACTGAATTATTTAATTTATATAAGCTTCTTATTGTTATATCCGAACGAAGAATAAATGAATGGTAACCGTTAGGAATTAACTATGGACTAATGATTTACATATATTTCTATTGTATAACTATTCCTTTCATTATAAGCTTTTATTTGACTTATTTACTATTATCATACGACTTGATATTCTTCAGAGATTCCTAATTTATCAGTAACAGTGTCTCACAATCACAGTCACTTTTTGGCTTGATCATGTATACTTGTTATTTTCTGTTTTATGTATGTCTGAAATATGATTCGTATCGCGGAGGCTGATTTTGATGTTCTTGACTGAACAGGATGGATTAGGAGAGAAGATACTATTTCAGAGGACCAATCAGAACTCTAGGCTGCTCGTGCTGTTTAATGTGTCATTAGTCTGATCGTATAAGTCAGTATATTTAATTGGCCACAGTATTACGTGATAATTGATAGGCAAAGGACAAAACAATTATTACTTTTTAATTGAGTTAATCTAAAGTCTATTCAAAGGCACTCAAAACATTCTCAAACAGTCAACAGTATTTACACCTTGAACCGTTGTAACAATATTAAAAACAGGAAAGAGTAGAGGCTATCACGTTAAAAATCTATGCAATATAGTTTACCACATTTGAAATTATTCAGTTACTAAGATCACGAACCGACCTACCTTAAATAACCACTAAAAGTCGGAAAGCAGTGAGACTCCCCAGCAGCGAATATCCATGACCTCACAGGGAATAGTGTTTATGACTTTCAGGTTCCTTGTCGATAGCTTAAACTTTAGTTCGTATCCGATAGTTTGTACGTCAAAATTTCATTCATTTGTGATGACCACTTTTATTCTCTCCCATTCTTTTCTATAGGTTGCAAACTGAACAATATCAGATATCAAATGATCACTGCAAATTACCCGTGTCCTGAAAATAATCAACATATTTTGAACAATTTTCTGATTAAAACTATATCAACAACACTTACATTAGCTTCATGTAAATTAGCTTGCGCTAATAAAACTAACTGCCTAAGTTTCATTTATTCTATGTCACATGAATTTGATTCAAATATAATTGATAAAACTACCAAATGTATGTTGTACAGAGTAGATCTTTTAGCTATCAAGCAACACCATCATGAACAAAAACATCAACAACATTCGATTGGTTTTATTCCACAACAAACTAGTCAGCGATTCGATTCAGTTTTTTCGCCTACGTATACTAAAAAATGTTTTGCATTCCGTAAAATTTGCAAACACAGTGAGTTCAAAAATATTTCTTATAGAGTATATGAAAAAATTTTTCCCTTAAAAGTTGTTTAATGTCAGTATATACATTGAACAATCATGATCAACTGTTTTTAATTAAGTTGAGATTATATTATTTCTGTTATTTGTAATGAGATCTTTGTGACATAATTTAATTGATTCAACTTAAAGGCAACAAATGTTTCAGAATTAATGTTATGTCCTTATTCTCTTCTGACCAACTTGTTTTTTGTGTATTGCTTTATGCAACTTATTCAGTAAATAGTTCTATTCCTAACAATTTCTGCACGTATTTTGTACAGCAATTTTGTCATTTAATATTCTAAAATACTTATATATACTTATGACATGTTTGTTTGCTGTTAATTCCCGAAATACGTACTGATAAACTTTGCACTATCTTATGTCATGATCATTCATTATGTTATTATAACAGGAAGCCCTTTATCTTTCAAACTTATCAGCACTCTAAGCGCCACATATACCTCACTAGTTGAGTTTTGTTACTAATTTACATTTATTCCTCAGTAAAGAATTGCCTTTTAGACAAATTGTTGTTTTATGAACTTTGGTTTCGCGCGTGCCTCAGTCGTGTGATTGGACGCTTCGGTAGATTTATCACTTAGTATATTTGTCAACTTAATTCAATTAATCTCTATAATCTTATTGTTAGTTATCATAAAACTAAGTTTTATTACAAATTACGAGAAGAGTTTACTTACTAATGACACTTTAATCACTATTTTGTTTATCGCACGTTTAATACTAATTATTAAAGTAATTAAAAGGATACCGTAAGTTTTTGAAAATTTTGGATTCTCTGAACTATGTGATCCGATTGCAAAACTTTATTACCCGTTCTGGATAAAATCATTATCTCATATGTCAATTAGTGTAGAACTTCCGGTCAAATTGTTTTAACTCTATACCTAAATATTACTTCATTATTTAAGCATTTCTCAAATATCCTTATTGGTCATACTTCCTGGATTATTTATCATAATACAACTTTTTGATGCACAAACACTAAGATAAATGAAGATTTTAATAAAAGACTTCGTGATACTATTGGATAAGCAAATAGTTATGTAACATATCTGATTTACTCAAAAGATGATTGTTTCTCAAACCAACTAAACGTGGTACGAAATCCTTTGCGGATTATATTTCCACTAATAGTTTCACATTGGAGCCATGCTTTTTTAAATTCATTTATATATCATTGGTTGGATGAGTGTGTGAAAAGTGTGATTATACAAATCTAAGTATTATCAGATAACAATCAAACAAGTATTATGTTCTTAATCATTATTGTCTTCAATAATCAGTTGTTATTACCTGATGACCATTTTAATCATTTTTCAACAGCTTGTTCAAGCCCAAAATTGACAGAAATTTCTAAATGTGAATGTAAAGTCTACAAAAACCATTATGACTATCCTTCAGAATCACCGAAGTTTAAAACTTCTCTACACTGCTCTAAACTTATCAATGTTCAATATTTCATTCAATCAAAATCGGGTATTTGTCAAAAACAAAATTGGCAAGGCTATACTCCCTGTAGTAATCCAAGGTATCGTGATTTATCATTAAGGAATTTAAATAACTGTAATAATCTAAAATCATCTTTATGGTGTGAAGCGGAGCTAGCAGATGATCAAAGGAGGTGTAAAGATGTAGTTTTCAGCAGGGTAAATTAATTGTCTATTTATGAACTTTTCTGGGTTTTTCAAAATTAATTTTGTTGTTTATCATGAAAAAAGAAACTGATCTAAATATTTTTACGACACAAATGTTTGTGATTCAAAATAAACTCATATAGCCTTTGCTCTTTTCCATTATCTCAATGTTGATCACGTGGTATTACTTATCAGATTATTAAGTTTTTGATTGAGATGATGAACCGATTGATAATTATCATGTGCTCACTAGTGACTAGCTTCGTGAGGGAATCCGTGACCAGTGAAGCTAATTCGTGTCGAGTAGAGTTAGATGTCTACCTCAGTACAATGGAAGATGATCACTCGATTTTGTGGATTCGTTGAGCTTAGACATTAACACCTTTGAATACCGGCTCAGTGGTCTAGAGGTTAAACGTTCGTGTGCAAGATTGAAAGTCCTGGGTTCAAATCCCGCGTCGAGATAGTAGATGCGCACTGTTGAAGAGTCTCACAATAGGACGAAACAGCCATCCAATGCTTCCAGGTTTTTAATAGTGGTCTAACATTAAGCGGTTCATGATCTCAATCAAAAATATGGTATTAAATTTTAATCTCCTTATTTTTGTGTAAGATTACTAATTTGATTAAAGTTGCTTAAGAAGAGAACAGGTACTTAATGGAGAATAAATTCGGAAATCAATTATTTAAATCAAAATAATTATCTCTTTAGGGAAATATAACTTCGAAAACATTATAGAACATCAAATGATTCCAATGACATTATACTAAACTTTCTTTGTCACGTATTTACTGAATAAATTTATAACAACAGAAATTAATATTTCTTTACAGTAATTAATTTATTTGTATGTGCTTGGTGAACATTTCAGATCATTATCTCTATATGAAAATTCTATCCAATTTTCTTCTACCAGATTCATTATGTTGAAGGATATCTTTCTTTGATACCCATTACTATTAGAGAAAATGTTATTACTTTCACAATATATTGAGATATGGTTATCATTTCCTTGCAGAGGTGTAACCTATGAATTTAGAAATTCGACTATAAACCATTATGTGATGAATTCACACAGATTTCATATATTTCGGAATGTCGCATCAATTGATACCATAACCTTCCATAGATTATTACCGTTATGTAAATATATATGTTCTTTTTAAATTGTACGATATTTATAAATCTGTTTATTATCAGAAGGGGTTTTGTGGAGTCTCGCGCGCGAGGCTAGTAGGTCCTGGGTTCGAATCTCGCGGGGGGCGGGATCGTGGATGCGCAGTGCTAAGGAGTCCCATACTAGTACGAAACGGTCGTCTAGTGCTTCAAGGTTTTCCATGGTGGTCTAACTTCAATTGACTCATGATTTCAACTATTAAAATCTGTTTATGTTGCAAGTATGATGACAAGTTATTGAAGGGTTTTATTGACTTAATATCTTTTGACAATATAATAAAGAGTAAATCTATGTTTTACATTTTATACCATGTCTTTTATTAGTTATGTTCTAAAACATGTGGCCTATGTACCTGTTATGGTATAAATATATTCAACGGCAAATGTAATTCAAATGGATATAAATTAGATATTCATATAATTTATAAGCCTCATCCAATTAATCGTATATGTATTATTGAAGTGAAAAAGCGTTTGTCAATTTGTGAATGTAAGTTACTTTTAATTTATTTTCCTAGAATTTAATTTAGTTAAAGCTTTGATAATATCAATCTGTCATCAACTTTATAATAATTACTTCTTTCAATTTGACAAGATTAAGAGATTCCGGGAAAAGAGAAGTTTAAATCTCAAAATTACCTGTATTATTAATAACTGAATAATTACATAAAAATTAAATTATTAACATTTCCTAATCCATAATTTTAAGAGGTTTTGGCTTCCCGATGTTGGGATTCGGTATTGCTTAGAAAACCACAGCTAGAATCCATGTGCTTCTTAAAGAAGAGTCTTAAATAAAACTACACGGAATTCTTGAATTCCACTGTTAACCATTGTAGAAAATGGAGACAGTTATGTTGTTGAAAGGTCTTTCAGTAGTGCATACACGTTTCAGAATAGGATATAGAGTTCGTAAAATGTGCAATAATCACACATGCGTACGATTCACCGAATTTAAGTTGACTAATTTTGGGATTTTGTTGGTACTGTAAACTATTATTATGATAAACGTTGTTTTTTTAAAAGTAACTTCATTGTTTCTCTTACAAATTTGAATTTTCATATTACCCCATAAAAAGAGACTTCAATTTAACTAACATTCCCTTTTCAGACTGTCCTGTTGGAACATTTGAGCATGTACGTGAATGTGATAAACTAACTAGATCACGCACAGTTAACAAAATTACCGCTCAGTTAATTAAACTCTCACCAAATATTGACGGAAAACCACGATTTGAATGTTCAATTCAAACAAAAAATTATAAATTTGAATGTGGCAAATGCTTAGCTGCTTACAGAAACAAATATTCAATAACTTCTTGTAAACAATACCCAATGAAATCAGCACAAAGGAAATCGGTTTATCAACTAAACTTGATTACAGAATATGTGATCAGTGAGAATGGTTGTTGCAGGACAAAACGGTAATCAATTTTTAATTATCCTAATCGATTAAATTGCGTATAAACTTTACTTATTTTAATAGTTTAGAATCTTTCGATGATTTTATTTAATATTTAACTCAACGAAGTCTTTATATATGCTTCACTGAATCAATCGACGGCATAACTATTTTTAATATCATTATTAATCACTTCAGATTATTCATCTCCACATGTACTGGTAATTTTGCAAGCGAAACACATTAACACATCAATCGCTTCTTATAATAGGCATTTGAATTTGTGGAGACATGTTTCTTAGTACTTCTACTGGTCAATCTCACGGAGAGGGATCGTGGGTGCTCACTGTTGAGAAGTCCCATACTAGGACGAAACGGCCGTCCGCTGCTTCCAGGTTTTCTATAGTGGTCTAGCTTCAATTAACTCATGAATTCAACTATTGAAATTTCTAAAAAATCTTCATAAAACCCCTTCTAATAATAATCATCTGCTCACTAATGACTGACTTCAAGAGGCATTTTCTGGGGTTCTAGTGAGGAGCGGTGACCAGTGGAGTTCAACCAAGTCTATTGTTAGATAATAATCATAAATCATAATATACATTCTGAAAATAATATAGATATAGTTATCAGCTCACTGAAGACAATAGTGTACGGTGGCGTAATTTCGTGAACTGGTATAATCTTATCTGTTAAATAATTCAAAAAACATTTAGAGGTAAAGTAAAAATACTTATTCGAAAGATTTCCCGTTCAAGTTCAATATTATTTAAAGCATTTACTGATGAATTATTATGAACTATTTAATACTAAAATGTAAATCCATTTATATTTTTAATAGAGATGTAAGTTAACTTGATGTAAACTAAGTCAAAGAGTAATAATTCGCCTGTATCCATTAATGGTACTCTTTAAATTCTAATCACAAGTTGAATTTCGTCACTGTTTTATGTTATACATTAAACTAATGATGTTAGAAGCATTAGATTTCCTATCGTGTTATGACAGATTAAATAAATATTCAATAACCATAAAATGTTTGTAAACAAATAACAGAATGTTTTCTTAGAATTTCTAGTTTGTTTGTTTTTAAGAGGAATGACTAGTTCAGTTTTGCCTGTTAACCATTACATTTGTATTTTAAATAACTTAAATAACGAGATAATATTGATTCAGCGGTAGGTAATCAGCTGATGATAACAATAACTGAATTTTTCATCTTGTTTATACTCGCTAATAAAATGTGTGTGAAATTTTGAAACAACGTATACTTTGATGTATTATATGAATTTAGACCACTGATGGAGTTATTTGAAAGATTTTCTCTTAATCATTAGTCGAATAATTTGAATCACATTGTAACAAATAATACTGACTACAATAGAATACAAATAATTACCCTTTAGTGAACTACCACCATTTCTTGAAAGTCATTTGATTCGACTGCATACTTTTATAGACTTATCCTTAAAATAAAACACAGACTACTTATATCTGGATGTTTTACATTGTTTTAAGTAGTTTTTTGTATTTATCGATAAACTTGTTATAAAAATAGTATAGATCATTTCAGCTTTTATCTAAAGATATAAACAGTAATAGATAATAACATCTATAAGGTTGTTATAGCCTTTTACATTAAGAAATATTCAAGTAAACTTATATATTGTAACATTTTGTCATTAAAAGTATATTGAATAAGAACATTTGTTTAAATTTGATCGAACAGTTTCAGTGTTTGGGCGCCGAGTCGATTTTAGATATTAAAGAGGAAGAATGTATTTGTAAAATCTCAGCGAATGAATTTTAAGTAAATCCAACGTTTCACTTGGCAGTACGGCCCAAGCTTTTTCAAGGAAACATAATCAAAATTATCGAATATAAATAGATACATGGTTCTCCGGTTTACTGTATACTGGATAAGTCATCCAATTAACGTTAACAATGTTTAAAGTAGGTATTTGCATTATTGTGTAAGAGACATGTAGTGTGAAACGAAAAGTGTTAAGATAACATATTGTGTGTATACGTAAGTGGTGTGAGAAGAAATTTCATTCACTATATATTGTCTCTGGTAGGTAAATTTGAAGAAAACATATAATTTTTATATATGATATGAATCAAAAATGTCAGAGCATACATTAAATGAAGATAAATAAACAAAACAAAAGACTGAATTCAATGAGGAAGAATGTATTTGTGTTATTTTAATGTTCCAGTCAATTGTTTAACATATTCAGATAACTGATTTGAACCAGTGAATGTATTATTTGTTAATTAGTTAATGCAATATAGATAGAATAGAATAAGAAGTTCATGTTTACTTATTAATTATCAGTTGCCATGGGACATCTAGTATATTGTTCATTATTAATGTTTCTTATAATATTTTTTAATTTTTATTGAAGAACTGAAAGAAGATTTAATTGTAAAAATTGTCCATTACCTCGAATTAAACATAGTCCATGTTACAACAAACAAAGATTAAAACATATTATATTCTATACTCGACCATGGGTTACTTCATCTTTAAAACCAAGTGAATGTATTCAACGAACAATAACTAAACGAGAGAAATGTTCGATAGACAATCGATTACCTAGAGGTATGATATTTCTTTTAAAACGCAAAACGTTTTCCCCATTTCTTTATAGATCAGATTACTGTAGTGAGTATAGATGTAATCGAATGAAACATTTAGAATTATAAACATATTAGGTATATGTTGTTATCGGCTATTTAATTTCCAATCGTAAAACATTGGTAATAAACAAAACATTATTAAAATTAAAGTTTCTTCTTTTTGACGGAATTTCGTTCTCTTAGCTGGATGGTTTCGCCGTGAAGCTTTCATTGTTCTTTTGAACGACATTATCAGCACAAACTTCATATAGAACTTCTAAAGTTTCTTCAAATGATATCCCTTTACAGTGAACACTTGTTTAGAATTCACTTGCCATACTTTTTAAAATAGCAGGATACGAAGATTTTTTAATGTGATATTAGTTTGTGATCAAAGAACATTTGTGAGGAATAAGAGTGTGAAATTATTAAGTGAAGTACAATAAGTAGCAGTTACATGAGAGTATTAAAACAATCACTAACTGAAGAGTTAAAAACTAGAAATCAGGTGAATATACTATGAATAAGATACCAAAAAAAATAATTAGTAACATTATTCCACCCCAATTTTACCATTAATTTTAATAAACAATTGTTAGAAATTACCCCGTATTATGTATTTTTAATCCACCCGGAGAATATTGTTAGTTTGAATTTACTCATTAGGAGCGATTATAAGTAATCATGTCACATTCCAATATTTAAGTTGTATTTCTTTGTAAAGTGAATAGGTTTATTTTCCTTTAGTGTAATGTTGAATAACTTGTTTAAGTGTGGGTGTTAGATATTCTGCTAGGAACTAAAGTAAGCAACCATGTAGCCAAACATAGACACTATTAGATGTAAAATACAAGAGAACTAATATGAGGCAAAGTATGTTGTAGAAGCTAAGATCTGTTTATCCATTCTTTTTTTAATAAGTAATTAGTGCACACTCTCTAGCTCTTTCAAATATTTTTCCTTTCGTTTAGTAGGTAAACTCTGCATATGAGGATGTAATTTTCAGTGGAGTTTTCATTTTATACATCTGACGTTGCACACATCTGTCTGTTATGGACACATCAGTGTAGTGTAACCCAATATGTTGGGGGAAATTTAAAAATAGGGTGAAAGTTAGGGCTTGAAGTGAAATTGTCGATGGTGAAATAAACTCGTTTATTTAACATAGAGAAAACGTATCCATGAACTCTCACTAAAATTCCTTCTGTTCAAAACTCAAACTGGCTCTCAAATGCGTCTAAAATTTTCATAATTCGTAAATTTAAAAATATCTTTTATGGAAGTATAACTAAATTAACAACTTAGTTCCTCCTTTGAATCAACTAGTTCTACAAATTTATAGGCTCTAGAGTTGCTCTTAGAATTCACATAAACAGAAAAGATAACAAAAATTAACAAAGCGATTTATTTGGCAAAATTAATGCACAAAAGACAAAAATATCTTTTCATTTATAAACTTTTCTTGTTATCCACATTATTCAGTTATTTTTTATTTTATTTTCTACAGATGAATGCCGTGATTCATTAACACGAATGGATTGTAGTGTATTAAAGCAAAGTAGAAAATGCCACTTGAATTCAGAAGAAGCTCGTAGTCTGTGTGCCAAAACATGTGGTTTCTGCAATTGAGCAATAAGACAATAATACTATATTCATTCAATTAGTAGATAAATACACAGACTAAGTTGTATTTCAAATGGTTTTTTTAATTTTCAGTTCTGTAAAAGTATACTTCCTAAAATAATGCATCCCAATAGTGTTTTCTATTATATGTTATGAAGCGCGACCCCACAGTATGTTAAGTCTCATGTTTGTTAGATAGTAAGTAATATTTGGTTAAATTTTGGTTCCGGCTAGTCATCTGTGAAATGGTTTCCTTTGGGTCGTAATTTCATATATGCGTCATTATTACATACCATATTACTTTGTTTAAAAGATCATAACTTTCGATTACCTGTAAGAATAGTGACAGATTTAAAACTTCTTAGGTAGTATTGAACTTTGATATCTTAATTACCAAGTCATTACAATATCTTTCGACTGCCCACTATTTACGCAGATTTATCATTCCTACAACTTTTGCAGTTGGTAATAAGTTTTTTTTAGTGGCTGTGTTTTATTCTCTTATGGTCGACCGATAACGATACCAATATGATAGATATTCTACTTAGCTTCATATATATTCTGCCAGCTAGCCGGATTAATACAACGTAGATAGTAAAAGCTGAAAACGATCAGTGTTTCGGGTAAATACATTTCACACATTTTATATACAGACAGGATAAAGGGCATCTCCCCTTCTCAAAGTATCACTCATTTTGGGCGTTAATATAATTCAGAATAATGCGAGGAGGGAGACATATATTTGATAAGATAATAATTGTGCAGATTTACGAGCATAGATAAGGCCTAAACTCATAGATTAACGAGGATATGAATAAAATGATAGTTTTACGGAAGGTCACGATCGCCTATGTAAAAAACATTTATTCAGAGGGTAAAAGTGACTTGGTAAAATCATACTGAGTTATTGATAAATCGTCTAACTGAATGCTTGGATTGGTCCCCTTAGCTGTTCTAAAAACCCCAGGATAACTCTTCGCGAACACTTGAACACGATAAAAGGCGCGAAATATGGAAAGTACGCTACACTCCGAGGTTAGTTCATGTACAGAAAACTGAGGGTATTTATAGCCTTTCAGATGACCTTGGGCTTCTAAAACCCTACTGAACATAGTAGCAGGATAGTAAAATCATTTAATCAGGAATGTGAGTCATGACTCTCCACTTTCTGAATACTTTCGAGAAACTTCTATTCAATATTGATTAAATAAAGCGTTCTCAGGGCCCCTCTGGGCTTTTTTCGAGGTATATGCTCGATCTCCTAACAGTTATGGAAGTCTTTCCACAAGGCAGAATGAAATAAGTATGCGAATGATAATAGAGAAGCTGCTAAAACAAGTTTTCCCTACCACCCATGATACAGAAATCTAATTTTTAATAAATAACTGTATTAGAAAATAAATTATACGTGAAAGATATGCGAATACTTGACCGGTAGGGAAAAAGTCAAAACTTAAAGGCTCAAGTAACCTTGCTAGCTTATTTGAGTGGTCGGTGGAGATCGGACTAACTCATCACTCCTATGTTGCACTTGACGCCAGTACTCCAAGACCCAGGAGTTTAAACGATTTCTCCACGAAATCCTGTCCACGCGATGAGTACATGAGACTCAGAAAGCGGATTCTAGTCCAAATAAGCCTAACGAGTTTACTAAGTGAGGCTTAACTAACCTCATATGGCAGGAACAACAGCTTATATATAGTTCAATGACTATTGCGGGTTAAGTGTACACTACGGAAATGTCATACATACGCAAAAAACTCGATACATTGTATGTTCGCAGACACAAATTAAAGTGTTAGTATGTGATTACGACTAGATGTAGTGCATCATAAGAGCATAAGAGAATAAAAATTCATTTTTAGTGAATATGCGATCAAAGAAACACGTTATTATAAGTAGTTCTTAATGTTGTGAAAACAAAGCGTGATAATTTTCCAGCAGTTTATCTGCATGAGAGATTTAGAAAACTCGGAAGTAATGTCGGTAGACGAATGGTTTGTAGATATCATTTTCCAGGCTTACACACAAAGGATTTTAATTTCTATTTCTATTTTATAATTAATGGACGATTATACCTTATAGTTTTATATCCTATCCCTCAATTCACGTTTGTTCCATAAATCGTTGTCATTTGTCTTGTTGTTCTAGATTTATCATTAATTAACTATTTTACTATTACTCTGAATTTGAATCACATATAACTAAGTTATACATACATTATAATTCCTTGTCCAAGGTTGTCCTGTGGTCAGACATTTTAAGCGTATTACTGTGTGAGTGTGATAATGTGGAGTATTTGAATTAATGTACGAACTAGGAATCCCGAAAATAACGCAATTTAACCAAGAAGTACTAGATGAGCATCAGTGAACGTATTGTATTTGGGATTCCAAATCAGACAGTCACGAAGTACAAAGGAATCATTAGTTCATAGAAACATAACATCCACCACAGCTTAAAGGAGAATCCAAATTTCTGCAATCAATTGTATCTTTTCTCCTTAATGTCGTTCTGTGTCTGTCCGACAGTGCATTGGATGTAGACTCTGTATTATCTAAAATGTACTCATTAGTATCAGAATTAACAGCCGAAATCGGGAAAGACTCACCTTGTTACTGAAATTGTATATGATCAACATGTTGGTTGTGAATACTGATATCTAGAATTCGTACCATAAACTTTGTAACACTATTCTCCCCCACGAAATCATGTTGAATCTTTATATCCCCAAGTTATGTATAATGTGGCTTCATTTAAAACATATTTCTCACACTCACTAGAGTATTCATTAGAAGTGACTTCATGATAAGAATAAACAACAGTTGATATAAAATTATCCGAATTATAATTCAAATCAAACACATTTAGTACTCGTGCTTCGTATTAAACAAGTTTCCCACAAGAAACAAACACATTACAAGGATTAATAATATTTGACATGACATCAGGATTCGATTCTTCCGAAACATTTTCCTAAAATTTATTAAGAATGTCGTTGGAGAGTAAGGGATCATTAAAAAAATCAGCATCTATCAAAACTGCACCAGATTTTCGATCATGATTTGATTCATTCAACATATTTCCCTCAGATTTATAAGAAATTTCATCAGAACTATGTATGTTCTTAGAACAAACCACATCTGATACAATAACATGAGAAATCTGATAATAATTTGAGTGACCAGAAGCTTTTATCCCTCAATGATTCTGAGTTTTATTTAACTCTGGACTGCTATGTGACTCTATGCTGTTTTTTGAAGTCGTGGTTAAAGATAAATGATCATTGGAAACACAGCCTTTGTATGTGGGAAAAGAATAATTAGTTTCCTAAATGACGACTGAACTGGTGGATAATCCTCATTATTGTACTGAGGTGGATACAATTAGAAAATGAAAAGTCAGTACGTATAGTCGTCGATACAGTCAACACATACCTTGCTAAATGTGTATTAGAAAGATGACTAGAGGAAAAAACGCAACTATTAAGAAAAGATACACAGAGCCGTGTTCCCTTTAGGTTGTGAAATCTAGTATTATTGGTAACGTTTTACAATGACAAGTTACACTTCATGTCTTGCAAAACCACGTTGAAGCATAATGAAATAAAATCACAATTGATTGATCACTGGGTGACCAATGTCATGAGTGTCTAGTCCTTATTATTAGTGCAGATCGAATGCTATCGATCATGTTGCAATGTGGCCAACAGTCTAGGTGACTCGACATTGCGGGCACTATTGTAAAATACATACGAACAGTCAGGTGGACGAATGGACTTAGACGTAACGAACATAAGTGTTTCGTTGACAGACTAACCATATGTTCTGACTAATGGCAAAGTGAGAATGGATATATATTGCAGTTATAGAGAAAAGTTTATAGGTAATGAGCTGTATATCACATTATTGCATATGTAAACATATTGATGAATTAAACGCACCACTTATCAATGGGTTATGAAGTTTGATGATTGTAAACTGTTGCCATAACAAAGCTCAAAATTTACAAAACTAAGTGGCTGAACAAGTTATATTTTAGGATGGGGAACAACGATTGCTGGGTATAAATGACATCATTGGACTCCAGATAAATATCAAGATCACAAGTTTTTACTTTATGGAGTATAACTTCTAACTGAAACCTACTTTATCGACATGACCGGTTGTCACTGTTGGGGTAATCTCGACAGTGATGCCCCATTTTGTACAGAAGTGTTTGACTACTTGAAATTATGACTCACGATAGTATTCATTTTGCCTGATCAAGCTGAAAAGGTTTTAAGATAAACATTTAATGAACAGTTAGTAAGTACATGAAAAGAATGTCACAATAAATTATGAATTAGTAGAGTACTGAAGAAAGTCACTACTACTGACCAGTGATCATAAAAGATGAAAGATAGATACATAACGTTATTGAATATATGAAATAGGCTCAAATTTAGGCAGGAACAAAATATGTATTTAGGTAAACGTCGATAAAAAATACTGTTCAATAAGTTATAAATGACAGACAGCAAGATGATTTTTTTGTAGGATAATTAGAATAAGTAAGGTTTGATGAGCGATGATCATCATCACGCGAGTATGGTAGTATGATGAGTGGGTAGTTAAGTGTTGTGATCATATAGTAATGGTTGTGGGAATGATAATGAGATACTCCACTCAACAGATTAGTGAAATTTAGTGCATGACTGAAATGTAGTTTAATTAATAACATTTGTTAATTTTCTTGTGCATGTTTTACCATTGTCGTAGTCTGTGTCTGATTCGGAAAGTTGTGCCTTCTCCACCGTTCATCGACTGCGTAAGTTGAGCATAGTACATTCATCGAAAACATAGTGTTCCAACGGCTGCGTTTTGTTCGAAATAGGATCTATCACTTTCTGGATTGTTTCTGACTATAGCCTAATTTTCACGTATCCAAAAATTTTAGGACAATGTTGAACCCAAAAACTGAAATAAGAAATGTAATGAAGATATACTCATTTCATTTATTCAATT